CAGGGTCAGTCCACAGCGTCTCCCACGACACAGACGCGAAAAATGGGTGTGCCCGAAGTGCCGCATATGAGTGAGCAGAGTCTGGACTGCCGGCCCCGAGCCGCCGTGTCGGATCGCGCACGAAGAGATGCCGTACGAGGTCCTTGGCGTCTTCGTCGAATCCGTCTGGGAAGGTGTAGTCGAGAGATTTGATCTTTTGCCAGGTGAGGTATTCGCTGAGCCCTTGGAATGCGAATCTGCCGGAGATCATTTGATAGATTATACAGCCGAGTGCCCAGAGATCCGAGCTATAATGGAGATCAGTACCTTGATGAGTTGTGTTCAAGGTAGGCAAGACAGCGGATGTAAATGGTAGGTGTTACTGATGCCAGGAACGAAGAAAGGGAGAATATGAATGTAATGACACTCGAGGAACTAAGATATATGCGCATGCTCTTAAAGGTAAGCGCACCTCTTACTTGTCTCGTTGCTCTCTAGTAACTCTGGCGCGACGTATTGCGCAGTGCCCACAAATGTGTTGGCTTTCTCCGCTTCGGGACTTGTGAGAAACGCGTATACACGGAAGGAATTAGCTTACCTCCGTTCTCTAATATCTTTCCGGTACCAAAATCAGTAATCTTTATTCGAAACTGACCATCTAGAAGGAGGTTTTCGGGTTTTAGGTCTCTGCAGTGACGTCAGTAATTGTACCCTATTTTGGGCGAGGTGGAGATGGCCTCCGGGAAAGGTGATGGAGTAACGCACCTATGAATGACGTCTTTCCCATGCATATACTCTAGTGCGTCAACGATTTGTGCTGCGTAGTATCTGGAAGAGGTAAGGCTTAGGGAGCCAAGGCGTGATATGCGAGATTGCATCTCCCCATTGGGCGCCAAGTCAAGGACGAAGACTGATAGGACATTAACGACGTGGGTTCATGAGAAAAGTGGATATATGCGTGGTTCATGCATCCGATCACTGAAGCGTGCGTGGCAGTGTGAATCACCAACCGCCAAAGAGGAATAGCCGGCCGATGACCGGGATCGGATGCACACACACAGCATATAGAGAGGAACGTGGTACTGACATAGGCTCCACTCGTCCTGAAAGGTCCAGTGTAGGTGTATGATACCGGGGTGACCGGCACCCAGTTTGACGAGGACGTTCTTCTCCGCAAGGGCAACGAGCATCTTGTCCTTCCGAATTAGATGATTCTTGTCAAGGATCTTGATAGCGTATTCCTGTCCAGTCCGAATATGTCGTGCACGCATTACCTGAGGTGGCATGAGTAGGCGGTGTGGGCTATGAGCGATGCACACACTGTTGAGTAAGATCCTTCTCCGAGGGTGTCTCCAAAGGAAAAGTCTTGAGCTCCCAGCCTGCCATTCGCACTCCTCGCCCTACTTGCCTCCCGTGATCCCTTCCTACTCTTGCTCCTCTCCTTGGTCTGTTGTTGGGGTTGTACAGGTTCTGGTTGTGGATGACTGGATACTCCGAGTTCACGAGTGAGATAATTTGGAGGTCGGGAGGGGGGTAGCAGTTCTAGACTGTGGGCTTTGGGAACGTGGGGAAGAGAAAGTGCGTGCTGGTCGTGGACGGGGAGGAGACTTTGATAACTCCGATGGGATGTCAGTTTCGGAGGATGACGATATGACAGATGCATTTCTGCTGAGATCGATGAGGGTAGGCGGGAAAGTTGGTGCGGTCACTTGTACCATCCAAGAATCGTTCTGTTGACGATTTAGTTTCAAACCAAGAGATATCTTAAGTACAACCTGAGATCTTCACAGCCACAAAACCTTAATTATGTCATCCAGCATCTCTCCAATGACACACTTGCGGTAAGCATACATATTTCGTTGCGTTGCACGTAATCTCGCACTGAGTGCGAACATAATTTTTACATAGGTAGCTGTGTCATTGACACTAGTCTGTGTTCTTTTTTTTTTTTTGGTAACGATAAGCACAACCGGCAGCTGACAAGGTCAACCCCGAGGAGGCACGTTAGTTTTACGGGGGTTATACCCGTGAAGATTGAGATAATTGTACACCGGGGGGAAATACGTCGTGTTAATAGACCGTGTGGGACTCACTAGCCTGTGTTCTCAATCTCCGGACAAATGACACACTTGGTGTTTGGTTTCTAAAAAGAACAGCATTGCTGATCATGTCCAGCCAGTCTCACCCTTTTCGAGTGTCCAGTGACTTGTCAATGTCGCTGAGTCCACCGCCGCCCTCACCATCTCTCGGCCTGCAGCCATGCACGCTCTTCCAAAGTCTCTAGCCATGACCACACCCCAAACCACGAGCTCTCCAAAGCCATAACAGACCCATAACCCTTCGACTGTGGGACTTGAAGAAAGGTATTATCTCGAAGAAGATGGTAGTAAGGTGTTGGCCTTGGCGGTATCGCGAGATGGGACAAGTGATAGTAAGCGATCAGGGCGGATGATCATTCTCCCCGCGTAAATGGGTCCCCTGAGGAGAGTTACGATGCCAGTGAAAAATGTCAAATTTGCAGGATTGCTACGACAGCATAGAGTAAGCTGACGTTATGACATACCAAGACGAATTGGTAGTCGAATAGCAGGACTGTTGCTGTGTGTGGCAACAAATTAAGTATCAGTGACGAGGTAGCATAAAATTGACTTTCATTCATGTATCATACACAAAGACGCTGCTGGAGCGCTCAGTTACAGAAGCGAACCATGATAAGCTCGGTGGGAGAATGTGGTCAATTGACAAACGTAGTTGACAAGTAAACCCCAATTCTGCTCAGGTACCGCATTATACCGGTAACCTCTGATTGGGTATCCTCGATTGCTCCCACGGCCACCCTGCTTCGACTACCGTGTCATGAACTAAACAGACCGTCAAACAAGTGCCTGCTAGCTGGAGAGCGCCCGAAATAGGACACTTACGACCACCCAGAGAATCTATTTAATTAAGTATTCCCATGTTCTATGTCCGAAAAAGCAGAATGCCCTCTCTCAGGACGATCTGCACAGCTCTGACCGGTGCCTTTTTGCTCGGCTTTGGAACTCTCCTGCTCAAGCCCTCGAGCTATACTCTGGACATACAGGATCCCCCTCCGCATTCCACTATCTTCAATTCAGACTCGCAGTCATATGTCCAAGGCCCACCCACTCAACGCTTTCGAGGTCAGTATTCAGTGAAAATGTCCAAGGCTCGGGTATCACAATAACATTTGTCTCAGATAACCTTCGCAACGACACGAAGTATATTACATCGTGGACTTCATCGGGATGGAGTATGTCAACCAACCACTTGAATCTTGAATCACTGATCACAGTTATTTGTTAGCGAATGACGTGATAACCTATGTAAGTCAACGATCCACTTCCGACGCTGTCCCGCTTTCTCACAAAAACTAGGGCAATTTGATTTACCTGGCACTCATAACAGGGCGCACACCCATAATCCCAAAGTTCCTTTCTACTCATATCGACCCACGTGCACCTCCATTTGTTTTTGGGGAAGTGTTTGACGTCCCTCGACTTAGCCAAGCCATAGGGATCCACTTGCTTGAATGGCACGATGTAAAGGACGCAGAAAGTCAGGTTGTCGATGACCTTGGTTGTTGGAGTATCTGGGAAACCGTCCAACGGCACGTCCCGATTCCTGCACCACGGGGAAGTCCCTCCCTGAACCTGCTCAAGCTCGGTGAGACAACCTCGAACATCCTTCTTTGGTGATTAAATACATGGCCGTCGCAGATATCTCGTGGACGCGAACCCCAGCTTGGGTCGAGCTGACATCTCCTAGCAAACAAGACAGCCATGCATCCTTTTGGCCCCTAGCATCACTCGGGTTTCCAGAGGCTCGCTCCAAGAGCTTGGGATTATCATTAACGAACCATCCTTCTCCTCAGCATCAGGTTTCCCTTCCCCCGGATGATCACTTATTATGTTTCGATTACCTTTACTACGTAAGCGCCCATCATACATGGGAATGGGAATTGGACTATTCTCCTGCATGGAGATTTGTAGGTCAACACATGCGATGGACTGCAAGCATGGAAAGGCTTGCCGATGCGCATGCCCGGCGCGCTATGAACGTGCCAGCAAATGAACCAACACCTCCCGTGAGCAGACGTTTTCGGGTACAGGCTGCTCTACAGATCTAACTTTGGATAGTATGTATCCGTCCACATACGACATGGTGACTTCCGCGATCAATGTGCGGGGATTCCTGTGGATCAATGCTTTGCTTCGTTGTCTGTCATTGCGCGCAGGGTATCCGAGGTACAAGAGGAGCTTCGCACACGAAAAGGGATTGAGGCCACACATGTTATCATGACCAGTGACGAAAGTGACCCAGAATGGTGGTCAGAGGTTAGGGCGTTAGGCTGGACGTGGGTAGATTATGAAGCAGAGCGGACAGAGGAGATCTATGGAAAATGGTGAGCCGATTAGATGTCATATTTTCATTCTGATGCTAGAAGTTTTGACTGTTATCAGGCATCCGGTGTTTATAGATGCTATCATTCAGTCTAATGGAGCTGGATTCGTTGGCACTCTTCGTTCTACGATGTCCACACTAGCTAGCCGCAGAGTACAGTCGTGGCATGACGGAGCAACTCGAATCATCGCATGGGGGCGGCCAGGCGCTGATGACCACTGATGATGATTAGAACACTAGAATCGAGACTACTTTGTGCCTCAACAATCATTGGCTACAATGATCTTGTATTCTTATTGATGATGCGCATAATTGTCTCCTGGGCTCTAATTCACGGGCGAAAGCAACGAAAGCTTGATGTTCTTTGTGCATCGTACTGGGACTGTCACGAATCTTCCCCGAAATTCAAGCAATACAACAAGAGCTGCGTGTCTCCCGGCGTCCGCACGGATTCGATGATAAGAATATGATGTTCATCACCAAGCTCCAAGGCCAGGCCCCATATGTGTCTATGTAAAAGGGTGGCAGACGTAAACGTCACTGCTTCGTGAACTGTGTCACTTGCAAGCCATAACAGGTCTAGTGAGGCTCTACTACTCTCAATCTCTGGAGTACTCGTCCGATCCCAAACCTACTGATTCTTGCCTCCTTAAGTTGACAAGCAGAGGGTGCAACACGGAAACTTCCTCCCACCTCTCCCGATACAACATCCGAGTATTGAACGTCTCATATATGTCACACCCGATCTCGTAACCCGTTATCTCAGCGTTCGGTACAATGTCTGACAAGAACGCTGCAACGGACAATGGGCCCGTGACCTTGGAATCGGCCACTCGTAGGATTTCCAGACCGTTTCTACGGGTCCCCCCTCCAGGTCGTCGATGGTCGATATCCGGTGCCCAGGCGTTCATAGCAAGACCGACTACCGATAACACTGGGCACCGCCGCAACAACTCTGCAAAACCCTGCAGAGTAATTTTGCTTGGTTGCCGCCAGCCATTTTCGGTCCCCAGTTCAAGTGCCCGCAATTTCAGCCATGTGCCAGCCAGCTGCGCAAGCTCCTTGTCATTGAGGGAAAACGTGCAAGTTGTGTCGAGATGCAGTGCCTCCAAATGACGCAGAGAGAAGAGCGTATTCAGGATATCAAATGTGATGATATAGCCAACAGGGAATTTCGGCGGGGATACCTGCAATTCTTTCATGTGTAGATCCCTGAGATTTGGACAGTGACGTGAGATTAGGCAGAAACACTGATGGAGCTCAGCATCTGTTAAGCCCGTTTCCGTCGAATGAATACGGAGGGAGCGTAGTGATGGTAGCTCTGAGATTCCAAGAATAGGAATGCAGTGGAAAGTGCGAGCCGCGGTGATGTCGAGCCCCTGAAGGATGGTAAACACTGGTTGGCCGGCCAGTTTCATGAGGGCACCGTAGTCGTTCTTCTCGTCGACTTGAATAGTGAGATGCGTAAGCCTAGAAGATGTTGCGAGATAATATAGCGTTGCATCGTTGATTAGACCGCAGACAAGGTTCTTTAAGTTGCGCAAGCTCTGGAACACGTCAGGATGTATGTGCCTCATACTATATTTTGCGGGGAAACACGCGATGCGAAGAGAGTTGGTAGAGGTGATGTGGGGGGACAACGGGCGGAAGAAGCATTGGATCCATGTCATGCAAAATTAGCCATTCCAGTCTGGGGCTGACCAGGGAGCATAGGAGTGGTAAAGCATCTGCAGAATTATTTGACCACCAAAGCCGTTTGAGATGAGTAAACATCGGGGGTGCGAAGGATGAAGCAGCTAGTGCGTGTAGAATGGTCTTGTCGATGACTATCTCTTCTTGATCATTGACCCTGAGTGAATGAACTCTTTTGGCGTAATACTGCATTCGCTGCCAGTCTGAAAGGCATAACTCTTTGAACGTAGTCTACATATATGTGATTTCAGTATACTGTCGCGAACTGTTGTGGGTCGGAACTCACGATCTTGTTTCCGATGGTAACGATTGCAGGGACGCAAAACATCAATGGACGAAGACTTTCCAGCGACTTGTAAAGTATGTTAAGAGCAGGTTCATGGAAGAGACGACAAGTTCTACAGAGAGCTGCGAGGGATCCATGATGCCCAGTCGCAAGAACTCGTTTGCAAACAGCATCAAACAGCTCTGCGATCTGAAGACATCTGTGCATTGGGTCATCTACGTCGTCCGAAGGCTATTGCTAAAAGCTATTGTCAGTGACCTTTCATAAATGGGGAGTAGGACTGTATTACCGATGTTGTGAGGATTAGGTTAGACAAGGACTTGAATGAAGAGTACAGGACACGAGCGTTTAACTTGATTCAATGCGCAGATTTGTACAGCATTATCGATCATAGTATCGTTATCGCGCATCGCATGATATCTGGCCAATGAATGTTTTCGAGAAGCTCGCCGATCTATTACAACAGCCCTTACATGGAGAACTGTAGTACACAGGAATGAATATCCGCAACTCGGACAGGAAAATGCAAGAAGAATTGCCAGAAGAATTCTATGATCCTTGATAACAAAAAGCTCACCAATTCGACGCACTGGAGCAATTGGAAATTAGCATCTGAACGTAAAGATATCGATGGGCGCGATACCGATCAGCTGGTCAAAAAAATGGTAGGCTACAGAATAAATAAGTACAATGAGTTCAGGCGCAGAGTTTATCACTCGAAGTTCGGACACATACTAGATCATCCGAGTCATAGTGGAGTCATGACCGAGGCCACCGTGCTCCTCCGAAAACTGCAGAAAATTCCACAGAAAGGAAAGATATGACGCCCTGGAAACAACAGCTATTGATCAGCAGAAATCCATATGATTCGAAGAATCTAATCGACAAAGTGAATATGGACCGGTGCGTAAATACGATCCGCTCGAAAAGGAAATTTATTTGTATTTCTTCTTACACTGATTAGGTGCTAGCATTACACAATGCTACTTCAGATGATGTTCTCTTCGAAACGACTTGGGACATTGGCACATGCACGCGCTCTACTGCGCTCTAGACGACCATGTTCTTTACCTCAGACAGCGTCATTGAGTGGCTCATCGCTCAAGGTGATTTAAACAGTATGCTACTGATAACGGTTACCTCATGGGAGTTTGAAACTCTACTTGCTGTAGTCCCTTCAAGATGCTTTCCGAGACCCATCTTCGCCATTTCACATTGCTCCAGGACAGGCAGGTCCTGAATCCACGGACTCTCCTCCCCCACTCCCAGACCCTACTCCATCTCAGTCCAGCCACCCCACTGCAGTTGGCTCGCTGGCAGAGAACGCCAGAGCTAAGCTGATTTCTATGGGTTATGATGAAGGGTCATTATGGGAGCAGAGTATCGTATGGGGTCACCATGATTCATTTCGGTAGGCACCTCATAGACGTCGAAGGACAAGCTCATTATCTCTCTTACTACAGACACGTTAACAATGCACACTACCGTAAGGGTTCCAAATTTCTTTGAACAGGAACAACGAGGGTCGCTCACGAATCTGCCACTGGCAATATGCAAATATGCAGTACGATTCATCGAATCGGTCGGCATGTTGAAATTGTTGCCAAAGTCCGTATGTACTGAAGCTTGGCTAGGGTCGCATAGTGTGGCTCATGGCCCTCGGAAAAGTTCTTGGGGGTGAAGAACGCGTCGAGGCAATGCTCGCGGGTCCAGGGCGTTTCAGTCATACTCAAATCAGCAAACATCAATTTTAGAAGACCAGTAACGTTTCCTGACACAGTGAGATTTCCTTGTAACATTTGTTTAGTGGTGTCTTTCATAACTATGAGCAGCTTTTGATTGGTCACAGGCCGATCACCTCTTCGAGCCGCACGCAGTTCACTCTGAATGCTGTTCTTTATTCATATGCACAGCAAGCGATCGTTGCGGACTCGGATAGCGTGCTTGTTTGGTACGACTACGACAACCTGAGGAAATGCGACCCTGGGGATAATACATGGCGCATTATGAAGGCTGACTCGCATGATGGTCAAGTGGAGGGCTGATTTCCATATGCTTCAACTGAGCTCGGACTTGGTATATGTATAGTAGATTGGTTTACTCTTGAATATTCGATAATAGAGCGGCGGCGACCGGCAATCATCAATGTACAGCATTAGCAACTCAGCAGACCGTCACTCAAATCGGGTCCGTCACGCGTCAGGACCCACTTCCGCTGTGAGCTTCACTTTGTGATAACCCCTTAGCTAAGACCAGTTAGATGAACCTCTGACGAAACCATCCATAAGTGAATGTCAGGGTGTTCCGAGAGAAAAATAACTTGTCGGCAGGTTTCAAACCTGCGCGGTTCAAGGGAAACAGATTTTGATTCTGTTGTGGTAACCACTAGGCTAAGACCAGTTAGATGAACCTCTGACAAAACCATCTATGAGTGAATATCAGGGTGTTCAGAGAGAAAAATAAATTGTCGGCAGGTTTCGAACCTGCACAGTCCAACAGATTTGGATTCTGTTGTGATCACTTTGGCCAGTACACTTCAGAGGTTAAGATGAACCTCCGAAGAACTGTCCACGAGTGAATGTCCAGGGTGCAATAAGACATTTGTCGGCGTTGAATCCGCACCACCAATATTTCTAATATGTTTTGGTGCCAGTCGGCTATGACTACTTAAGATAAACCTTTAAGGGATCATCCATGAGTGAAAGTTCAGCAAGAACAAGCGTGAAAACTGAACTTTCCCGGAAACAAAGTTGGGTGGTGAGACGATCATGATGTTGATGGATATTGAAAATGTCCAAAGTCTGACGCGCCCATCAGCGGCGGTCAAAATTCCCGCCTCGACTGCTACAGCCGCTATACACATAATGCAGACTTCGGCAATGAATATTCAAGCGCTGAATGACGCAGCACAATTCTGGACATTGAAATCGCTCCTCATGTCTCCTCAAGTAAGTCGATATTGAGTGTTCAGATTAATCAAAAAGGCGCAAGCACTACACACGTACGAGTGTTTAAAGGTTATGAAGAATGCGTAAACGCAGTTGCAGTTTTCCCCGATAGACAACAAATGGTTACGAGCTCGTTCCTGTTTTTCCTGTAGGCAGATAAGGTACCACCGTGGCAGCTGCTAGATAGCAATTGTCAAATTTCATGTACCTTATGATGGAATCAGACACCGCAGCGTTCAGTTACCTAAAATGGCAATTACAGTTCTCAGGTTATTGCCGCTGTGTCCACCATATGTGATCCGCATACAAATATTCTGATTGGATTTCCTTGAGTCCCTGCAACTCCGTAACATGAACTGAACTCTAGACTTGCCCAAGCCAGAAATAGGACACTTAGTACAACCACCCGTTTATATAAGTATTCCCATGTTGCATGCCAAAGGCAGAATGTTGTCCCTCAGGACCATCTGCGCAGCTCTTACCGGTGCCTTTTTATTCGGCTTTGGAACTCTCTTGCTCAAGCCCTCGAGCTATATACTGGACATACAGGATCCCCCTGCGCATTCTACTATCTTCAACTCCCAGTCGTATGTCCAAGGCCCACCCACCCAACGCTTTCGGGGTCAGTATTCAGTGAAAACGTCCAAGGCTTGGGTATCACACTAACATTGGCCTCAGATAACCTTCGCAACGACACGAAGTACATTACATCGTGGGGTTCAGCGGGATGGAGTACGTTAACTCCAGTCAACCACTACTTCAATCACTGATCACAGCTATCTATTAGCGAACGACGTGATGTCCTATGTAAGTCAATGATCCACTTCCGACGTTGTCCTACTGCCTCACAAAAACTAGGCCAATTTGATTTACCTGGCACTCATAACAGAGCGTACACCCATACTCCCAAAGTTCCTCTCTCATCATATCGACCCAAGTGCACCTCCATTTGTTTTTGGGGAAGTGTTTGACATCCCTCGACTTAGTCAAGCTATAGGAATTCACTTGCTTGAATGGCACGAAGTGAAGGAACCGGAAAGTCAGGTTGTCGATGATCTTGGTTGTTGGAGTGTCTGGGAAACCGTTCAATACCACAATCCGATTCCTGAACCACGGCGAAGTCGCTCCCAGAACTTTCTTAAGCTCGGTGAGACAACTTCGAACATCCCTCTTTGGTGATTAAATACATGTCCATCACAGATATCTCGTGGACGCAAACCCCAGCTTGGGTTGAACTGACATCTCCTAGCGAACGAGACAATCATGCATCCTTTTGGTCCCTTGCATCACTCGGGTTTCCAGAGGCTCGCTCCAAGAGCCTGGCATTATCGCTAAAGAATCATCCTTCTCCTCAACATCAGGTTTCCCTTCCCCCGGACGATCACCTGTTATGCTTCGACCTTCTTTACTTCATAGGCGCCCATCACACATGGGAATGGGAATTAGACTATTCTCCTGCATGGAGATTTGTAGGTCAGCACATGCGATGGACTGCAAACATAGAAAGGCTTGCAGATGCGTATGCCCGGCGCGCCATGAACGTGCCAGTAAATGAACCGACACCTCACGTGAGTGCAAGTTTCAGGTACAGGTTGCTCTACAGATCTAACTTTGCATAGTATGTATCCATCCACATTCGGCATGGTGACTTCCACGAACAATGCAATCAAGTTGCTGTAGATCAATGCTTTGCCCCGTTGTCTGTCATTGCGCGCAGGGTGTCCGAGGTACAAGAGGAGCTTCGCACACGAAAAGGGATTGAGGCCACACATGTTATCATGACCAGTGACGAAAGTGACCCAGAATGGTGGTCAGAAGTTAGGTCATTGGGGTGGACGTGGGTAGATCATGCGGCAGAGCGGACAGAAGAGATCTATGGAAAATGGTGAGTCGATCAGGTGTCATTTTTATTCTGACGCTGAAAGTTGTGGCTGTCATCAGGCATCCGGTGTTTATCGACGCTATCATTCAGTCGAATGGAGCCGGCTTCGTTGGCACTCTTCGTTCTACGATGTCCACACTAGCTAGACGCAGAGTACAGTCGTGGCATGACGGAGCAACTCGAATCATCGCATGGGGGTGGCCGGGCGCTGATGACCACTGATGATGATTAGAACGCTAGAATCGAGACTACTTTGCGCCTCAAAAACCATTGGCTACAATGATCTTGTATTTTAATTTATGATGCGCGTAATTGTCGCTCCTGGGCTCGGGCTCAGGCAACGAAATCTTGATACTCGTCGTGCATCGTACTGGGGCTGTCACGAATCTCCTGACGGTGACTCACCTGAATACAGGAATATCCTCGTCTGATTTCTAGATCATATCAGGTCAAGCTGAGCTGTCATCATCTCCCGCTTTAAATCCCCTGAACACCGCTGTTAGTGTGGTCTCGTTCATTATCGGAGGCGTCAGGGCAGATACGTTTACAGACCGCATTGCCCCATCGAGGTCAGAGGGGCAGGTTTGATCTACGCGAACTGATTTTGCTGATTGAGCGGATAAGTTCGACGCGCAGTGTACTGAGGTCATATCTGATAAGTGATTTGATGAACCTGGACGCTACATTTAATTCCACCTTTTGCTCGCACTCTTCTCAGGCGCTACTTAGTCTTCCCGAGGAAGCTATAGAAAAATGAAGTCAGTTGCTGCTTCTATTAAAACTTTAAAGGCACTTCCAAGCCCGCTGCCACCCGGGCCTATTCCTGTCCTGACGACTCACCCAGACTCACCCGCACACATACAGTCCTCTGCTGAAAAGAGCGGCCCGGTGCATTTCCGGGACTAGTGGACTTTGCTTCTGTTTGTCATCCCGTCCCTTGTTTTGTTTTCGACCTTGTCAGATCTTTCTACCATCGCAGTCTCGTAACCAGCAATCTATGTTGCTCCCTTTCGGTGCGATCCGTGGCAAGACAGCCCCATTGAACGGAGTCTCCGCCGAGCCGTGAAAGCGCCTACACAACCATTCATACAAGTGATCCCCTTGTACGCAGTGGATGTAAGTTACTGCTAGTACACTTATGTGCAATCAAAGCTGGTTGATTCCGAACGGTAATACGGACGCGCGCATTTCTCGCCAGGTCTTTTTCTCGTTGCAAGTCCTCGATGTCGTGAAGGACAGACGGAGAGCAGAAAAATGCTGCTCTCATCTAAAGCCTCGAATATCGATGATGTACGGAGGACCTGCGTCAGACATCCTGGGTGCCGTGGCATCGCAATTGCAAGGTTGGTACATACAAAGAGATGGACGTGGTGCAGTTGACGGACAGAACTCGAGCATCACAATTGATTTACCCAATACTACTCATTCACGTATGCGATGCGCCGCAGACCAACAGCAAAAAACACGCAGCAACATAGCATGACGTGGTGGATGCGATTGCCACCGAGCCGCCTCTTCTGCCAGCTATCAAGGGATCGAGTGTCAGCATGCCATAGCTCATAGACGGCGTCGTCACCCTCTACTTGTACTTGACTTGAAAGCCTCGAATTTCGCACCTCTGAACATATGTCTGTCACGCTACTTTCGGAGGAGACCAAAAAGACACAAAACTTGCAACTTCTTACTCTGAAACATGGTCAAAACCGGGTCATGGTTGGACGGCACAGGTCGTATAATGTGGGTGGAACAACTATTTAAATCTTTAATGGCTTATGGATATCATAAGCTCATGCTTAACGCTGCCTCCAAACATTTCCCAAGCATTGCGAGTGACATGGTCAGGTTGCAGACAAATGAACTCGATGTTTGCGAAGGCCACTATGTAGACATCACGGCTGAAATATGGGCCGATGTCATTGACTTACTTGAGGTCGTCGAGGTGACTAAGCGTGAAGTCGACGAAGAAAACAGCTCGTACGCACCCCAAATATTCGACGAGTGTATGGAGTACTGAAGTTGAGACCACACAGCAAAGTCACTATCAAAGTTGTTTTTCCATCTGGCAAGATTCAGACTACTGAAGTCTCGACGGAATTGCGGGTGGACAAACTTATTGCTGATGCTAGTCAGACATTAATGGGAACATCGGGAGAGTGTCCCACTAAAATCAGAGCACTTCACTCCAAGGATGGGAGATTGGGTGGGCTAGCGATGCGTGGAAACCGGAGTATCGGATCGTACAGCATCAAAGATGGTCACTCCATCATTCTTCGAGTTCGAGAGCCTTCTCGTTGTAAAAAGCCAGTCATTTATGTATACTCGCCCTCCGATATCGATGTTTCTGTCAAGCTCTCCCTCATTCCTGAGTGGAGCCTCTCTGTTATCTATCCCGTTGTTGCCACGGAAGACCATGGACAGCGTTTAGAATGGAATGTCCGCACCCATCAAGACGGAAGTCTGACGGAACATAATTCTGGTTTAGATGTGTCGTACTTGTTCTGGGAGGCGGAGTACTAAGTCCCCTGATGATACAGAAATCACACTCCTAACTTGTATTACTTTTCGCAGGACGAATTCGCAAGCATTTCCCCAGTCGCACGCATCCAAACCGCAACCGGTGGATACGTTCAGTCCTATATCCAGCAGTCTCGATGATATGGATTCAATCGTCATTCCAGTGGACAAAGCAACTGTTTACCTCGATAAATCACTCAAGGTTTTGGGACTTCACACCGAAGCTAGAACATCATTCATAACGTGCGTACACATGCGCTACCTCGGACTGTCAAATCATAAACGCGTCACTAAAACAGCCGTGGTAGCTACTGGCTACCATCTATCCTTAAGCACGAATACATTGCCCTCCGATTCGTCCCTCAAGCGGCATACGAACGCGCCGCTTCCTTAAGCATTTCTCCGCAGCCTGACGTCGTGACTCGCGTATTCATGCTGTTCAGAGGTGTCTCTAAGGAGCTTTTAGCAAATTGGTCTAACGCCCAGATGCAAGCAGAGAAAGACGTTATTTGGTGGGCGAATGTAGTTGGAGTGGATCTTGCAAGGGCCGGTGATATGGACTTTGTTCAGGGTGTTAGAATGGGGCGGGATGGAGGTTCTCATCTGATATTCTATCAGATTACTCAACTTTGTGTAGGCGGTATCAACAATCCTCTCCCGTACCTGTTCCTTGAGGTATGGAGACATGATATCATAGAATACTGATGCTGACAGGTCACCCGGCAAACACATATTTGAGAAGTTTTTTTGTGGGTACAAATATATGCAAACTCGTTGCGTCCGAATCAAGGGGTGAACTTTTTGATGCAAACGACTGTAGTAGTCAACAACTGAGCAAGGCCCACCTCGACCACGCCGACCCCTAGTATCGTAATATACAGGAAAGAAGCATTGGGCTTACAAAATACTACAATATCGACTAATGACTCGTTCGGGACAATGTCAGGGATTGCTAGGAAAAAACTTTCCCCCGGGGTAGTCCTATTTCCTTTCCCCCGTCGTATTCTTTTTTTTTATTACCCCTACCTGATCTGGCACTTTTGATATTCTCGGACGTTCTGACAGGCTCTTGCAATGTCCGATGTTCACTGGGGATCATGCACATGAGTCTCCGGCGAATGTCCAATAGGCGTTCTTTTCTTGTCGCGAGCATCAGGCGTTTCTGAGCGATGGAAGCATCTTCGCTAACCAACTCCTTCATACGCTCAGAGAAGTTGGGCCCAGATGCAGCATCAGTCAGCAAGCTCGTGAGAAGGCTTTGCGAAAGTTGTTTTGCTAGGGCATGATGGAGAGCATGCTCGATCGTGAAAGGAATATGGTCAATGATGCGCTGCTCAAGGTGATAAGCGCGTTAAAACAGAGATGATGAATGAGACTTACCTTGTAGGCAACGTGATAATAGGCTCGAACGTCAGCCATCACAACCAGTTCCTCCTCAAATGAGTCGGGAGGTAACAACCGTGCAAGATTTGAAACCTGAAGACCTGCATACCCCGCTTCTGCAAGAGCCCTCAAAGCTTTGGAATCGGGCGTCTCAAACTTGGCACCATTAGGCCTAGCAGGACTCTTGGCAAAACTAGACTTTGGCCCATCGCATGCAAAGTCAAGTGTGGGATCGATATCAGGACTTGGGCAAGTTGAAGGATTGAGGATATTGGGCGGACAAGGTCCCAATGCCATGGGTCCCACGGCCTCCCCAATATGGCGGATGGGAGCCCTGTACATAGAAGGTCTACTCCGAACTGTCTTATAATAAGCCAGCCATTTGTCGCGGAGCGTTTGAAGATAGTGCGTGTTCTGAGTATAGTGTGGAGTAGTGGTTTCCAATTCCAAGGCTGTTTTGACAGCGTCTTGGGCACGCGCCTTGCAGATGTCAACTTGAACTCGAATCAAATTGCTAATTTCAAAGACAACTTGAGCCCAGACAATACTCGTGAAGAGTCAACGCTTACCCAAAATATTCCTCAAGAACTTTGAAGCGTCCAAAATGGGTGCTTATGAGTGTGTCAATGACTTGATCAAGTACTTTATTGACACCAACGAAACAGCGCTCAGACGGAGCAACCCAAAGTTTGGTGAATTGAGCAATGAGGTTTGCCTTCGCCTGATATGGCACGTTGTTCGGAAGCTCCCATCCAATTGCCCTTAATGAATGGTTGAGTTGCCGCCCAACTGCGACAAAATACGAAAACAAACTCTTGGATGACCTTGCGGATATCGTATATGCCCATCACCTTCACGCCTGGGTCTCGCTCAGTAAGAGTCATATTCTCTTCAATATCGTCCAGTGGAACATAGCCTTTCGGTTCATTGAAAGGCCTAAAGTCAGGAGCAGTGCCGCGTATATCCCTCTTGAAAATAGCATAGAGAGCACGATTCCGCTGCGCAAGACGTTTGTCTTCGTGACTACCATTCGCAAAGCTCTTGAAGTCATCGCAGAACGCATTCACTCGTCCCAAAACCTCAATTTGTGGGTCATTTTCAAGGGGTGGGGGTAGTTCATCGAAGTCCTTGGTACATTTGGCGAGGAGCGCATCGACATCTTCTCTGAGACGCGGTAAACTATAAACAATGTAAGTGCTTTACAGCGAGTCAGCTAGAACAAGGTCCACGCACGCTTCCTCGATCAATCGAATGAGCAGTCGGCTTATGTCGGAGACAAAGCCTGGAATTCCAAACCGACGACGGTCGATCACGTCCTTCCAGGGCGACGTCGTGTCAAAATATTCAGCAGCACGCCTTTGCGATTCAGCACGAGACAGGCGTTGTGCACGTTCCGCATCATCGGGAAGACGCACACAGTAGAAACCATGTCTCAGTGTGTGCTCCTCCGAATGACCCTTCAATGATTTCCACCCATTTGCGACGCTGGTTGATAGCTCCAGTACCGAGTGTGTCGGGCTTCGTAAGTACGCCTGAAGAGCTTTGAGTCATTTATTCATCCTGTACTATGGGTGACTTGCCGATAGTTCGCCATCCAGTGGGGTCTGCGGCCCTGGCGAGACTCATGGATTGTTGATTTTCCATATCATCTAGCACCGCACCCATCAATTCAGTAGAAATAATTTTGCAGTTCATACACGTACCGCTCATGGGAATCGTAGTCAATATGATAGTGTTTTTCTTCTTGACGTAATGTTCCGCCAAACATTTCACCAAAGCGACGATTTCAGCTTCTTCGTTTTGTATTAAGCCTTCACTGCCCATCAGATACATCATCTCAATCCGGAAGAGTATGTACTTGCCAGGTAGATCATAGAATGACAGGTCAGTTGCATCGGGGTCTTCAATCGAGACGCACACCACATTGCGGGAGAACTTCAATGTGTTTTTTATGTTCCTAAGTTCCTCGATGGTCTTTGTGAGGAAAGTCGAAGAAGGAACGTTTGGGTTCAAAATGGCTGCTTGAGCACGACGCAGCCAAACTTCGAATTCACTTCTGTCAGTGATCTTTGGGCCAAATCGCACATTAGTAGGCTTTTGGAGATCTAGGCCGTTACTATCGAAACCGATACGTAGGGTGATAGTGCACGACCACGACGTGGCATGACTAGACATGTTACATTCCATAGGGCATCTGCAAATAATAGTATAAGCATACCCGCAATAGCTAGTAGTTATTTGGGTCACCTTGTACACGTTCCGCTATCTCTTGGGACGTTGATCTTTATCATAAAGAAAAAAATGAATAAAGGGATAAAAGGACAAACTATCTGCCAACGTACCCCACTGACGGCCTCGACGAGTGAACTTTTGCCCGCTGAAATTTCAGTTGAGTATAGCTGTGGGTGCAAAGGGAGGTGACCACAGACCGGATTGGCCACCAATTACGACCACGGATGGTAAGGCGATCAACGCGTCGGCACTGCAAGAGATTGTGTGAGCGATCCGAGGCTACAATTAGATCCATAATCATTCACCCCATAGATCGGAGGTCAACCATCATCTCCATAAGCTCCCTGCGCCTGCGGGCATAGTCGCTAGATGATATGTCCACTTCCTCCCATGGCTCTGGAGGGTTCACGGAACCAGAGAGGGAAGGGAGAGACGTTACATCAAGAGAGGACTCGATCGAGGGCTCCGTTGACGCTGCTTGTTTGCGTCGATTGCGAAGTAAATCCATGGCAGATTGGATGCTAGAGGCGTATTAGACACAACATCAGAATGACCTCTGTTTTTATGCGCCGGCTTTCGGTTCAGAGGCTTCTTGGACGCGTGTGTCAACGTACAGTACATCACGACCGCAGCTTGAAGTCGTAATACACGGCATGATGAGAGGAAAAAACGCCTTCAGATGCCCGCACACACAACTATTAGTGACACGTTGTTGCGTACCGCGGGCGATTCCTACGCAAAGTAATATGACACAACCAATCATAGAAGATCTGCGACGACCTTTTTGGCAAATCTTTTTGTTCTAGCATTATTAATTTTCATATCAGAGCCCGTCCACACGCGCAAGTACGTGTACAGAATCACCAGAAGATGGACACGTGCAGGAGATAAAGTCGTTATCACATACACGAGTCATGTATGACTCAATCATGATGGGCTTTTGGTACTTAGATCCATTGAGATAATAAGACAGTCGCGGACGCCTGAGGAAAATACGTTTCTGGGAAACAGCTGTACTGTGAACAAGGGAGAAGCGATTGCTGTGCCGCAGGAGGTTGACTTCGAGAGTGAACTAGAGAGTCAAGAATCGAGATGGACTACTTAGATGGCGTCACACCATCACACGTCCAAAGTGACTGTCACACTGAGCCGCTATCGTAAAATGAGAGAATTTAAAGTTTGAAACGGGTCCATCACAATAAACTGAGGATTCGTGCACTGCGTAAGCACTTGCCATGGCGAAGAATCTCCTCCATTGGCGACTTCAACAGCACTAGTGGACAACGGCCACCAAATGATTCTGAGGTGTCACAGGTCACATCTGTCTTTGAAGTCAAGGTTCAGTTTCAAGTTGTCATACGCAGATTACGTCGAAGTAAGTGCATATCTCTAAGTAGGGTGCGGCCCGTACCTGACGGAATTTACGCCTCGGCGCTGCACACCTAGTGCACAGTGCAGGACAGGCGATGTCGATCACGTGATCGCGACTACGTGCTTGCTTGGGTAAGCCCGTGCGATTTCACCTTCGGATGGCACTACACAGTGGATGTAAGTTGCTGCATGCATACTTGCGTGCAATCAAATTTGGTGGATTCCGGGCGGTAATGCGGATGCGCGCGTTGTTTGCCAGGTCTTTTTCTCACTGTGACACTGCAGGTCATCAATTTCATGAAGTCGGACAGGAGGAGAGAGCAGAAAAATGTTGCTCTTATCTAAAGCCTCAAATATCCATGATGTACGGAGGACCGCACCAGACTTCCCGAGTACCGTGATATCGCAATTGCAGGGCTGGATACACAAACAGATGAAAAGAGAAAGAGATACGCCACAGACCAACAGCACAAAACGTGCAGCAACATAGCATGACATGGTGGGTGTCATTGCCACCGAGTTTCCTCCGTTGTTATTAAGGAATCGAGTGACAGCATGTCATAGCTTATAGACAGCGTCATCACCCTCTACTTGAAAGCCTCAAACTTCGCACCTCCGAGTCAATGTCTGTTATGCTACTTTCGGGGGAAACCAAAAAGAAACACAATTCGCAACTTCTTGTTCTGAAACATGGTCAAAACCGGGTAATGGTTAAACGGCAAAGGTCGTATAATGTGGGCGGAACAACTATTTAAATCTTTAACGACTCATTGGATATTATAAGCGCATGCTTGACACCGCCTGCAAATGTTTCCGAAGCATTCCGAGGAATGTGGTCACGTTGCAGACAAATGAACTCGATATTTGCGATGGCCACTATGTGGACATCACGGCTGAAATATGGGTCGATGTCATTGACTTGCTTAACGTCGTCGAGGTGACTCGGCGTGTGGACTCGGAAATGACGTCGCCCGTCTTACTGCCGCTTGATGTTTGTGCTGTTCCATCGCATGATAATCAATCGGCGCCAAGTGAGGTTAACGAACAGGACAGCTCGTACGCACCTCAGATATTCTATATGTGTACTCAGTACTAAAGTTGAGACCGCATAGCAGGGACGATGACAAAATCACAATCAAACTTGTTTTTCCATCTGGCGAGATTCAGACTACTAAAGTCTCGAGGGAAATGCGGGTGGACAAACTTATTGCGGATGTTAGTCAGACATTGGGTCATGGTCCCACTGATCTCATAGCATTTAATAACTCCAACTTGAAGAGTCGGGGTTTGGGTGGTATAATGATGAGTGAAAACCGGAGTATCGGATCGTACAACATCAAAGATGGTGACTCCATCAATCTTCGAGTTTCAAAGTTAAAGTCTCTGCTTCTTAAAAAGCCAGTCATTTATCTATACTCACCCTCCGATATCGATGTTTCTGTCAAGCTCTCCCTCATTCCTGAGTGGTGCCTCTCCGTCATCTACCCCATTGTTACCACAGAAGACCACGGACAGCGTTTAGAATGGAATATCCGCACCCATCAAGATGGGAGTCTGACTGAACATAATTCCGGTTTAGATGTGTCGTACTTGTTCTGGGAGGCCGAGTAAGTCCCTTGAGGACACAGAAATCACTCTCCTAACTTGTATTACTCTTCACAGGACAAATTCGCAAGCATTTCCCTGGTCACCAGCATCCAAACCGCAATCAGTGGATACGTTCAATCCCATATCCAGCAGTCTCGATGATATGGACTCGATTGTCATTCCAGTGGACAAAGCAACTGTTTACCTCGATAAGTCACTCAAAGGTTTGGGACTTCACACCGAAGCTAGAACATCATTCATAACGTGCGTACATATGCGCCGTCGAATCATAAACACGTCACTAAACTGCGGTGGTAGCTACTGGCTACCATCTATACACAAGCACGAATACATTGCTCTCCGATTCGTCCCTCAAGCGGCATACGAACGCGCCGCTTCCTTAAGCATTTCTCCACAGCCTGACGTCGTGACTCGCGTATTCATGCTGTTCAGAGGTGTCTCTAAGGAGCGCTTAGAAAATTGGTCTAACGCCCAGATGCAAGCAGAGAAAGACGTTGCTTGGTGGGTGGATGTAGTTGGAGTGGATCTTGCAAGGGCTAGTGATATGACTTTGTTCAGGGTGTTAGAATGGGGCGGGATGGAGGTTCTGATTTGATATTCTATCAAATTACTCGATTTATGTAAGTGTTATCGCGTTTTATCTTGATCAATTCTGCATCCAACAGTTGCGTGCTAGCTCAGCGGTGTCCGCACAAAATGTACGCAAGCAGAGTGCTCAAACGCAGAGAGATAGCGATGAACGGTCAGGACCAGGTTGTCTAAACTATCTCCAACATTTACGACGCTCAGAGATACGTCAGGAATGATTAATGATACATGTGTACGATGTACCAGAACTCAGCGTGAGCCGATGCGTGTCCGTGTAGGGAAGTTGATGCAAACGATACACAAACGCCTACAACGCTCATCATAACACGTGACTTCATACTTACATAATCTAGACCTTATGCGCTCGTGCTTTGTCTGTTGTAACACCTCAGTTGCTTGTATAGCCAACTGAGTATATCTTCTATAGTCTGATGATTCCTCGATTTAACAAAGTCTCCAGCTGATAAAGTATCTGAATCATTGAGGACGTTCGAGAACGTCCGGGAAATACTAATATTTTACGTAAAAGCGGCCAAGTGGATTTTCAAATTCTGGTCGAAAGATAGCCCAATACTACTCATGCACGTATACGAGACACCGCAGATCAACAGCAAAAAAAGCGCAGCAACATAGCATGACGTGGTGGGTGCCATTTGCCACCGAGCAGCCTTTTCTGCCAGCTATTAAGGGATCAAGCTGTCAAGTGCTAGCATGCCGTAGCTCATAGAGTCTCAGCGTCGTCACCCTCTACTTGTACTTGACTTGAAAGCCTCGAACTTCGAAGTTCGCACCTCTCAATGGTTACGCTACTTTCGGAGGAGACCAAAATGAAAGCAAACTCGCGACTTCTTGTTCTGAAACATGGTCAATACCGGGTCATGGTTAAACGGCAAAGGTCGTATAATGTGAGCAGAACAACTAATAAAATCTTTAATGACTCACAGATATTATAAGCGCATGCTTGACACCGCCTGCAAACATTTCCCAGGCATTCCGAGAGATGTAGTCACGTTTCAGACAAATGAATTCGATATTTGCGATGGCCACTATGTGGACATCACGGCTGAAATATGGGTCGATGTCATTGACTGGCTCAGCGTCATTGAGGTGACTCGGCGTGAGGAAATGACATCGCCCGTCTCACTGCCGCTTCGAGTTGATGCTTGTCACGCCATTTCACCGCCTGATAATCAATTGGCGCCAAGTCGGGTTAACGAACAGGACAGCTCGTACGCACTTCAAATATTCTACAACTGTTTTTAGTACTGAAGTTAAGACCACATAGCGAGGACGATGACAAAGTTACAATCAAACTTGTTTCTCCATCTGGCGAGATTCAGACTACTAGAGTCTCGAGGGAAATGCGGGTGGACAAATTTATTGCTGATGGTTGTAAGACATTGGGACATCCCACTGATTTCATGGCAGTTCAGTCCAAGGGTGGAGGTTTGGGTGCGGTAATCATGCGAGAGAACCGGAGTATCAGATCGTACAACGTCAGAGATGGTGACCCCATCAGTCTCCGAGCAAAGTCTCTGCTTCTTAAAAAGCCAGTCATTTATCTATACTCGCCCTCCGATATCGATGTTTCTGTCAAGCTCTCCCTCATTCCTGAGTGGAGCCTCTCCGTCATCTATCCCGTTGTTACCACAGAAGACCATGGACAGCGTTTGGAATGGAATGTCCGCACCCATCAAGATGGTAGTCTGACCGAACATAATTCCGGTTTAGATGTGTCGTACTTATTCTGGGAGGCGGAGTGAGTCTCTTGATGATATCTAAATCACTCACCCAATTTGTATTACTCTTCGCAGGTCGAATTTGCAAGCATTTCCCCAGTCACCAGCATCCAAACCGCAACCGGTGGATACGTTCAATCCCATATCCAGCAGCCTCGATGATATGGATTCAATCGTCATTCCAGTGGACAAAGCAACTGTTTACCTCGATAAATCACTCAAGGTTTTGGGACTTCACACCGAAGCTAGAACATCATTCATAACGTGCGTACACATGCGCTACCTCGGGCTGTCGAATCATAAACACGTCACTAAAACTGCCGTGGTAGCTACTGGCTGCCATCTATACTCAAGCACGAATACGTTGCCCTCCGATTCGTCCCTCAAGCGGCATACGAACGCGCAGCTTCTTTGAGCATTTCTCCGCAGCCTGACGTCGTGACTCGCGTATTCATGCTGTTCAGAGGTATCTCTAAGGAGCGCTTGGCAAATTGGTCTAACGCCCAGATGCAAGCAGAGAAAGACGTTGCTTGGTGGGCGGATGTAGTTGGAGTGGATCTCGCAAGGGCCGGTGATATGGCTTTGTTCAGGGTGTTAGAATGGGGCGGGATGGAGGTTCTGATTTGATACTCTATCAAATTACTCGATTTGTGTAGGTGCTATCGCGTTTTATATTGATCAGTTCTGCCTCCAACAGTTGTGAGGAGAACGTGCTAGCTCAGCGGTGTATATATAGACATGGATGGAAGAATATTAGTATCGTCTAGCTTCTAACGAGATTCTTAGACAATCCTTTTACCACTGCTGGAACCTTCGGTATGACTCTTTTCACTCAGGGACATGCAAGGGCATTCCAACGAGCTGCAGTGACTTCGTCGAAGATGAAGTGGGCACCGACTTGGCTTTTGGTGCATCTTTGGTTTGAGATTTCACGATACAGGAAATTCAAATTCTATACAAATGTGTCATTCCCTGGCGCGGCCGAGCGCCGTTACGATAAGCCAAGCTTAAGGTATATCTGAGTACTACTAGAGCGCCGACTCGGAAGCTGACTCGTGGAAATGCGGTGTTTTGAACTGGTACTAAGAGTCTGACATAGGAGTCAAGATGGAATTCGAACGCAGACACTATATGCCTTATACAGCTGCAAAATTTACAGTCTTTGCGAGTCGCTGAGGCGCAGTCTGATGATCAACACTCAATTTAATATTGTTACTATCCTGCGCTACGCTGACATGGTGTCTACTATCGAGGGAGAAAGTCCTGAGCAGTTTGGGCGAAGGCGCGCAGCGCCTCCCGGTCCCGAGCTGCATGCCTGTGTGAAGGAAGGTGAGCTGCGATACCCAAGTTTGTAGGAGTCCAACGACGCGTCGAGCGAGCCGATGATACCCATAGGATTAGGAGGAGGATGAGTACTCACGCGAGAGAATTGTTATCGAATGCGGGGCATCGTATGACGCAGGAACTCGTCCTGTATTGCTGGGGTTGCTTGCAGATAAGGCGCGAGTATTTGAGCATGGTTTCTAAGGTATAGCTGAAAGGCATCGCTGGCCCATCTCCCCATGGTCTTGACAACGTCGAAGGACACATTTCGGAGGAGGTACTCGAGAGTTGCCCCGATTCTGATGGCGTGACCCTGCAACGGATCCTGTCCGGCTTTCTTGGCGGCTTGCGCGAGTCGTGCAATGAATTTCGTCTTCGTTAGCGGGCGATGGCTGTTACCGAATCTGTAAGAGAACAGGGCGATGTCGAGGGGGGGATCATTGACCCGGAAGTGGTTGTTTAGCGCCGCTTCTGGGTCAGTAGGGCCATTCTGTGTTGCCCAGAAGACATCCTCCCCGACTTGCGATGTCTTGGTGCGAGGTAGACGAAAGACGGTGACCCTAAGGCCATTGCGATCTGCGTCCCTGCGGATGTCCGACCGTTTGACGTGGATGGATGCGTCGAAGGCTGATAGATTTCGAACTGTGAATTCCCCGGCCCTAGCGATAGAATAGAACGCCGTTGTAAGGCAACTACCTACCGCGGCGTCGAGTGGGTCGTTGGGATCCAAGTTCTCCAAGATGCTGCTGATGAAGGCTACTGTGTATGGGGGCCGTTTCTTCCGCTTTGATGACGAGGGCGTTAAGTTTTTGGCAGCCTTGAGCATGGTGTCAATCTTGTTGTCGTCTAGGGACCAGGACTTCCCATGTAAGATGTGCCATGCTCGTATGCCGTGAATATAGCTGGATATGGTTTTCCCTGAGTATGAGCCCGCTAGGTCTGAAATGAAGGCTGAAATAAGTTCGGATGATGCGGGAGCGCGAAGGTTGTCGTCGATGGTCTTAGAGTCGCAGTAAACGTGGAAGGCGAGTATGCCAGTGCCATACGCATCAGTAAATTCACACATTCCTTACCTTCCTTTTTCGTCACTTATTTTCTCACACAAGAGCGCACAAGAACCATATCATCTCCTTGTCACAAGCTTCAACAAGTTCAAAAGCAGATCCCTTCCTCTTGTATTTAGCTTTTCTTCGCTTTTTTTCCACTTTTTGTGCACTTATTTGAGAATGTATTGCATTGCAATCTTGATAGGTTTAATTTATACGGCGCTTCCCTCGTGCTGCTTGCCCAGGCGTGAATCATGACGTCTTGTATACGTTGAACGTCAGTGCTGGGGGTGGGTGGGAGGAGACGAGCTTTCTTCAGCTGGGAGCCAGAGTCGAATTCAATCCTTTGCTGCGCAGTGAGGGCGCAGCACAGATTCTCGGGGGGTCAGGTTACTAGGGTAAGCAGCGATAACTTTCGTTTGTCTGTTTAAATGGGGGGGGGGGGCGCTGTAACAAGGTGTTTGACGACTCACGCTTTTGACGCTTCGAAGATCTCTTCTCCTTGACGACGGAACTTGTCGTTGAGATTGTTGCGTGAATCTCGCGAGCGGGAGTGGATATCAGCGAGTGGGCGCGCTTGGGTGGTCTCATGGGGCCCATTATGTCCAGGAGTGACTTCGGGACCGTTGAAGTCTGCGACGAAGGGCTGAAGGGCTTTGGGGATGCGTATTGGGGGAAGCAGCAAATTTGATGGAGGGTAGATGCTCCTGGAAGGACCGTCTGCTGGGTTGTGGGCACTGGGCACGTAACGGGTGAGGAATGTGCATTTCGAGGATGCGGCGAGTTCATGTATCCGCTTGAAGACGTTGTTGGTAGCTCTATTGCGGCTCCGCCCTTTCCACCATCCCTCAACGACGCCCCTGTTGTCACCGAAAACCTTGATGCAACTGCCCTCTGGGCATTGATCGAGGAGCGTAATGATGAGGAACTCCATGCCGACGGCCTCTGCCCAGCCAATGTCTCGATTTTCGGCTTTCCAGCCTGGGAGGAGACGCCACGCCCTCCACCTGCCGCTGGTCCAAATCGCGATCCCAGTACCCGAACTAGCGTCTGAGTAAGCCGAGGGTTCAATGACTTCGATGGGCCCTGGGATTGGACGCGAGACGACGGGTTGCCTGAGGCTGGCTTTCCACCAGCGGAGGTCTTCGCTTGTAAGTTTGGGAGCAGTACGCGGCATGAAAGGACGGTCGTGGAATATGGCAAGCATGGTTTCCAGGGAGACGAGGTAAGCGCGTCCTGCAGGTAGGACCAGAGAGGCGTGCAAGAGCTTTCCGTACAGCTCTTGAACTTCTTGCAGGGTGTGTGAGGTTCGGGTTCCCCATTCCTGGATTGCTGCAATGTACTTCTCTTTCTTCTTCTGCGGAATCGAGACAGAATGTGTGGCGATGTCCCAAAGGAAACCAATGAAGGGGGCACATGATGAGAAGAGTATGTCCTTTGCCAGTTCCCAAGGTATTCCCAGGATTTTGGATAAGCGGTTGATGTCGTTGAAGCAGTAAGTGAAGAGCAGGTCCTCTGGTGAACGCGGGGTGGTTGCTGATAAATCAAGAATGGGGAATGACATATCTTCGTCGAATTCCTCGACGGTGTCATCAGGCATGGTTGATCCTCGGTACCATTTTCGTCCTCCATCCACGAGTAGTCCCCCGTTTCTCGCGATGATGGCTGCGTGAGATTTGCAAAGCTTGTTGTAGCTCTCAAGATGCTCTCGGAGTATGCGAATAAATAAATGATCATCCACCCACTTGGATAATGGTCTGATACCTTGAGATCTGAATATGTCAGAGCCTGCGTCAGCAACTTCACCATAGGTTCCCGCGGAGGCTGAGAAACCGAAGCAAAAGCTTGAATTGATAGCGAAGCTGTCGTCACCCGTTCTGACGACAAATCCCGGCCATTGGGATGGATGGAGAGGGACTGTGCGATAGGCCTCTGCCACGTCACGGACTGCAGCCTGCGAGCCTGGGGGTAAGGACCAGATGAGGAGACAAATGGTCGAGGCAAGTACCCCATGTACACGGATATAAATTGGAGTCAATGGAAGAATTAATGGATGATATAGTAGGGGAAGGGCGTAGAGGGAATGAAAGGTTCTGAACAAGCCTGAACTTTCCAGGTTTCCCTGGCTTGGGGACCATGGAAAGCGGAGCCGTCTGAAAGGGGCCAATGAGTTCTTCTGTATCTGATTTCGATAATGGACCAATGTAACGACCGGTGGAATATTCACGATATAAAATGGTTTCGAAAGCATCTCGATGTGTATGTAAAGAAGGACTATTAGAAGGAGTGTAGGTCTGAGATATTGAAGGAACACTGCCCATGAAGCCGAATTGAAGACCGTTAGGAATATGTGTGTACTTATGTATGTATAAGGTTTGAAGCTTGGAGGAAGTGTAGCCATGCTTCGGGCTGATAAGGAGTGAGTGCTCTAGATGTTCTCGCCTTGAGGACATTCTTGAGCTCCGTGATCTTTTGCTCCGCATCCCGAGCATTCGTGCACGTGGGAGCGAGCAGTGCTGGAACAACCTTTTGGTCTCTGCCAGTCATAACACAACTCGAGGCCTTCGGGGTTGACCAGGTGACCTTCTGCATTGCAACGACAGCGGGTCTTGGATCGTTTGTCCCAGAGGAACTCGGAAGAGCACTTGTGGATGGGGTGGCGGAAACGACCAAGGCAGAGGGCGCAGGCCAAGTGGCCCGATTGACCTGCGCCCGCTTGAAAAGACTGTTGACCCTTGTGGGGCTTCTTTGGTGCTTGGTCGGAAGAACGATATGGGTGGTAGCGACCACTTCCCGTGGGAGAGGATGGGTCTGTGCGCTTGCCCCGACTCTCGCTGACCTCCCGTCCCCGTTGGCGTGAATGGGTGTTGGGTGTGGGAAGCACGTTCTGCAGCTGCGTGAGAGTGCGCAGTGGTGCGAGGAAGGGGTAGTGTGGTTTGTGCGAGCGGGTGCGGAAGCGAAAGTGATTGGAAGCGCGATGACGCCGTTAGCAAGGAGTGGGCAGCAGGGGGGAGGAGGGAAAGGTAGCAAAATTAATGGTAGCGAAAGCAGGGGCGACATAAGCAGGAGGTGGGGCAAGCGAAGGTGATGATGGTGAGGCGTATGGTCAGCGAGCAGAATTTTAAGCGGATGAGGGTAGCGGGGGGGGAAGCGAAAGCAAAGATGGCAGAGGAAGCAGTACATTCGGGTGAAGGTGGATGGGTTGAGGGGAATGTATGTTAGTTTGTGTCAATGAATTAGAGGTTTAGGAACGGACGTACCATTCTCAAGCTTTCGTCGCGCTCGGTTTCCCAGACGTCGTCTGATAAGGTGTTGTACAAGGCATTGTTGAAGATGCCGATGTTGAAGCCTTGGTTTTGAGCGAGCCGATCATGCCACTCACGACGGACGAACCCTGCGTAGCGAAGTAGGGTCTTTTCTCCCCGTGGACGCATCCGGTGTTCATGATTGGTGATGAGCGTGAAGAAGAGGGCTAACGCTTGCTGGTGCTTCTCTGGCCATCCGTTCTTCTCGATGTGGATGAGGAAGCTAGTCTTTGCCAAGTCGAATTGGCGCCAGGATAAGTCGTGGTCGTGTAGGGCCTTGTGGGAAGCCTTGAAGGATGCTATCGTTTTGAGTGCGACAATACCCTTGACTTTCGCAAAGCCGAAGGCGTCATCTGCGTCAGAGGTGGATCTAGAAGTGATGGCCACTTCACGACAGCCGTCTGGACTAAAGTACCAGAGCTCTACGTACTTGTCACGAATTCCGAACACAAATCACTATTCTTTCTTGACAACACTCGTGAAACCTCTAAAGACACTCGTAAGACACCAGTTAAGCGCCCGTCACAAGCGCCTGTCGTTAGCGCTCAGTCAGCGTCTGTACCTATGACATTCACAACCAACCCTAACCCGAACTTATCCTTTACATTTCCGAACTTCTCTATTCCATTAGCGCCTACTACCGTTATCTCCGACATCCCTGATTTTGACTTCCTTACTCAAGCGATTAAGTCACGTGACTCTAGAAAACCCGAGAAACCCTTGCACAGCTATTACACGTTTCATGACATCATAGGAGTAGTTATATTTAGATCATCGTACGATTCCCTTTTCTATTTAATGATTGGTTAGTTAGTTCATTCTCAGATTCAGTCTCCGCTTCAATGTATGTCTACTCCATGTTCTTTATCTTCTGGATGGCGTATTGAGATGGACGGGGGATGATGACATCTGCCACGGGGGTTTCGGCATCGAAGTCGTTGTATCTTGGGCTTCTTCTTCTCGGCTTCGCGCTGCTATTCCTGCTCCTCAGCATTCCTTCTCTGCCCTCTCACGATCCGCGCGTTCTTGTGCCTCACGTGCGTCATCTTCCACTTGTTGCTGCACAACAGTCAATACGCTCTTGACGCTCTAGCCTCCAGCCCTCTGTCATCTGGGCAATGGCCACCCTCCCTGGTTTCGCCCTCCATCCATCATGGCATTGAGCCAACCACGGTACGCTACCGATTCGAAGTTGGGTTGCGCCTCCAGCGCAGGATCAGCAGGGATTCGCTCCATCAAATTCGGGAGAAGTCGGAATGCGCTTTGCAGAAGTTCTGAAGGGAGGATTTTAAGCTTGGACGGGAGATGAAATCTGGAATAACGGAGAGTGTGTGTTTTGGAGAATGAAGAGGAAAAGAAAGGAGGCCAGCAATGTCGTTGGGGACGACTGATACGAGAGGAAACGTCGTCGCAGTACGAAGACAAGGTGCGTACTGCTCCCGACGCTTGCGCAAAGACCTAACTCTATTTTTTCACTCGTTCCTCATTACATAATAGAGAATCAAGTTTTTACCTGTTTTTACTTGTACAAGAATATCTGCCCTAGTATTTCCGCTTGAACACATCTTCGAAAGATGTACGTACAGCATGCACAGCAAGTTGCAGCCTCGTGACCTCCTGCAACTGGACAAGCACCCACTCGTCCTTGAACGTTGAACTGTATCCCACCATCCAGCAAGCTTTCCATAGATTGAAACATCCATTTATCCCATCCCATTTCCATCGCGCTTTGGGACCCTAAGTTGACGACTTACTTTGACTTCAACAGATCCTTCAAATATTCGTACGTCGTCCCTGGAGATAAATATCGCCCAGATGATTTCTAACCACACCCAGCTAGTACTCTCAATCTGTCCATTTCATCACGCATATCACAACCTTTGTGAATGAGTGAGGAACAATGTCGGTTTTTCTCACTCTTGTCCCGCTCTCGCTTTCTGACCTTTTTGACAGTTCTTCCATCGTTTGAAGGAACTTGGGTGAGGTTGTCCCAGGTTGCTGTCAACGGTGCTGAATACAACTCTCGAGAACGTCAGCCCCACCCAAAATGTTTGGAAGGGACCCGGGTGGATCTCCTCACCTATATATACGAACGGCTAGACGACCCAGAGAAGAATCAACTTATTTGGCTGCATGGTACGGCAGGCGTTGGAAAGTCTGCTGTTGCGTTCACTGTAGCTGAGAGGATGAGAGGTCTAAAAGTGACAGAGCAGACTAATGTCGAAAAGCGGCTCGGAGGAACATTCTTTTTCTCGCGCAAGCACACGAAACGTTGCACGGCTGGGTATTTTTTCGCGACTCTTGTCTATCAGCTTGCCACCAATTTTCCCAGCATCCGGAAGGATGTGAACAAAGCCATTCGTGACAATCCTGCTCTACTAGACCCAGACAAGTCTCTCTGCGACCAAATGGAGGCTCTCTTTCTCCAACCCCTCCGAAATCTTCAAAGCAGATTGCGTGGGTGTCGGTCTCTGACATTTGTTGTCGATGCCCTTGATGAATGCACATCCGAACCCGAGCTTACCGATCTTATCCTTTTCCTCGCACGGGCTCTTCGTGAGCCTGATCTACCTGTGACACACATTCTACTCACGAGTCGCTCGGAATCGCATATCTGCAAAGCCTTTCAGAACAAGGAGGTGCAGCCGTTGTTGTGCGAAATACCCGTAAAAACTTCTGGGGAGGGTGTTGCTACCATCATCTCGCTCGATGGCGCCGATGTTGACAATGACATCTATATTTTCTTGCAGCATTCCTTCGCAGAGCTAGCAAGTTGTCATCCTGATTTCCCTCAGCCATCGAAGGATGATCTTGCGAAGCTGGCGAGCCGAGCGGGCAGACGTTTCATCGTGGCCTCTACAATGATGAAGTTCATTACCGACAATGAAAACAATGATCCACATGGTCGGCTGCAGCTGATGCTCAAGCTAACGAGCGAACTGCTGCCGGGAACGGAGGTATACAAGCTATACGATTGTGTCCTCTCCACGTGTGCTGACCCCAAACGGGCTTACATGCACTTGTCCATCGTCGCCGCGCTCACAGACCCTCTTTCCATCTCGCAAATCTCCTTACTTCTTGGCCCTAGTTTGGGCAGAGATGTGCAGACAACGCTGATACAGCTACGGTCTGTCATGGATATCCCTACAGACAGCACTCTCCCCGTGAATATCTATCACTCGTCCATTCGCGACTACGTTTCCGACCCCTCAAACTGCAGCCTCCTTCAAGTACGCGAACACAATATGCCGTCACCCCACTCTCTACTCGCTGATTCCTCTGTTCGCTTGATGATGAAAAATATTCCAGAAAGCACGGCCCTTTTGGATGCACTCTCGGAACTGGAAAAACAGCGCCAAGCTATGCAACCTGAGGACCCCCATCGATTCAAATTTTCGCTATCCTTCCTTGTTCGCCCACCAGAGCCACTGTCAGTTCTCATCTGTATGCTATGGCTTCGGGGAGATCGTACTTCAGATTTACAATATTGGCTAGAGACCGTGGATGGGCATGCCTGGGTGCAGACCACAAATGGACGAGAGTGGCTGCAGACCCAGGGAGGACGAGACTGGCTGCAAACCCTGGAAGGACGAAGCTTGCTGCAGACCGAGGGACAACAAGACTGGTTACAGATCTGGAGAGGACGGAAGTGGCTGCAGACCGAGGGAGCACGAGAGTGGTTGGGGACCGAGGAAGGACGGAACTGGCTGCAGACCAAGAGAGCACGAGAGTGGTTGCAGACCCAGGAGGGACGAAAGTGGTTGCAGACCGAGGGAGGACAAGACTGGCTGCAGACCAAGGGAGCACGAGAGTGGTTGCAGACCCAAGATGGACGAAAGTGGTTGCAGACCGAGGGAGGACAAGACTGGCTGCAGACCGAGAGAGGAGGAGACTGGCTGCAGACCGAGGAAGGACGAGACTGGCTGCAGGCCGAGGGAGGATGGCAGTGGTGGCTGCGGACAGAGGGAGGACGAGAGTGGCTGCAGACAGAGGGAGGAGGAGACTGGCTGCAGACAGAGGGTGGAGGAGACTGGCTGCAGACAGAGGGAGGAGGAGACTGGTTGCAGACCGAGATGGGACGAGACTGGCTAGAGACGGAGGGAGGACGACACTGGCTGCAGACCGAGATAGGACGATACTGGCTAGAGACTGAGGGAGGACGACACTGGCTGCAGACCGAGGGAGGACGACACTGGTTGCAGATCGAGGGAGGACGACACTGGCTGCCGACCGAGGGAGGACGAGACTGGCTGGAGACAGAGGGAGGAGACTGGTTGCAGACCGAGGGAGGACGAGACTGGCTGCAGACCGAGATGGGACGAGACTGGCTGCAGACCGAGGGAGGAGGAGACTGGTTGCAGACCGAGGAAGGACGAGACTGGTGGCTGCAGACCTGAGGAAGGACCAGACTGGCTGCAGGCCGAGGATAGACGAGAGTGGCTGCAGACCGAGGGTGGACGAGACTGGCTGCAGACCGAGGGCGGACGAGACTGGCTGCAGACCGAGGGTGGACGAGACTGGCTGGAGACCGAGGGTGGACGGGGCTGGTGGCTGGAGACCGAGGGAGGACGAGACTGGCTGCAGACTGAAGAAGGACGAGACTGGCTGCAGACCAAGGGAGGACGGGGCTGGCTGCAGACCAAGGGAGGACGAGGCTGGTGGCTGCAGACCGAGGGAGGACGTGACTGGCTGCAGACCGAAGGAGGACGAGACTGGCTGCAGACCAAGGGAGGACGGGGCTGGTGGCTGGAGACCGAGGGAGGACGACACTGGTTGCAGACTGAGGAAGGACGACACTGGCTGCAGACCGAGATAGGACAACACTGGCTGCAGGCCTGGAGTGGACGAATGTGGTTGGAGACCGAGGGAGGAGGAGACTGGCTGCAGACTGATGGAGGAGGAGACTGGCTGCAGACCGAAGGAGGACGAGACTGGCTGCAGACCAAGGGAGGACGAGGCTGGTGGCTGCAGACCGAGGGAGGACGTGACTGGCTGCAGACCGAAGGAGGACGAGACTGGCTGCAGACCAAGGGAGGACGGGGCTGGTGGCTGGAGACCGAGGGAGGACGACACTGGTTGCAGACTGAGGAAGGACGACATTGGCTGCAGACTGAGATAGGACGACACTGGCTGCAGGCCTGGAGTGGACGAATGTGGTTGGAGACCGAAGGAGGACGAGACTGGCTGCAGACTGATGGAGGAGACTGGCTGCAGATCGAAGGAGGACGAGACTGGCTGCAGACCAAGGGAGGACAAGACTGGCTGCAGACCGAGGGAGGGCGAGACTGGCTGCAGACCGAAGGAGGACGAGGCTGGCTGCAGACCAAGGGAGGACGGGGCTGGTGGCTGGAGACCGAGGGGGGACGACACTGGCTGCAGACTGAGGAAGGACAACACTGGCTGCAGACCGAGATAGGACGACACTGGCTGGAAATGGAGGGAGGGCTGCAGCCGAGGACGAAACTGGCTGCAGACCTGGAGAGGACAAGACTGGCTGCAGACCAAGGGAGGACAAGACTGGCTGCAGACCAAGGGAGGACAAGACTGGCTGCAGACCGAGGGAGGGCGAGACTGGCTGCAGACCGAAGGAGGACGAGGCTGGCTGCAGACCAAGGGAGGACGGGGCTGGTGGCTGGAGACCGAGGGAGGACGACATTGGCTGCAGACCCCGGACGCGCATAACTGGGTGCAAACCCCGGGAGGGTTAGATTGGCTCCAGACCCAGAGAGGGCTAGACTGGCTCCGGACCCCGGCGGGCGGGCGAGACTGGCTTCAGACCCTGGGCGGGCGAAACTGGCTCCAGACGCCCTATGGCCAAGCGTGGCAATCCACTCCTGCGGGATCCGTATGGACGACTATGGAAGAATTCTCGAGTACGTTGGAAATAATCAGCAACTATGACATTGTCCCGGAATTGGCTTTCCTGCCAACCTTCAAAGTAATCCAGCAGCTCAAAAGTTTTCCGGATTTCTTGACGTTTCCGATGTTCCTGGCGTTGATACCCCAAGATCGTTTTACCTCTGCATCGCCAGAAGTTCTTGACAGGGAGATCATCCGTGCTATGAATCTCTTTATAGCTTTTGCAAACGAGGCACAGGAACGAAGTCGATCATCTTCTAACGCTCTCAAGTATGCATCTCAAAACTGGGTTGCTCACCTGTCACGTGCTCCAAATCCATGGGACGATACTCTCAACCATATATTCCAGGTTTTCTGGAATCGTCACCTCCTTTCCTGGCTCGAACGGCAGTGGTGTTTGAAGGGACTGCGGTCTTGTCTTGATATTTTATCCGAGGGGCAGAAACTTGCAAAGGTTATTACCTTGCTTCAGGTTTGACTTTTTTTTCATTCTGTGAAACCGCTTTTGAATATCTCTCATCTTCAGCTTGAACCTTCAACGCACAGCCCAATGAATGGTTATCAGCAGCCATCGGTCCCAATTCCCGGCACACGACAACGGAAGCCTCTTCCACCCTTCCCCTCTCCGAGGCCCGACACCGCTGTACTCCATGTTGGTACATCCGGAAAGCGAACTTCGGATGAGTTTCCGGTCAATAGCAACAGTGCACTCGAATCGGACACCTCTGATAGCCCATCAAAACGTCGGAAATGAATCAAACAGTGTTTGCTACGCAAGACTGGCAGGAGCACTAGTAGGATACCGAATAACATTTGGTTCACCCATACGGACGCGCGCGTTGCTCGCCAGGTCTTTTCCTCACTACAGGTCATCGATTTTGTGAAGGGCAGCAGAACAATGTTTACTCTTATCTAATGTCTCAAATATACATGATGCACAGAGGACCGCGCCAGACTTCCCGGGTACCGCGACATCACAAATGATTGCAAGGCTGCACATACAAACAGAACTCGAGCATGACAATCAATTTGCCCAATACTACTCATGCACGTATGCGAAATTTGAGAGATACGCCAGACCAACAGCAAAAAACGCGCAACGACACAGCATGACGTGGTGAGTGCCATTTTCCACCGAGCCGCCTCTTCTGCCAGCTATTAAGGGATCGAGTGCCAGCATGCTGTAGCTCATAGAATCTCAGCGTCGTCACCCTCTACTTGTACTTGACTTGAAAGCCTCGAACTTCGCACCTCTCAATGTCTGTTACGCTACTTTCAGAGGAGACCAAAAAGAAAGCAAACTCGCAACTTCTTGTTATAAAACATGGTCAATACCGGGTCATGGTTAAACGCCAAAGGTCGTATAATGTGGGCAGGACAACTAATGAAATCTTTAATGGCTCACAAATATTAGCGCATGCTTGACTCCGTCTACAAATATTTCCCAGGAATTCCGAGAGATGTGGTCACGTTGCGGACAAATGAACTCGATGTTTGCGATGGCCACTATTTGGACATCACGGTTGAAGTATGGGACAATGTCATTGACTTGCTTAACGTCGTTGAGGTGACTCGGCGTGAGGAAATGACATTACCCGTCCCACTGCCGCTTGATGATCAATCGGCGCCAAGTGAGGTTAAGGAACGTGACAGCTCGTACGCACCCCAAATATTCTACGAGTGTACTCGGTACTGAAGTTGAAACCGCATAACAGGGTGTTGGAATGGGGCGGGATGGAAGTTCTCGTTTGATATTCTGTCAGATTACTCAAATTTGTGTAGGTGGTATCGTGTTTTATCTTCATCAGTTCTGCATCCAACAGTTGTGAGGAGAACGTACTAGCTCAAGCGCTCAACGTTCAACGTTCAACGTTCAACGTCAACGGTGTCCATGCAAGCTGAGACCGGCCCGATGCATCTCCGGGACTAGCGGACTTTGCTCCTGTTTGTCATCCTTTGTCCCTTATTCAGATGGCAGCACACAGTGGATGTAAGCTACTGCATGCATACTTGCGCGCAAGCAAAGTTGGTTGATTCCGAACGATAATGCGGACGCGCCGTTGCTCACTACTAGGTCTTTTTCTTACTGCAGGTCATCGATGTCGTGAAGGACAGGAGGAGAGAGCAGAAAAATGTCACTCTTATCTAAAGCCTCAAATATCAATGATGTACGGAGGACTTGCACCAGACCTCCCGAGTACCGTGACATAGCAATCATCAAAGAACTGATGGGTCATTGATCTTGGCAACAGCCGTCTCAGAGGTCCACCAGTTCACTGATGATTGCAAGGTTGGACATACATACAGTATCATAAAGGTGGTGCAATTGATGTTCGATGTCGGACAGAACCCGAGTATGACAATTAATCTGTCCAATGCTACTCGTGCACGTATGCGAAATTCGAACAAGACAGAGATACGCCACAGAATAGCAAAAAACGCGCAGCAACATCATATGACGTGGTAGGTGCCATTGCCACCGAGTTGCCTCCGTTGTTACTTAAAGGGTCGAGTGCCAGCATGCCATAGCTCATAGACAACGTCGTCACCCCCTACTTGTACTTGACTTGAAATCCTCGAACCTCGCACCTCTGAATTCAATGTCTGCTACGCTATTGTCGGAGGAGACCACAAAGAAACAAAACTCGCAACTTCTTGTTCTGAAACATGGTCAAAACCGGGTAATGGTTAAACGGCGAAGGTCGTATGATGTGGGCGGAACAACCATTTAAATCTTTGATGGCTCATAGATATCATAAGCTCATGCTTGAATCTGCCTGTAAATGTTTCCCAGGCATTCCGAGAGATGTAGTCACGTTGCAGACAAATGAACTCGATGTCTGCGAAGGTCACTATGTGGACATCACGGCTGAAATATGGGACGATGTCATTGACTTGCTCAACGTCATCGAGGTGACTCGGTGTGAGGGAATGACATCGCCCGTCCCACTGCCGCTTGGTGCTCGTCATTGTATCTCATCGCCTGATAATCAATCGACGCCAAGTCGGGTTAACAAACAGGACAGCTCGTGCGTACCTCAAATATTCTACAACTGTTTTCAGTATTGAAGTTAAGATCACATATGGCAGGAATGATGGTAAAGTCACAATCAAACCTTGTTTCTCCATCTGGCGAGATTCAGACTACTAGAGTCTCGAGGGAAATGCGGGTGGACAAACTTATTGCTGATGGTTGTAAGACATTGGGACATCCCACTGATTTCATGGCAATTCAGTCCGTGGGTGGAGGTATGGGTGGGGTATTCATGAAAGAGAACCGGAGTCTCAGATCGTACGAAGTCAGAGATGGTAGCACTATCAGTCTTCGTGCAAAGGGTCAACTTGGTATAAGGCACCTGTACCTGTAGGATTGATGCATCAGTGCCTACAACTACAAGTCATTTGGCAAGTTAGTGATACATCGCTGTACAGTAGACTATAGGTTCCCGATGGCCCCAGTGCCATGTCCGAGTATGGCGGCTATACTGTGTTCTACTCAAATTCTGGCCCTAAGATCTCAGAGCCGTCTACGATTGCCAGTGAGTCTTATTACCATGTCCGAGTATAGTACTGCGTTGTATTCAAGTTCTGGTCCCTAGATTGAGCCACCTATGATCGAGCATCTATGATCAATCCGCAGTCCTGGATGCAAACATGATGTATTATTGTGCCTGAGAACGCCACTACACTAGAAACAAACTAGTATGTCGACACAGCTGTCTTCAAAAGTCCATGGCTGCAGGAGGCGCATCAATCGAAGGACCGCTGTCATCATCAGAAGCCGGAATAGAGACTACGGGGGCAGAACTAAGCTGAGAAACAAAGCTCCAACGAGTTTGGAATGAGTTCTGCATCGCAGAGCGGAGTGCAGCCTGACGGTATGCATATGCCTGCAAGCCCTCTTGCTCAGTAGTCTTCTCCAATGAGCGCAGAGTTGTGCGCTGATGCCACCAGCAATTCTATCAGATCATCTTACTCAATTTGTGTAGGTGTCATTGCGTCTTGTCTTGATCAGTTCTGCATCCGACAGTTGGGAGGAGAACGTGAGCTCGACGGCGTCCGCGAAATAGATGCATATGATTAAACCTGCCCGCAGTTGAAAAGCTGTGGTTAAAGCAAGGCTAAATATCCAAATTTAAGTGTACATCTCTTGCTTTGGAGTAGATGGTCGTGGCGAGTGTTCAAAATCAGATTCTATCCGATCGAACTCCCGGGTATCTGAGACTCGCGGAGATGTAATTTAGATCTCTGATAAGTTATAACACAGTTTGAATTCAAGAGAACATGAAAAACGACGTCCCTAAAGTAAGCGCTATGGTGCATGCTGGAGGGTGCCCCCTCGCATCACTGATGAACGACAAGTTCGACAGCTCCCACTAAACCTACACTTAAAAGTATAGCAAAGGTTATAGCAACAAATTGAAATTACACGTCATCATGGACACCCAAAGACAACGAATACACAAGCCGTAAATCAATTAATCACGACTGTCCCTCCCGCCCCTTCTCGTAAAAAGTCAACATGCTCGGTCAAAAATCTCACCTGTTCCAGCGTCTTAATTGCCTTGAAAGCTTGACACTTCGCCGCCACTGCGGCACAACGGCGCCGGTGTTTGCGCGCTCGATGAGTCCCTTCTCACGTGACTCTCCAAGCTCCATGTTGATCCACTCGCACATTGCACAAGCTGATTTTTAGTGCCCAGCAGCATGCTACAATGCCAATGCTGGCAACTTTTAGTTCATTTATTCGCTCTCGGAGACTCGAACCCTACTTGATCAGCACTGATAGAATTAGGGTTTTCCTGATGCATGGCACCTGAAGCACCCGATATGCTGCAGGTGGCGTGCGGAGAATCTTTTTGGTCTGTACGGACTTTGGTATCACACTGTGCTTGTGTTCACTCCGAGTCATGCAGATGCTACCCCAATCTTAGGCGTGCTGGGGGCTTACTACAACAAAAGCGTTGTGTGATTAGCATTCATTTGCCTTCATCAGTCTCCGCACCAGTGACACCTGTTGCATCTCCTGCTGACCTCGTCCTTGTTGATCAGGAGTGCCATGCGTATTCGGCTTATCTCGTGGAGGCTGGCCGGCCGAAGCTGTTTGTGATGCGGCCGGACGGAGTGATAATGATTGGAGCGATCGTACATGGTGCAGAAGGTGTGAAGAACTATTTCCCCAGAATATTTTTGAATGCGGTTTGTTCGTTTTACTTTTATATCACAACTCATTCATTACTAAGTGGTGTAGAGGTCAAGGTGCAGTGTTGGTTCGCTTTGTACTAGTATGACCTCGTGTACTAGACACGCAACTGCGAAGTACAGTGCTGCACGTGCGTGTGTTATGGGCGCAGTGTTGAATACTTCTTGAAGGAATCAGCGAGCGCCATGGTTCATAAACAGCGTCGTCACCCTCTACCTGCACTTAACTTGAAGCCTTCAAACTTCGTACCTCTGAATCATGATGTCTCTTTCCACGTTGTGGTGGGGGAGGACGGAAGCGAAACCGCAATTTCTTGTTCTCAAACATGGTCACAAACGGGTCATGGTTAAACGGCAAAGCTATAATGTGGGTGGAACAGCTGTTTTAAATCTTTAATAGCTCATAGATAGTATTACTTAGCTCATGCTTGACACCGCCTGCAAACATTTCCCAAGCATTCCGAGAGATATGATCATGTTGCAGACCAATCAACTCGATGTTTGCGATGGCCACTATGTCGACATCACGCCTGAAATATGGGACGATCTCATTGACTCGCTTCATGTCGTTGAGGTGACTCGGCATGCGGAAATGACATTGCCCATCCCACTGCTGCCGCTTGATGCTTGGGCCTTTTCATTCCCTGGCCATCAATCAGCCCCAAGTCAGGCTAACGGACAGGACGCAAAAAACAAGAAAGGAAAAAACAAGAACAAAAAAATGAACGAACAAGACAGCTCGTACGCACCCCAAATGTTCTACAAGTGTTCTTAGTACTGAAGTTGAAACCACATAACAGGGACGATGACATAGTCACAATCAAAGTTGTTTTTCCATCTGGCGAGATTCAGACTGCTAAAGTCTCGAAGGAACTGCGGGTGGACAAACTCGTTGCTGACGCTAGTCATATATTGGGACGTTGTCCTACTGATATCATGGCAGTTTGGGGTGGGGCAATATTGCGTGGAGATCTAAGTATCGGATCGTACAATATCAAGGATGGCGACTCCATCAATCTTCAGCTTCAGGCGTCACTGCGTATTGCAAAGCCAGTTATCTATCTATACTCGCCCTCCGATATCGATGTTTCTGTCAAGCTCTCCCTCATTCCTGAGTGGAGCCTCTCTGTCATCTATCCCGTTGTTACCACAGAAGACCATGGGCAGCGTTTAGAATGGAATGTCCGCACCCATCAAGACGGAAGTCTGATGGAACACAATTCAGGTTTAGATGTGTCGTACTTGTTCTGGGAGGCGGAGTAAGTCCCTGATCATACAGAAAACACTCTCCTGACTTGTATTACTCTTCGCAGGTCAAATCTGCAAACATTTGCCCGGTCACCAGCATCCAAACCGCAACCAGTGGATACATTCAATCCAATATCCAGCAGTCTCGATGATATGGATTCGATTGTCATTCCAGTGGACAATGCAACTGTTTACCTTGATAAATCACTCAAAGCTTTGGGACTTCACACCGAAGCTAGAACATCATTCATAACGTGCGTACATATAGGTTGTCAGATCATAAACACGTGACTAAAATTGTTGTGGTAGCTACTGGCTACCATCTATCCTTAAGCACGAATACATTGCCCTCCGATTCGTTCCTCAAGCAGCATACGAACGCGCCGCTTCTTTAAGTATTTCTCCGCAGCCTGACGTCGTGACTCGCGTATGCATGTTGTTCAAAGGTATCTGCAAGGAGCATCTAGCAAATTGGGCAGATGCACAAATGCAAGCAGAGAAAGACGTTGCTTGGTGGGTGGATGTAGTTGGAGTTGATCCTGCAAGAGCTGGTGATACGAGTTTGTTCAGGGTGTTGGAATGGGGCGGGTTGGAGGTTCTCGTTTGATATTCTATCAGATTACTCCATCAGGAAAATGCGAAATCCCTGTAGGCAGCCATTTCCTATGTAGCGTATTTAGATCACGCGCTCCTAAATAAGACTCTGTAGGTTCTGTAGGCGGCTCAACTCAGCATTCAACTCTGTAGGAGATTTGTGTAGGTGTTATCTCGTATCTTGATCAGTTCTGCATACAGTTGTGAGGAGAACGTGAGCTCGACAGTGTTCGCGAGATACTAGATGCATATGATTAAACATGCTCGCAGTCTGCATGTTGTTCAAAAGTTCTGCAAGGAGTACCGCTGATGCTGTGACTTCATCAACGACACCAATGGATGATGAGCGGGAGATATGGGAGTCTGCAAGTCAATTAGGTGAAATTCACCTGCAAATTAACGCAAATCAGCTTCAAAAAGCTGGAGCTTTCGTGGGCAGAGCCTCCGCGAAATAGATGGATATGATTAAAGCTGGGAAGTAAAGCAAGGCTAAAGATACAAATTTGAGCGTACATCTCTTGCTATGGAGTAGAGGGTCGTGGCGAGTCTTAAAAATCAGATTCTGTTCTTCCCCTTTATGTAGCGTAACACTCATATGAACGGCTGAATATAATTACTCACGGTCTAGGATCATGGTGCGATCCCCTTCTCGTTTTCCGAGCCTGCTGCGGCTTAGTACAACCCAGGCGTCATTGCTACTCAGGCTCTGCTCGTGATGTCACATTCGCTCGAAGGTACCTCTCCACGAGTCCAATCTTGAGGCAGTGATAAGTGCTCGTGGGCCTTCTTAGGCCATCCTCAACACACTCTTAATTTGCCCTCACGCGAACCTTTAGAGTGCTGCAAGCAGTCATACTACGGGGAAAGTCGCCAGTTGCCTATCAACTGCGTGCTCCTTTACGCTATGTTTGGAATCAGGAGACCGGGAGCGTTTTGACGAAGTGTACTGGAAGATTTCGCTTACCAGGAGATCATTCATCGAGTGTAGAGACCAGGGTGTTACTGGTTGAGTGCGCTTCTACTTGTTGAATCTCCATTACAGGTCCGAATATCAATTTGATGAGGTCGTGGCTATCGTTAGTGACTCCAATATCCAAGTGATTGCGATGCTCTAGCTCCGTTGGAAAACGGAACTACGTGGAAAAATCAAGAGTATTGTTGCCTTCCCGAGGAGACGCCGGCGCCACAAGGCGCGCGAGGCTGGCAATCAGAATCGGTTTGCCTTCATCCGCACAAGAAATTCGAGCTCCGCGTCATTCAGACAACTACAAACAGTTAACTATGCACAGGACATGTCAACATATCAACATGTCAACTAACCAAACAATACAGCGTGCTCCAACTTGACTTATACGCCGTAGATCAGTGTCGATATCTTGACAAACGACGCTGCAGTGGCTGCACCCTCTGATCAGACCTGCGAGGCGAGAAGGCGTGAAGAAATATTTCTCCAGAATATGTTTTTGAATGTGGTCTGTTCGTTTTTCATGTATGACTTTTATATCGCAACTCATGACCAAGTAGTGTAGAGGTCAAGGTGCAGTGTTTGTTGGTGTTAGTTCGTTCTGTATGACTCTGTAGACACGCGACTGCCGCATGTGTTATGTGTGCATGTAGGCGCAGTGTTGATTGAAGGTATCGAGCGCCACAGCTCATAAACAGCGTCGTCGCCCTTTACCTGCACTTAACTTGAAGATTTCAAACTTCGTACCTCTGAATCAAGATGTCTCTTTCCACATTATGGTTGGGGAAGACTGAAGCGAAACAAATCTCGCAATTTCTTGTTCTCAAACATGGTCAAGACCGGGTCATGGTTAAACGGCAAAGCTCGTATGATGTGGGTGGAACAACTGTTTAAATCTTTAATAGCTCATACATAGTATAAGCTCATGCTTGACACCGCCTGCAAACATTTCCCAAGCATTCCGAGATATTTGGTCAAGTTGCAGACCAATCAACTCGATGTTTGTGATGGCCACTATGTGGACATCACGCCTGATATATGGGACGATGTCATTGACTTGCTTAACGTCGTTGAGGTGACTCAGCGTGCGGAAAAGACATTGCCTGTCCCACTGCCGCTTGTCTCGGATGCTCAGTGGGGCTATTTCATTCCGGATGGAATCTGATTTTTAAAACTCGCCACAACCATCTACTCCAAAGCAAGAGATGTACACTTAAATTTGGATATTTTAACCCCATATTTTCAACTGCGGGCAGGTTTAATCATATGCATCTATTTCGCGGACGCCGTCGAGCTCACGTTCTCCTCCCAACTGTCGGATGCAGAACTGATCAAGACAAGACGCAATGACACCTACACAAATTGAGTAAGATGATCTGACAGAATTGTTGGTGGCATCAGCGCACAACTCTGCGCTCATTGGAGAAGACTACTGAGCAAGAGGGCTTGCAGGCATATGCATACCGTCAGGCTGCACTCCGTTCTGCGATGCAGATAATGCGTGGAGATTTGAGTATCGGATCGTACAACATCAAGGATGGCGACTCCATCAATCTTCAGGCGTCACTGCGTATTGCAAAGCCAGTTATCTATCTATATTCGCCTTCCGATATCGATGTTTCTGTCAAGCTCTTCCCCATTCCTGAGTGGAGTCTCTCTGTCATCTATCCCGTTGTTTCCACGGAAGACAATGGACATCGTTTGGAATGGAATGTCCGCACCCATCAAGATAGGAGCCTGACTGAAAATAATTCTGGTTTAGATGTGTCGTACTTGTTCTGGGAGGCGGAGTAAGTCCCCTGATGAAACAGAAATCACCCTTCTAACTTGTATTACTCTTCACAGGAAAAATTTGCAAGCATTTCTCCGGTCACCAGCATCCAAACCGCAACCAGTGGATACATTCAATCCAATATCCAGCAATCTCAATGATATGGATTCAATCGTCATTCCAGTGGACAGAGCAACTGTTTACCTCGATAAATCACTCAAGGTTTTGGGGCTTCACACCGAAGCTAGAACATCGTTCATAACGTGCGTACAGATGCGCTACCTCGAATCATAACACGTCACTAAAATTGCCGTGGTAGCTACTGGCTACCATCTATCCTTAAACATGAATACATTGCCCTCCGATTCGTCCCTCAAGCGGCATATGAACGCGCCGCTTCTTTAAGCATTTCTCCGCAGCCTGACGTCGTGACTCGCGTATGCATGTTGTTCAAAGGTATCCGGAAGGAGCACCTAGAAATTTGGGCGAATGCACAAATGCAAGCAGAAAAAGACGTTGCTTGGTGGGTGGATGTAGTTGGAGTTGATCCTGCAAGAGCTGGTGATGCGAATTTGTTCAGGGTGTTGGAGTGGGGCGGAATGGAGGTTCTCATTTGATATTCTGTCAGATTATTCAAATATGTGTAAGTGTTATCGCGTTTTATCTTGATCGGTTCTGCATCCGACAGTTGTGAGGAGAATGTGAGCTCGACGGTGTCCGCGAAATAGATGCATATGATTAAACATGCCCGCAGTTGAAAAGTTGGGGTTAAAGCAAGGTTAAATATCCAAATTTGAGTGTACATCTCTTGAGCTTTGGAGTAGATAGTCGAGTCGTAAAGTATCCCCACGTTGATCCACCCACACAAGCCGACTTTTAGTACCCGACAGTATGATACGAGGCCTGCCTTACCCAGACCCCCACGACAACGCACAAGGATACTTGCACCGCGCATGGTGTAAGCATCCATGAGTTTTGTCGGGGACTCGTCCAATGACCAAGGCAATAGTGGAGCAAGGCCTTCAAGCAGTGGCATCCTGCGAGCATAATTAAAGCGAGCAGCTGAAGGGCTCGACAAACGGAAGTACTTACCAAAGAATGTCCATTCCTGCCGGTGCGCAGACCTCACATAGTCTGACCAGTGTATTCCAAGAAACTCGAGCTCCTCGTCATCCAGACAACTATAAACAGTTAACTATCATGATGCACAGGACATGTCAATATGTCAACTAACCAAAAATACAGCGTGATCCAACTTGGCTTATACGCCATAGATCAGTGTCGAGATCTCGACAAACAGTGCTGCGCCCTCTGACCTGACCTGCGAGTGAGGGCGTTACGGTGCAGCACGGATGCGGTAGGGTGCGGTACGATGCGGCAAAATCCTAAGGCCGTGTCTACTGACAAAGACAAGTTAAACATATCACCGGACTTTGACGCAAAATATTGATCACCCTGCTTGCAAGCAGCAAGGTGATACTATAAGGTACGCACTTTCTGTAAACGTCACATGATGTGACAAAGGTGTGACTTGCTTATTGTCATTGATCACAGCGCGGCGCCCCGACGAGAGCAAAGGGGTGTGTTTCGAAAGTAAACGTGCTTACATGCATGGTGGGGGCGGTGTAGAGACTCATGTTTCTCCAGGCTCATATGGGCCAAATTCACGCCTTTTCACAATGCACTCGATATCCTTGCAACGCGCTTCTCATATGACTTCCGCGCAATGCACGCTTTGGCGCGTACCAGCGCGTTCGAGTGCGTTCGAGTGCGTCGAGTGTGTTCGAGCGCGTTACGGTGCACTTCGTCGCATTTCCTTAGGATCCGTCGCCTGTCCTCCGCATGTCCCGTCCTAGTCCTCCAAGGTCCATTGGTGCGTTTTCCCTTCTTCAGAACTCATACTCCGTCACACAGGCACTAGTACTTATCATCATATCTCGTTATGGACCCTGACTTACCTCACCATTTACCTTAGTACTTCCTATTCGGCTCCGAGCCGTGGGAACTCGCTTAGCATACCTACACGTCACCATGTTTGTTTTCCTGGCACTTACTTCCACTCCACTACCATCGAAGTGTATAGCTCGAGTTTCTATCTGAATACACTGGTTTCCTTCCTATTGGCGCTTTGACACCTTTAAGTGTCTATTTCTACATCTATCAAAGTCCTGATTCCCCCATTTGATTGTCATCTCTACTCGAAGCACTCTGTTGTGATCGCACGAAGTGCGCTTTTCCGCACTTTCCGCCTTATTAGCGCGTTTAGGCGCGTTTAGCTAGCGCACTTCGCTTTTGGGTGCATTATTTGCCTCAGAGTCCCATTCAGGCTTCGAGACTGAACCGCTGGTTATAGATCCCCCTCACCTTTCACTAGAGGAATCTTTCTCAGTAGCAATCCCCTTGGGATGACTTTCCACTCATATCCAGAGGAGCACTTGAGAGCCCACTTCCCACTCTTCCCCCTAGCACGCAGCTATCATTCCTCGCCCTCAGCGGACTCAGAGAAAGTGGGGATGCACCTGGCAATACGTACAAAAATATTTGTAAATCCATTCAGCAGTACCCATTCTTGGATGAGCAGATAACGGGTACTCACTCCGACCCGTGACGCATGACCCATGCGGGTTACTACTCAATATCCGTGCAGCTGATCCGGGCAGGCAGTTGATCGAATGCTTTGGGGTTCGAGACCTCTGAGAGACCCAAGAATCTGAAGGCCGACGATGTTGATTAACGCTTGTGATTCATCCTTAGGTCCCACAGAACGATGACGAGGAGAGATTCTTATGTAATGATGATATCATATTCAGTTCGGCTTGCATATTACGTGGTTATGTTTCATAAAAATCACGTTGTCCTGCATGATTTGGGAATCATGCATGGACATGACTACTAGGTATCCCCCTAAAAGACAAAGTCTGTTAGCTTAGTCCTCAGACTAGTCAACCCATACCTTGGTATCAAACCTTGGTCCAATAGTTCCAGTTTTCCCTCAATGATTCATGAATCCACCATGTTTTGAAGAAAAGTCATATGTGAGATGGGAATCACATAATGACCTAGTTGATATGAGAAGCAAAATGAAGGTTAAGGTATTGCCTTTCCTTTGGCTTATTCACTTTGGCTAGAGAAACCCATAGAGAAAAGTTCAAAGCCTAACAAAAACCTATCTAAAAAGCCCACATATTGTGTACTATTATTTGTTCCATTATTTCTGAGTTGTTTTCTCTAGTGTTTCTTTACTTTACTTTTCTATTAGGATGCTCTGACTAATCAGATGCTTCATAAAATTGTACCTACAGGGTATGATGTCATAGGACTTCACCTACACTCCTGCAGGTATTTTGTTGAAAGATATGATATCATAGTGATGTCATAATGATGTCATGTTCCATGGAATTTGCTAGAACATTCCAATGACTCATAATGACTCATAGTGACTCATAGTGACTCAGAATGATGTCATTATCCCACCATGAATATTCTGGAATGTTCTTTTGCACCTGCTAGAACATTCTGCTCCAGTTTTTGGAATATTCTTCTCACATTCTGAAGTCATTACATCACCTTTTTACTTACATAATATTCCCACACAAAATGTATATAAGGAGAGCCCATTCTCCCCCAAAAAAATAGATCTCCCACTTGTTGCATTCAAGAACTTCCACTTGAGCAAATTGAACTCTCACCTAAGAAGCTTCAGTCTGAACAAATTGCTGCTTACAAAGCCCATTTCCTTTGTAAGAACTGTCCAGACAAGTGCAGGGAAAGTGTTTCCCTTGAGATTACATAAGTTTCTCGTGATAGAAACCCAGTTTTGTGAGACCAGTGTTCTCACCACGTAGTGTTTACTGACCAACACGAGCTTTGGTCAACGTTGTTATTTGTGAGACCAGCGTTCTCACCAGGTATTTGTATACTGACCAACACGAGCTTTGGTCATTGTTGTTATTTATCATTGTTTTCTATTTGTCATTGTTGTTATTTGTGAGACCAGCGTTCTCACCAGGTATTTGTATATTGACCAACACAAGCTTTGGTCCATGTAGTCACATTTGAGACCAGCTTCTCAACAGTTAACCGTATATTCAGGAAACCAGTTCAAGTGTCTAGACGGTATATCCTAGACAATCCCATAGTTTCAATCAGAGATAATAAAGCTCCGGCTAAGTTAATCTAACTGATTGGTTTAGCGAGCCTCCCAAGAACTCACACATTATCTACCACGAAAGAAGAAAAGTCGTAGACCATGTTAATCGAGGACTGGCAAGAAGTCTTATCCAGTGTAATTGTGGTGTCATTACATTCTTACACATATTTATATAAGACCCTCGGTTATTAAGACAATGTGCATATATATGCTTCAGGAGGCAATATAAAGGTAATACGACTTCAAACTGTTCAACTTCTATCTCAAATTTTCCAATATGTCTCTCGACGATGATAGATCCAGCACCCTTACCCTATTATATGACTATGGATTCAACAGAGATCTTGTCACCATAATGATTGACACTGGGCCGGACTCGGAGACGAACGACGAGTTGAAGCATCGTGCCAAGTCCATTCTTTCGGAAATGGGATCTACGATTACCTCAGTTGGCCCGCACGGGCTCAGGACATCTGATCTATTGGATGCAATGATGGAGGGCTCACAGGCAGCTGGTCTGTCAAGCGGTGTACGCTACTCAGCGGCTGCTATCATAGCAGCCTATCAAAAGGGAGAAGCGTCCAACTCATCTGCATCCGAGTTAATTAAGTTGGCGCATGATTGGTTTTTATTCTTCCTCTGGCCTTGTATGTTGTCTTCTTTGTTCGCAAGCCACTGCTCGGAGTCCTCCGAGTCCGAGTTCACTCCCACTCCCCGTGCTTCTGAAGTCAGTGCTGACACTGTGCTCGCGACATCGCGAGGTTCCAAATTCCGGAATTTGGTATGTTGCAGCGTCTCACCTTGCTCTTTGCAGGATATTCATCTAACACCGTCTAGATCAGCGAACGAGACGACAAGTGTGTGGTCACCAGAACTTTGAATATACACAAGGGACCATATCCCCCTGGTACCAAGGGTCATGAAGGGCTCCTCAATGCCACTCACATCCTTCCAAGATCCGTTGTTCACGAGCATTCCGGAAGCAACGTCACGGTATGTTCTTCAAACGTCAAGTTGCCGCTGTGCCTGTTCAGCTGACTGTTCACCAGCGCGTCGCGGCAACCATTGACATAATCAAGCATTTTACCAAGCTCCCCGAAAATATCTTGGACAACTTATCTGGTGTCATCGATAACCCAGAGAATGGAATGTTGCTTGATATGACAATGCATGATACATTCAACAGCTACATGTGGTGCTTACACTCCACAGTATGGTTAGATTTTTGTCGTGAAATTTCAGATACTTATGCACTTGACAGGATATCTTGCACAAATATAAAGTGCATTGGTTCCGTCCCGTCCCTATGGGTATGGGGAATTTTACAGAAGTCCAATTCCAAGATAACTCTCAAACCGACATTCAGCATCCAGACCCTACGTTCATTGCGCTCCGTTCTGCGCTTGCCCATATCCTACACCTCAGCGGTGCTGCAGATGTCATAAATAAGGTTCATGAGGCGTTCTTTGATGAAGGCTCTACAGTGCCGTTTGAAAATTGTGCTAGCCAGGAAGATTTCCTTATCAGACTCTCGTTGATCGAGTTGATGACAACAAAACACCAATTAGCAACCAACCCTCATGGAACACAGGGACATTAGCGAGGCTGATCCTCCTCGGGGCGGGCGAGTGTTTTCATTCAAGCGCGTCAACCAGACCGATATATCACCATGCCACTGTCATGAGAGTCTTTTTGCCAATGAATATTTCATGATGTTAGGTATATGCCAAGCTGGTCACAATCCCAATATCCACTGCCCTTTGTAATGTGTTTTGGTTCAAGGGCCTAAATGTTATATATCTAATTTCTTCACCAGTTCTGACTGTAAGGCCCTTTGTTGGTGTTTGCATGACTCTGTAGACACGCGACTGTCATGTGCTGTGCAATGTGCATGTGTGTTACAGTGTGTACATGTGGGCGTATCTAGGGTTGATACTTGAAGGGATCCGAGATCGCGAGCACCATAGCTCATAAACAGCGTCGTCACCCACTACTACTAAACTTGAAGACTCCAAACTTCGTACCTCTCGATCATAATGTCTGTTTCCACACTATGGTGGGGGAGGACTGACTCGGAAGCGAAACAAATCTCGCCACTACTTGTTCTCAAACATGGTCAAAAACGGGTCGCGGTTAAACGGCAAAGGTCGTATAATGTAGGTGGAACAACCGTGATTGTTTAAATCTTGTATAGCTCATAAATGGTATAAGCTCATGCTTGACTCGGCATGCAAACATTTTCCAAGCATTCCGAGAGATGCGATCACATTGCAGACCAATCAACTCGATGTTTGCGATGGCCACTTTGTGGACATCACGGCTGAAATATGGGACGAAATCATTGACTTGCTTACTTTCGTTGAGGTGACTCTTGCGGAAATGCCATTGCCTGTCCCACTGTCGCTTGATGGTTGGGGTATTCCATTGCCCGACAATCGACAGGCAACAAGTCAGGTTAACAGAAGAGACAGCTCGTACGCATCCCCATTCTACAAGTGTTTTCAGTACTGAAGTTGAGATCATGCAGCAGGAACGATAACAAAGTCACAATCAAAGTGGTTTTTCCATCTGGCGAGATTCGTTCTACCAAAATCTCGAGGGCGACGCGGGTGGACAAACTTGTTGCTGATGTTAGTCGCATGTTGGGATATTGTCCCACTGATTTCAAGGCGACTTGGGGTGGGACAACGATGCGTCAGGACTGGAGTATCGGATCATACAGCATCAAGGATGGTGACTTCATCAATCTTCAGGCATTGAGTGTTGGATCATACAACATCAAGGATGATGACTCCGTCAAACTTCAGCCAATGATGGAGCTGCATGGTAAAAAGCCAGTCATTTATCTATACTCGCCTTCCGATATCGATGTTTCTGTCAAGCTCTCCCTTGTTCCTGAGTGGAGCCTCTCTGCCATCTATCCCGTTGTTACTACAGAAGACCATGGACAGCGTTTAGAATGGAATGTCCGCACCCATCAAGATGGGAGTCTGACGGAACATAATTCGGGTTTAGATGTGGCGTACCTATTCTGGGAGGCGGAGTCAGTTCCTTGACAATAAAGAAGTCATTCTTCTAACTTCGCTCTTTGCAGGACAAATTCGCAAGCATTTCCCCGTTCACCAGCATCCAAACCACAACCATTGGATACATTCAGTCCCACATCCAGCAGTCTCAGCGATACGGATTCAGTTGTCATCCCAGTGGACAAAGTAACCGTTTACCTCGATAAATCACTCAAGGCTCTGGGACTTCACACCGAAGCTAGAACATCATTCATAACGTGCGTACATACACACCACCTGTCAAATCATAAAAACACCACTAATTGAAAACTGATGTGATAGCTACTGGCTACCCGATATCCTCAAGCACGAATACATTGCCCTCCGATTCGTCCCTCAAGCGGCATACGAACGTGCCGCTTCCTTGAACATTTCTCCGCAGCCTGACGTCGTGACTCGCGTATTCATGCTGTTCAGAGGTATCCCCAAGGAGCACTTGGAAAATTGGTCTAATGCCCAGATGCAAGCAGAGAAAGACGTTGCTTGGTGGGTGGATGTAGTTGGAGTGGATCTTGCAAGGGCCGGTGATATGGCTTTGTTCAGGGTGTTGGAATGGGGAGGGATGGAAGTTTTCATTTGATATTTTACCAGATTACTTGATGTGTAGTTGATATCGCGTCTTGTCTTGATCAGTTCTGCTCCCGACGAACTGACGGTCGTGAAGAGAACGTGAGGCCCTCAGGGCTTAAATTGGCGAGCTAGATCTAGAAATCAGATTCTGTCCGATCGACTTGTAGCGGGATTGGAAGCAGGGTCTCATTGCAACTATACATTGCAATGTCCGGGAAGCCTCGAAACACAAGCTCCCACTAGACCTACACATGAAAATAACTACAGTATAGTAAGGGCTATAGCAACAAATCAAAACTACACGTCGTCGACACCTAAATACAATGAATATACCAGCCATAAATCACGACTGTCCCTCCCGCCCCGCTCCTTCTCGTAAAAAGTCAACATACTCGGTCAAAAACCGCACCTGTTCCAGCGTCTCAATGGCCTTGACGCTTCACCGTCTCCGCACAACAGTGATTGCGTGCTCGACGAGTTGTAAAGTATCCCTCCTGACGTAACTCTCCGAGCCATCGGGGCCTTCTGCTGGGTTCGGCGATAGGTCCACGTTGATCCACCCGCACAAGCCGATTTTTAGTGCCAAACAGCATGCTACGAGGCCTGCTCTACCCAAATCCCCACGACAATGCACAAGGATACTTGCACCACGCATGGTGTAACCATCGATGAGTTTTGTTAGAGACCCGTCTAATGACTGGGGCGAAAGGAAAATATCTTGGACGACTTGTCTGGTATCATCGATAACCCAGAGAATGGAATGTTGCTTGATACGACAATACATGATACATTCGACAGCTACATGCGGTGCTTACACTCCACAGTATGGTTAGGTTCTTGTCGTCAAATTTCAGATACTTATGCCCTTGACAGGATATCTTGCACAAATATAAAGTGCACTGCAGGTTCGAGTCCGTCCCGTCCCTACTATGGGTATGGAGAATTTTACAGAAGTCCCAAACCGATATTCAGCTTCCAGACCCTACGTTCATTGCACTCCATTCTGGGGTTGCCCATATCCTACACCTCAGCGGTGCCGCAGATGCCATAAATAAGGTTCATGAGGCGTTCTTTGATGAAGGCTCTACGGTGCCGTTTGAAAATCGTGCTAGCCAGGAAGATTTCCTTATCAGACTCTCGTTGATCGAGTTGATGACAACAAAACACCAATTAGCAACCAACCCTCATGGGACACACGGACATTAGCGAGGCTGATCCTCCTCGGGGAGGGCGAGTGCTTTCAATCAAACGCGTCAACCAGATCGATATATCATCATGCCACTAGGTCATGAGAGTCTTTTTGATATTTTGAGATGTTAGTTAGAGGTTAGTATACGCCAACCTGGTCACGATCCTCATGTCCACTACCTGTGTAATGCCTATAAAATTAAGTTCTGACTGATCAATGAACATGAACCGAAATATTATTTTTTACGTCAGCATTTCATTTTTCCTAAAAACCTGGTTAAGACAACTCGGACGTGTGCTGATATATATGCCGTCTACACTTACGAGTCAGTTGGCCGCATCTACATTTCTTCTCGGCGCTCACACCAACAAACGGAGACGGACAGAATCATACCATTTCACTGGTTGAGATGCCGACTTTCACTGTGACCTCGACTCGATCCATGCACTCGCTAGCAATGCCTTCGTGCAATTATCCTCATCATGCCAATGAATACTTCACGATGTTAGGTATACGCCGAGCTGTTCACAATCCAAATGACCACTGCCCTGTGTAATGTGTTTTGGAGGGGCCTAAATGTTATATATCTAATTTCTTCACCAGTTCTGACTGTAAGGCCCTTTGTTGGTGTTAGCATTACTCTGTAGACACGCGACTGCCATGTATTGTGCATGTGTGTTGTGCGTGTATGTGGGCGCAGTACTACTTGAAGGGTTCGCGCCATAACTCATGAACCAGTGCGTCGTCACCCTCTACCTGTACTCAACTTGAAGACTTCAAACTTCGTACCTCTGAATCATAATGTCTGTTTCCACACTATTGTGGGGGAGGACTGAAGCGAAACAAACCTCGCCACTTCTTGTTCTGAAACGTGGTCAAAAACGGGTCGTGGTCAAACGGCAAAGGTCGTATAATGTAAGTGCAACAACTGTTTAAATCTTTGATAGCTCATAGATAGTATAAGCTCATGCTTGACTCCGCATGCGAACATTTTCCAAGCATTCCGAGAGATGTGGTCACATTGCAGACCAATCAACTCGATGTTTGCGATGGCCACTTTGTGGACATCACGGCTGAAACATGGGGTGAAATAATTGACTTAGTTACCTTTGTTGAGGTGACTCGTGCGGAAATGCCATTGCTTGTCCGGACAGTCCGACCGTTAGTACGGCTGCTTGGTATTTCATCGCCCAACAATCGACAGCCGCCAAGTCAGGTTAACAACAGTATAGACAGCTCGTACGCATCTCCATTCTACAATTTTTTTTCAGTACTGAAGTCGAGACCATGCAGCGGGAACGATAACACAGTCACAATCAAAGTAGTTTTTCCATCTGGCGAGATTCGTTCTACCAAAATCTCGAGGTCGACGCGGGTGGACAAACTTGTCGCTGATGCTAGTCGCATGTTGGGATATTGTCCCACTGATTTCAAGGCGATTTGGGGTGGGACAACGATGCGTCAGGACTGGAGTATCACATCATACAACATCAAGGATGGTGACTCTATCAATCTTCAGGCATTGCCAAGTATCGGATCTAGCTAGTTGTCGCCCTGCTTTGTTTGCCAAACAAGTGTCGGTTCTCTCCCTCGTTGTTCGGCCTGAATACATCTTAGAGGTTATAGTTCCTCTGTGTACATCTTAACGGTCATTACTTCAATGTTCACTTAATTAACATTGTCACGGTTGCCCTTGCCATTTCAAGTTGACGTCAAAAATGCCTGGGCTGTTACTAGCACTACACGCATATCCAACATATATTCCAACACATATAAGCACGAGATCCCGCCGGCGATGGCGTCTACGTCATGCTGTGTTGTTGCCTTCTGTCTCGGCTCTTTCCGTCTGTTGTTGCGCGTTCATGCTCCGTCTCCTTTTTGCAGCTCTTTGCTCAGTATTATAGCGACCTCTGCTTCATTTCACCGTGTTCACGACGTTGTTTGTCTTCAAAACGGAAGCGGATATCAGTATTTGCTCATCGCCTGGATCTCTAACAGAACTGCATTTGCGCTATAGAAATGCGCGCGTGCGAATAGTTGCTCTGCATCGTCGATCTATTGAAGTCCAACTCATCAATACTTTCGAAAGCCACTGCATTCCCCGCATTAACTTTGCGTTTCATCCAAACCGTTCGTCGTGGACGGTGAATCGAAGACAGTTTCCTTTGTGACTCGCGTATGCAACTACGTTTAATGGTTGTCAAGGCTTGACGCTGGCACGAAGCGTGCTCGACCTTCGAACGGATCCCTTTGCTCACAGTCAGTTGTACACGGCACTATCGAGGGTAAGAACGCAAAGAGACACGATGTGTCTATTCGCAGAGGCGAACGAAGGACAAGACTGTGCTAATATTGTATCTCCTGCGTTACTACTGTAAAGTATTGTTGTATACAACCGACCGAAGCAGAGTCTTGCTACTGTAAACACAATGTATTGTCATGGAGCCGACCGAAGGGGAGTCCTTGTATCAGATAAACTTGAAGCTTCAACGGCGTGACGGTGTGTAGCACTAGTACAGAACAGAACAACAAAGTATCATGTGGAAATGCTATACCAACAGAAGAGCGAGGGAACGAAAACAACTAGAAATATGGCGAATTGCGTCTAACTACACACCTATATGAACAAATACAAATTGCTGTTCTAATGGAATCTTCTTGCGCAACGATTTCATGGCCGTGTGCAACGCTACCGCAGCCCGTGTGCAGTCCAATCTCCCTGAACTATCAACCAGGTGGCCATAAAAGGCAGATACAACCTGGCGCGCAACATCGTCATCGACAGACCACATGGAACCTATGACACTGCGAAATCCGGAGAATTGCATGGCCGCAGCAGGATGGATCGACTCATGAGGACTGTTCTCATCGCCCACAGCAGTGTGGCAAGTTGATAAGAACGCAAACTCCAGATTCTGCCAGTCTGATCGGATGATGTCCTTGATCATCAATGGCCCGTCGCGCATGGCGAAGGAAGATTCGAATGGTTGAGTCTGATTTGGCATTCCATGGCAGGCGAGATGGAGCCATTGATTATGATTTAGTGCATCGAGTACACCCTGCACTGTTGCGTCGCTGTCCTCAAGCGATGTGAAGGACGACACGATGGGTTCGAGACACTCAGCTACGATGGCTAGCTCGGGAGCGACATATTTGAGCTCCCTCCCTCTGACCGGGTTTCCTTGACCAATGGCAACAAAATGTTGCGGGGACGCATCTCGAGAAGCCCGCTGTCTGGCACGAACGAGCGTCGCCAAAGTGGGTGTGTAAGAGGAGATGTAGATATCAGACAAATTCTGTTTCTTCTTTTTGTAGGGTCCTGCTGCATGGAGGGGAAGTAGCGTGAACTCGGCAGTGGGACACCACCAGATGCGCGAGCCAGGGTTAACTTTAGTCTCCCTAAGAACTTGGACCACAGGGCCAACAATAACAACCCACAGTTTGCGCAAGATGCTGATGAGTTCGTCTCGATAATCAGAAGAACCAAATTGCTCTGCGAGTGACTGGAACTCGGAAGATAACTTGGATACTGCAGCTTGTGTAATGTCAAGCGGAGCATGGATAGGATCTCCCGTGCTATGAATAATCAAGGCGTCACAGCTATATTGGCTTGCATTAAGAATAATGACTGGACCATCTTCTGCTGCTTTCTGTAGGTCGGAGAACAGGGGAGGTAGGAGAAAACGTGAAAAGCCACGAAGCATGCGAATGCGCGTGACGACGTCAGCCCATTGCATTGTCAGTTGCTGGGTTTGCGGAGACTGGTCATCGGTAGACTGATCGAACGTGTTACGAACGCGAAAGCTCAACCGTTTGAACTCTTCCGCCAAGGCAGTGCCGATGTCACCTGAAGCAGAAAGTTCATCGAGTGGTGTGCTGAAGTGTGCTAACTGGGTCCAGAACACTGCACGACCTTGTTCCACCAGCTCCACAGCAGTCGTCAGGGCATCATGACGAACACTGCATGAAAAAGCATCCATGGCAAGGGAGGAAACAGCCTCCTCGATGACGTCGAGATGATGGGAAGAAGATGACAAGAGAGCAACTCGCTGATCTAGGAATTTCAGTGCAGTCTTATAGGCAAGCAATGCAGATTCGTGGTTGAGGATGTGGGCGGAGGCTGCCCATGACTTGGCAACATTAAGATCTGTCCGAGATGCTGCATGTGATAGGTGGGGGAGTTGAGAACACAAGCTAAATACTTCATCAAGATCAGGCTGGACACCCCGCTGCTGGAATCTGTCTCGAAGGCTGAGGGCAAGATTGTCAAGAAACATGGATCGATTAGGATGACACAGGGGGAGGAGCTCCAGCGCAGCCCGATGGAGCTCGATGGCCTCATCAAGGTCAGACACAATGCCACACTGCAAGAATCTGTCTTGAAGGCTGGTTGCAAGATTGCTGAGAGACGAGGATCGATCTGAATGACCGGGGGGACGGAGGAGTAATGCAGCCCGATGGAGCTCGATGACTTCATCAAGATCAGACATGATTCCCTGCTGCTTGAATCTGTCGTGAATGCTGGCAGCAAGATTGTTGAGAAACATGGATCGATCTGAATGACACGAGGGGAGGAGCTCCAGCGCAGCCCGATGGAGCTCAATGACCTCATCGAGGTCAGACATGATGCCCCGCCGCTGGAATCTGTCGTGAAGGTTGGCAGCAAGATGGTCGAGAAAGGTGTATCGATTGGAATGACACGGGGGGAGGAGCTCCAGCACAGCCCGATGGAACTCGATGACCTCATCGAGGTTAGACATGATGCCACACTGCAAGAATCTGTCTTGAAGGCTGGTAGCAAGATTGCTGAGAGACGAGGATCGATCTGAATGACCGGGGGGACGGAGGAGTAATGCGGCCCGATAGAGCACGATGACTTCATCAAGATCAGACATGATTCCCTGCTGCTTGAATCTGTCGTGAAGGCTGGCAGCAAGATTGTTGAGAAACATGGATCGATCTGAATGACACGAGGGGAGGAGCTCTAGCGCAGCCCGATGGAGCTCGATGGCCTCATCAAGGTCAGACACAATGCCACACTGCAAGAATCTGTCTTGAAGGCTGGTTGCAAGATTGCTGAGAGACGAGGATCGATCTGAATGACCGGGGAGACGGAGGAGTAATGCAGCCCGATGGAGCTCGATGACTTCATCAAGATCAGACATGATTCTCTGCTGCTTGAATCTGTCGTGAATGCTGGCAGCAAGATTGTTGAGAAACATGGATCGATCTGAATGACACGAGGGGAGGAGCTCCAGCGCAGCCCAATGGAGTTCGATGGCCTCATGGAGGTCAGACATGATGCCCCGCCGCTGGAATCTGTCGTGAATGCTGGCAGCAAGATGGTTGAGAAACATGGATCGATTGGAATGACACGGGGGGAGGAGCTCCAGCGCAGCCCGATGGAGCTCAATGGCCTCATCAATGTCAGACATGTTTCCACGCTGCAGGAATCTGTCGTGAAGGCTGGCAGCAAGATTGTTGAGAAACATGGATCGATTAGAATGACACGAGGGGAGGAGCTCCAGCGCAGCCCGGTGGATCTCAATGGCCTCGTCAGGGTCAGATATGATTCCACCCTGCTTGAATCTGTCGTGAAGGCTGGCAGCAAGATTGTTGAGAAACATGGATCGATTGGAATGACACGGGGGGAGGAGCTCCAGCGCAGCCCGATGGAGCTCGATGGCCTCATCGAGGTCAGACATGATGCCCCGCCGCTGGAATCTGTCGCGAAGGCTGGCAGCAAGATTGTTGAGAAACATGGATCGATTGGAATGACACGGGGGCAGGAGCTCCAGCGCAGCCCGATGGAGCTCAACGGCCTCATCAATGTCAGACATGTTTCCACGCTCCAGGAATCTGTCTCGAAGGCTGAGTGCAAGATTGTTCAGAGACAAGGATCGATCTGAATGACCGGGGGAACGGAGGAGTAATGCAGCCCGATGGAAGTCGATGGCCTCATCAAGGTCAGACATGATTCCACGTTGCAGGAATCTGTCTCGAAGGCTGGCGGCAAGATTGTTCAGAGACGAGGAACGATCTAAATGACCGGGGGAACGGAGGAGCAATGCAGCCCAATGGAGGTCGATGGCCTCATCAATGTCAGACATGTTTCCACGCTGCAGGAATCTGTCGTGAAGGCTGGCAGCAAGATTGTTCAGAGACGAGGACCGATCTGAATGACCGGGGGGTCGGAGGAGTAATGCGGCCCGATGGAGGTCGATGACCTCATCAAGGTCAGACATGATTCCACGTTGCAGGAATCTGTCTCGAAGGCTGGCAGCAAGATTATTCAAAGACGAGGATCGATCTAAATGACCGGGGGGACGGAGGAGTAGCGCAGCCCGATGAAGCTCAATAGCCTCATCAAGGTCAGACATGTTTCCACGCTGCTGGAATCTGTCTTGAAGGCTGGCAGCAAGATTGTTCAGAGACGAGGATCGATCTGAATGACTGGGGGGACGGCGGAGTAATGCGGCCCGATGGAGCTCAATGGCCTCATCAAGGTCAGACATAATTCCACGCTGCAGGAATTTGTCTCGAAGGCTGAGTGCAAGATTGTTGAGAAATATGGAACGATTAGAATGACACGGAGGGAGGAGCTCCAGCGCAGCCCGATGGTGCACAATGGCCCCATCAAGGTCTGACATGATGCCCCCCTGCAGGAATTTGTTTCGAAGGCTGAGTGCAAGATTGTTGAGACGCCAGGATTGATGAGATGGAGGACAAAGCCCCAACCCAACTTGATGCACCATACTGTTTGCCAGGTTAGTGAGGTAAGATAACCACTGCCCTATCTCGCTGTGAAAGGTCCCCGATTGAGTGCAAAATGGAGTGAGAACAGAGCGAACACATACTTAAGGAGCTAAAACTGCAGGACTGGCACACTGATGACCTGCTAATGGGAGGGAAATGACACGGTGAGTGGCCAGCAATCCCAGGAATTTAAAGGCGAGCCGCAAGGCCACGGTGAGGTTGAGGTTCTGTTCAAGAATTGGGAGATTGCGGCGGCAGCTTGTAAAGTGCCATGATGTGCAACTTTAATATGAGGTCATGAAACCGCACTGCAGCTGTGCATCGTGTCAAAATCTCATTCAGAATAACACGAGGACACGATGGATTCAAGTACTGGCCTTCAGTTACATACTACTATGGCTTCGGAAATGGGGCCTTGCAGGCGTGTTTTACCACTGCAGACAAAGTCAAAAAGGTAAAGGGCTGCTCAATAAAATGTCGTTGTCAATGTCGACTTGAGCTTACGGTAAATTACTTAGGCGGACCCTAAACCTTTCCTGATTTGGCCACCACCGCGTCGCCTAAATTTAACCTTTGCATGGAGACGTTCTACACGGTGTCCTCGTCCTAATCCTCGTTGTATAGACCCAAAGTTAGCTACCAACTTCCGTTGAATGAATAGGATTCACCCATACATCGTCACAGTTCTACGGCTGTAGCATATGCTTCAGTGTGTAGAAGTGTTGCCTGTGAACTACCCTTGCTGCCCCTTCTGTAGACACGCGACTGCCATGTGCTGTGCATGTGTGTTATGTGTGTATATGGGCGCAGGGTTGAATACTTGAAGGGATCGCGAGCACCATAGCTCATAAACAGCGTCGTCGCCCTCTACTTGTAATAAACTTGACTCAGACTCCAAACTTCGTACCTCTCGATCATAATGTCTGTTTCCACACTATTGGGTGGGAGGACTGACTCGGAAGCGAAAACAAATCTCGCCGCTTCTTGTTCTCAAACATGGTCAGAAACGGGTTGCGGTTAAACGGCAAAAGTCGTATAACGTACGTGGAACAACCGTGATTGTTTAAATCTTTAATAACTCATAAATGGTACAAGCTCATGCTCGACTCCGTATGCAAACATTTTCCAAGCATTCCGAGAGATGCGGTCACATTGCAGACCAATCAACTCGATATTTGCGATGGCCACTTTGTGGACATCACGGCTGAAATATGGGACGACATCATCGACTTGCTTACCTTCATTGAGGTGACTCGTGCGGAAATGCCACCATCGCCTGTCCCACTGTCGCTTGGTGATTGGGGTTTTCCATTGCCCTACAATCGACAGGCGCCAAGTCAGATTAACAGTAGAGACAGCCCGTACGCATCTCCATTCTACAAGTGTTTTTCATACTGAAGTTGAGATCATGCAGCGGGAACGGTAAAAAAAGTCACAATCAAAGTGGGTTTTCCATCTGGCGAGATTCGTTCTACCAAAATCTCGAGGGCGACGCGGGTGGACAAACTTGTTGCTGATGCTAGTCGCATGTTGGGATATTGTCCCACTGATTTCAAGGCGATTCGGGGTGGGACAACGATGCGTCAGGACTGGAGTATCGGATCATACAGCATCAAGGACGGTGACTCCATCAATCTTCAGGCGTTGCCAAGTATCGGATCATACAACATCAAGGATGGTGACTTCCACGATATTCGGGAATTGGCGCATGTGCGCGGTGGCAAACCAGTCATTTATCTATACTCGCCCTCCGATATTGATGTCTCTGTCAAGCTCTCCCTCGTTCCTGAGTGGAGCCTCTCTGTCATCTATCCCGTTGTTGCCACGCAAGACCATGGCCAGCGTTTAGAATGGAATGTCCGCACCCATCAAGATGGAAGTCTGACTGAACATAATTCTGGTTTAGATGTGGCGTACCTATTCTGGGAGGCGGAGTAAGTCCCCAGATCATACAGAAATCACTCGCCTAACTCGTATTACTCTTCGCAGGTCAAATTTGCCCCATTCACCAGCATCCGAACCGCAACCATTGGATACGTTCAGTCCTATATCCAGCAGTCTCAGTGATACGGATTCAGTCATCATTCCAGTAGACAAAGTGACCGTTTATCTCGATAAATCACTCAAGGCTCTGGGACTTCACACCGAAGCTAGAACATCATTCATAACGTGCGTACATACACACCACCTGTCAAATCATAAAAACACCACTAATTGAAAACTGATGTGATAGCTACTGGCTACCCGATATCCTCAAGCACGAGTACATTGCCCTCCGATTCGTCCCTCAATCGGCATACGAACGTGCCGCTTCCTTGAATATTTCTCCGCAGCCTGACGTCGTGACTCGCGTATTCATGCTGTTCAGAGGTATCCCAAAGGAGCACTTGGTAAATTGGTCTAATGCCCAGATGCAAGCAGAGAAAGACGTTGCTTGGTGGGTGGATGTAGTTGGAGTGGATCTTGCAAGGGCCGGTGATATGGCTTTGTTCAGGGTGTTGGAATGGGGAGGGATGGAGGTTTTCATTTGATATCTTGCGAGGGCCGGTGATATGGCTTTGTTCAAGGTGTTGGAATGGGGAGGGATGGAAGTTTTCATTTGATATTTTACCACATTACTCGATGTGTAGTTGATATCGGGTCTTGTTTTGATCAGTTCTGCTTCCGACGAACCGACAGTCGTGAAGAGAACGTGAGGCCCTATGGGCTTGAGCTCGAAGGTGTCCGCGAAATAGATGGTCCTACTAAGTTTCCTGTGAGCAAAATGGCGAGTTAAGATCTGGAAATCTGATCGAATTTAAGACTAGTAGCAGGATTGGAAGGGTCTCATTGCAACCATACATTACAATGTCCGGGAAGCCTCGAAATACAAGCTTTCTCTAAACCTACACATGAAAATGACTACAGTATAGTAAGGGCTATAACAACAAATCAAAATTACACGCCGTCGACACCTAAATACAATGAATACACCAGCCATAAATCACGACTGTCCCTCCCGCCCCGCTCCTTCTCGTAAAAAGTCCACGTACTCTGTCAAAAACCGCACCTGTTCCAGGGTCTCAATGGCCTTGACGCTTCGCCGTCTCCGTACAACGGTGATCGCGCGCTCGACGAGTTGTAAAGTATCCCGCCTGACGTAACTCTCCGAGCCATCGGGGCCTTCTGCTGGGTTCGGTGATAGGTCCACGTTGATCCACCCGCACAAGCCAATTTTTAGTGCCCAACAACATGCCACGAGGCCTGCTCTACCCAAACCCCCTCGACAATGTACAAGGATACTTGTACCACGCATGGTGTAACCATCGATGAGCTTTGTTAGAGACTCGTCTAATGACTGGGGCGATAGTGGAGCAAGGCCTTCAGGCAGTGGTATCCTGCAAGTATAATGAAAGTCAGCAGCTGAAGGCCACGACAGACGGAGTACTTACCGAAGGATGTCCATTCCTGCCCGGTGTACAGAGTTCACATAGTCCGACCAATGTATCCCAAGAAACTCGAGCTCTTCGTCATCCAGACAACTACAAACAGTCAACTACGCACGGGACATGTCGACATGTCAACTAACCAGACAATACAGCGTGCCCCAACTTGACTTATATGCCGTAAATCAGCGTCGAGATCTCGACAAACGGCGCTGCGCCCTCTGACCGGACCTGAGAGGCGTACTAGCAACCGTTTTAACACCAGTCAGCGAATACACCCGTGCCTCGAGTAAAACGTACCCTTCTTTCCTGGACACGAGGACAGCATCAAGTTACCTAGCTTGAAACAGCGCTTGGTATTTGATGTTGGATGGAGCAACGCGCTGGACGTTCTCGGCTTGGTGGCATTCTGCGATGCAACTGAAAGTCTACATCATCAGACTTACACACAAAGAACAGTGACGACATGGACTCACTGTTCACGTTCACTGGAATTAAGGAAATCGAGCATAGAAGGAAAGACAACCTTGGGCAGAGCAGAAGTCCCTCTTTGTGCAGATGAAGACCGGTTGGTCGCCAAATCATCGGATACCACGCGAACTTTGGTACGATGTTTAAGAGGAGGAGGAGAAAGCCTCGCTATGAATGGAAGCGAAGGACGAGGTTTGGTAGTGAGGGTCGTTAAGCGGGTGTCAATGGCAGCCTGAAGAGCCTCCATTATGGATTGGGGTGGTTGGTTCGTGAACGCTGGGGGTGTCGGGAGGGGAGGGTTTGGTGAAGAAGGATGGGTGGGTATCGAGGGTGATAACGGAATTCGACTTGACCAACACGAGTGAGCCTTACGTGAAACGGCTAGAGAGGTAGTGTTCGTTGTTGATGGGATGTGCTGGGCATAGTCCGTGATGCGATAGAGGGTATAAAATTCAGGTATATGGAAGATGACAGGTGAGGGCTCGGGGTTGGTTATAAGATGTGATGAAATTGCAGGTAATAATTCGGTAGGCACGATGGTGGATATGCTGCATTTGGAACAAAATTATGAGCTACGGTTCTTGAAAAGTAAATTAAAACGAACTTTAACGGATGGGTTTTAGATGTCTTGACGGGCATGGTACAATGTGAGGTGCATTCGGGAACAGCTGCGGGTGGTATTTGTGAGGAAAGAGTATCCTCTAGCGCGGCGTTCAGCTCTCTCTGGAGAAGCGGGTCAAGAGAAGGACAAGCGGTTCCGCTAATGAGTGCATTGCGCTGTTCGGAAGCGGGTATGATATGTGCAGTGGGACAGGACGCCTCTGGACATGGCCACCAGAGTACAGCATTCATATTTGTTAGTTGGCGGACACGCAGGTCGTGAAAGGTGTCTGGGGCGCTGAGTGATAGTGGGGCATATGGTATGGGACAGCCTGGAAGGGCGGTTAGTGAAAATGGATTGAATGATGGCAACAAATGAAGCACCTCGGTGGCCATACTTTATACGGTTGTACTCGCTCAGGTGGTACTGCGAGGCAAGGTGGGCAAGCTGGCGTGGGTGACAGTGAGCTACGTGTTACCATTCAAGAAATAGACATGACTTACTTGGGTGACCCACGGCTGTATGGCAACATTAGACTGAATAAGCGAATTCGGCTGTGACTGTGGGTGCTTGAGAAGGACGGCGGGATGAAACTGGGCGGGAGGCGGGGAAGGAATAGAATGCACGAGGGTGGGGGTCATGACTGGGGACTATAGCGGGGATATTAGGAGAAAGGATGAAATACGGGTAGTAGTTAGGGTTGAACACTGTTGAAAATATTGAACCTTGATGAAGGCGCGCGCCGGCAGCACTATTCGCTACAATCGCCAGGGTTCTGGATCAAATCCCTGATCACAACGAATCTTCCTGGCTCCGTCCAAGCTCTTCCTCAGCATCTAAGCATATGGATTGTTGCAAGGGTCTACTTTTAGGCAGCCTGTCAGCATGAAACATACTCATCATAATTGGCTGGTAACTAGTAACAACATCGCAACATACGAGATATATACTACTTCCACATTATCTGCATGATAGGTCTCCAAATTTCAAAATAAATGACGAGCTTCCAATCTAAACTTCTACGAAATGACGACCCTTCCAATCTAAACTTCCAGATCCAACGGCCCCGGCGACCCGCGGCTTCTATTCGTGCGATGACGTCCGAGTCGGGCTATTACTAAGCTGATTGGCGCGGCTCGGGGACCTCCGCTGTCAAACCCCCTCTAGTTCCGCTCTACCAACTACCTTGTTCCCATCCACGATGTAGAATTTCGTTCCTTGTATGCCGCATTCAACTGGTAACTTGATGTGACTTTTTATGGGGGAGTACATTCCGTTTCGTGCAGTGTCCTAGGGTACAAATCACGACTTGCTCAGCGCGCGCAGTCAATACGGCATCAGGTCAGGCACGCGTTCCGTCGTATCATCCGAGGACGGTCATTGGAGCCCACATATTCGTGGGCACAACAAGAACCATGCTCGATTCCCCAGCATGACGTCCCAGCCAAATCCACGAAGACCACGGATTGCATACTAAAGTAGAATATCCCGCATAGATTGCGCACAAGAACAAGTACCACCAAATTGTAGATGATGCTGTTGATTGCATTACAGTAACCCTTCAGGTGTGCTGAAAGATGCAGAGAGGCGAGTCGGGACGAGTTTCTTCCCCTTATAGGAGCTAGCTCATCCTAGTGTTCTGCCCGTGCGGGTGTCAAGAAATTTGTACCCTTGGCATTAATTCGTCGACGCGCTAGGAATGTTTGGTAATTCGTGATAGCGAGCCTCTTGGGGGGCTGCATGGCTGCAATATATAATACCATCCACCCTCTCTCTCTCTCGTGGACCCTGAAAGTTTATCATGCACAGTTCATGTGAATCGAGACCACCCTTCAGCGCGTGAGTGATTGATTTCAACACCTTGCAATCCCTACTGATTATATCCTCAGCAATCCACGACACCTCATGTTCTGCATCGTCGCGTGGTGCTTAATGAGGCTCGTGATCTCATCAGCCGCTACGGTCTCGTTATCAGCGATCTTCGGCTTAGAGGTCAAACACCTGTCACCAAGAAGCAGATGACTCTGCGTGACCTGGTGTGGGCTGTGCGTTCGAAGCTAAGCGCAGAATATGCAGCTTTACTGTTTGATACAATGATTGTTCGTGGCAAGAACACGGTTCATACGGTTCACCAAGAAGAGAATGACGCGGTCTCCAAGGAGATACTGACCTAGTTGTCCTGGAGCCAGGCTTGGATCCCTTGCCGCTAATGATTAGGAGATCACCCGCGCCACGCGAGATCACTTATCTGAAGATGGTTCCGGTAAGCGCTGCAAGATAGCAGGTAGAGGATCTTCATGACTATTTAATTTGGGCGATGCAGTGATATAGATATAGATCATCTCGCGAAAAGGAGGACTATCTACCGGAACCTCGTTATGCGTAAATTCATAGATCGTTTGCAACAATTCTGATTGCCAGTGACAACAAAATGAACCACAACTTGGGGCATGTACATGATAAGTCCTGTTACGTATCCGTAGATAGAGAAGACAGTTAACAGCAAATGTTCAATGATTATAGTATCTACTGTTTTGTACCAAATATAGCGAGCACCCTGTGGGTAAACAAATGAGATACTTATAAAAACCCGCACAAACATCATGTGCAGTATGTATGAAACATCGAATGAGATACCGTCCTCAAAAAAACAAGTGTCCCGATCTAAAACTTCTCTCCTGGATCTAACGGACCAAGCGGGCCATACTTCTCACCGGTGCGACTTCGGTCCTCTATTCGTGTGCCGTACGGCTGATGCTGTACGGGGGGCGTTCGTGAGCCCGAGTCGGATGATGCGTAGGACATAAGACGCTGTTGTGATGGGTTATCGCTAAGCTGATATCGTGCGGCGTACATCGCGCTCGTGGGTGTCCGTTGCGGGCTCTCGTCGTCATCAAAACCACTCTCCAACATTGCCTCCATCTCTGCACCGCCAACCACCTTATTCCCATCCCCCCCATGTCCAGACGGAAACAGGCCGACAGGTGGAGTAGGGAACTGAGTATTGTTCTCGTTGTATCCACCAATCTCCGGGCCATAATGATCGTCCTCGGATGATACGACGGAATGCGTGTCTGATCCGTCGCCGTATGGACTACGGGCTTCATTGTGCGCGCTGAGCAGGTCATTTTCGGAAGAAATGTACCCTGCTGGATGCATGCGATCAAAGTCACGCCGCCGCCGTTCCTCACGCTTGAGTTTGCGTAAGCGCGAGCGCTCCCAATCTTCCCAGCGGCGAAGAGGAACCGAGGAACCATCGAAGGTGCCAGACCCAGTACCATGCCCTTCTCCCTTTGACTCCCCTTCCACTTTCCTGTAACCTATCCGTTAACACTGCACCAACTACTTGCAAAAAGCGGAATAAACGCACCTCGTCTGTCCCCATGAGAAGTCGTCAAAATGCCAGAATGCATACACCGGAAGAATAAAATTCCACACCGGAAGTGCCAAGAGGTATATAATCATCCAAAACACATATACAACCTTCCTCGTTGTTATCAATATCAGCACAGCCGGAAGACCCAGTACAGATACAAGTAGCATGAGTGGGATCGCTTCCTCGAAGGTCGTTGGGGGTTGCATGATCATGCCCCCAATGAGCGCATACGTAAGCATAATGGCAATGGGTAGTACGACCGTCCCGAGCAAATCCATGAACACCACGAATTGCATGCTAAAACAGAATGTCCCGCATAGATTGCGCACAAGAACAAGTTCCATCAGATTGTGGATCGTGCTGTTAATCCATCGACGCCGCTGGGAGAGGAGAACTTTGAAAGTGTCGGGTACAACAGTACGGCATTTGGCTTGGGGTAAGAACATCATCTTACGATTGGGGAATGTACGGAGGAGAATGGTGGTGAGGAAGCGGTCTTCTCCGAGTAGAAGAAGGTTCTGTTGGTGTAGCGTAGTGACCTCGCTTTGACTGTATTCGCGTACAATCTCAGGCTTGACAATGAGAGGGATCCAGTCATCGCCCGTCGTTTTGCGCGCTTTCAGTCGAAACATGGAGAAACATCCTGGCAAACATGAAACACCACCGAAGACGGATTCGAAGGCTTTGGCTAAGTGGTGGGAGATGAAGTATTCGAAGACTTGGATGGCAGTGACCCACGAATCACGTTTGTTAGCTATGCGAGTCTCCCCGCAGACGCCCATGATCATCTGGTCGTGGTGCATACAGTTGACGAGGTATTTCAGCGACTCAGGGTATACTTTGGTATCGGCATCAACCTGTAGATACATCAATACACGAAAGTAAAGTAGTAGATGAACACACACCATCAAACAGACCTCAAAGAAGTCGGGCGTGAACACCCATCAGGGTATGGATCTTTCGGAACAAGTCGAAATCAAGAGGGGTCATCCGATCGTTATATGTGACGCGAGAGAAAAAGTTCATGAGAATAAGCTGGCTATCTCGTTTGCCGCGGTTTCCAGGTTTTTTGTCACTGGTAGCCTCGACCTCCGTTCCGCATTTAACAACGATGACAGTGGGTGTGCGACGACCAGCAACCGCTGACCGATGTTATCAGCACCAGGCCCTCGCGCAAAGGAATGAAGACATACTGTAGTGTCCTGCATAGACCATTGCCCTATTTTCCCGCTTCATTCCACTTCCAATTGCAAGATAACTCATAGGCATGGGATTGCCGAATCGAGGATCTGCATCCAATAATCCCACACAAATATCCGGTGTGCTCATCTTCTCTCCTGCGCCAGTGATCATACCATCAGCCACCACAAAAAGCAGCTTGCGTGCATCAGAGTAAGTCGTTCGCGAAATGGAATCCAGCGTGGAGCGTATAGAGTCTTCACCCTCAGAGTAGCATGTTACGAGGCAGATGGCAAATAACTCGGTGCCGATTTGCGCGAGAGACATAACGGGTGCGGCTTCTGGTAATAGGGTTGTGCTGGAAGATGCAGGGAGGCGTGTGGGGATTGCTTTGACGAGTTTCTTCGACCCATGAGGGCCAGCCCATGGTGCCGTACCCGTGCGGTTGTCAACTGAGATATTTGCACCCCCAGGCATCACTGCCGGACTGATAGCCGACCTGTTGAGATGCGACTTGTCCGGGGGACCTGCAAGCTTCGCAGACAGGAACCAGCTAAATACACACGCCATTGCAAAGCGGACGAGGACGAGGCCAAGGATGACGATGAGTCCGACATATAGGAAGAGCGAGCTGACGAAGCAGCCGGGGGTGATCTTGGCAATATTTCCTGCGTAATATCGCTGATAGAGGCATGGGACTGCTGTAAGGATGTCGGCACGATTGTAGAATAGGCGGGTGCCATCCTTTCCACTAAAGCTCGCTTGTGTGTCCAGGATGGTGCGGATTGCGAGATCTACAGGGTCGGAAGCTACTGGGCTGGGATGTTGTGTTATATAGGGATTCATGTTTAGCACAGCACCGTCGATCACGAAGTAATTTGGGAGGGCAGCGACCTGGTTCCAGTCGTAACCAAGCAGAAGTGTTGTCTCCTGAATATCGAGTTGCGTAAAGGTGGAAGAGGCGTTAATTGCACCAAGAGGACAGTCTGTTGTAGATATACACGGTTGGTCCAAGGCAACACTGAAATTGAGACCTTGGCATGCGGAATATTGGCTGGCGGTGCGATAGAAGTAGGGTGTGATGTCCTGTCCTGGCTCTTGAAGGGTGAGCTGATCAAGGTTCACACTTGCAGGACTCTTGGCCTGGGTGACATTGTATAAAATGCCGAGTATGCTAAGTGTACCGGGGATTGAGCCAAGAGTTGAGTACCGCGAGGGGTTCATGCTAGATGTCTCGGGACACAAGACCTTCTGAGTGCCGACAGTTATGAAGCCAACTATGAGACATAGGATAGCGATGATGAAACATAGGGCGATTTTCTCTCTCCAAGCCTGGATCTTGCCCTTGTCTTTGAAACCGCCGAGAGAGCTGAGCAAAAAGGATGGAGCCCAAAAAGTAATGATCTGAGCGAACAAGCGCCATGGGTCGAAACCACTGCTCCGGGAACCAGCTTGAATAGTACCTGACGCGGAAGGGGCGAGGGAGGATTGGGGATTAATGAGAGGTACTGGTGCAACACTTCGCTCCGGGCGAGTGAGGGTTTTTGCACGACGTATAGTGGTGCTCGTGGGATGAGGTGGACGATGTGTAGGGACTGGGACATCAGCAGATGCGAAAGTAGGCTGTGGTGCGAACCTAGCCGCCATGGCTTTTTCTCCGGAAAAAAAGACTGACTTGTACACCCAGAACGGTGCTTTGGTATCTGGTGATAATAAAGAGCGGTTAGAAATGAAAGACGAGGAAACAAACGAGAAAGTCGTGAACCCGGAGCAGCCAGCTGAGTTATTGTAGAAAGTCAAGCTTGCTCTAGCGTAGCAACAATACTCAGTGCTCACGTGAGACTACAGTGATACGATACAGCCTAGCGCTACTAATAGCTGTTGCCACTTTACCAAACAAGTGCCGGTTGCATGCAGTGTTGTTCGGCCTGAATACATCTCATGGCAGGCTATGGTTCCTCTGCGTACATCTTAACGGTCATTACTTCAATGTTCACTTAATTAACATTGTTCACGGTCACTGCTCTGGCCATTTCAAGTTGACGTCAAAATTTGGGCTGTTACTAGCGCTACGCGCATGCGCATATATCAGATAAAGTTCGCCATGACTCATGCCAGTGACTTTCTAGAGGAGTTGCAATATTATAGGCGCTTACTGGTGATACCAATGATATCATTGGGCAATGGGCATGCACCTTACGCTACAGCTTGGAGCTTAAACTAACATTAGACTACCGTGACATTAATTAGCACCCTTAAACTCTCATGATTTAGACTCACCACTGGACGGACGACGCTTTAAATGACCAACCCACATCAGCCGGCGCATTCCCACAATGGCACGCACTCGAAATCCAAGGTCGTGCAGAGTGGAAAGCGTCAACGCACTTTGACAGTCATTGTCAATCCTGTCACACTCTCAGGCTCCCAAAGAGGATCCACCGTGGGGAGAAAAGTGACTACGGTAGCGCATTCCGACGCTATCTGTGATGGCACCTCCAGTCAACATGACGCAGGGCAGCTCGCGGGGAACACAAAAGTCCTGGAGTGCAACACCCAGTCTAGGGATGACCGTGACGACTCACAGGTTTGACAGTCCACTGGTATCTCAATCAGTGGCGGATTCTGATGTATTTTACTTAGGGATCCATCTCGAAACTTCCACCTCTGTAGGGTGCTCATACTGAAATAAGTCTTCATTGATTCAGTTCCCTCACTTTTTTAGTCCCGAAATACAACTGGCACTGGCAGAAGATCTGACAGGTCAGATCTTCGGTACGATGAACGACCTCGTCGCCAGTGGTGCATTCGGAAACGTTTACAGATGTGAATGGAGACGGCCGTCGGGTTCTGTCAAGGTCTGGCCAGTGGGCAGCGCCGGCGTAACTTGCTGATCAGCTTGTTCGTTATCGCACTACAGGTCGCAGTAAAAGCCTTCAGGCATCGCACGGATTGTATCCCAGAGCAGGAGTTAAGAGTAAGAGTCTATGTTTTCTGTTCTGAACATTACTTTATGTGGACTTCCTAGAGGTTTCGACGAGAAACTGCAATATGGGCACACCTCATCCACGACAATATCGTCACACTTTATGGAACCACAAAGGGGTTTGGGCCGACCACAGCCCTTGTCTCGCGGTGGTTTCCAGACGGCACGCTGTCCCGTCTGATCACAGAACAGGGTGCTACATTAACCATCAAGTCCAAATTGAAGCTGGTAACTTGAACCCGTTTAGCTGCAATAGACCCAAATTGAATTATCCTTATTCACTAGCTTCACGGCATAGCATCTGGGCTCTACTATCGTGTGTATTCCCTTCACGGTCGTCTTGTTTCGACTGATAAGTTTGCCGTTAGTTCACTCTTTTTCCGTTGTTCACGGTGACATTACGAGCGTGAGCGCATCCTCTTCACATTCAATTGCACTCACTAAACAAACCAGTCCAACGTTTTGGTAGATCTCAAGGACGGAGATTACAAGGCTTGCTTAACGGACTTCGGTTTGTCAAATGTTCTCTGTGGACATTTAAAAGAACGCCGAATTGAAGGATCATCTGTTCGGCCTGGTGCATTCAAGTGGGCTGCGCCTGAGTTGATCAGGTCACGTGATCCCTCTTCCGATATCAAACCGACCACGCAGAACGACATGTACTCTTTTGGTCGTGTCATGTATCATGTAGGTTTAAGCGTTCCAAGTCCACAAAACTTGTGTTTATTATTTCCAGTTGTTGACTCTGGTCACTCCTTGGCATGATATCGACGAGATGAAAGTCTTTCAAAAAATCCTTAGCGGAGAGGATATCCTGCGTCCTGCGATATCCGATGCGACGTCTGATGTCACAGACGCCCGCTGGAATCATATTGAGCAGTGTTGGTCAATTGATCTATCTGCTCGACCATGTGCCATTACGGCTATGAACTTCATAAGGGGGGAACTAGAGGCTTTGAAACAAGATGTAAGTTCATGACTTGTCTCGTCACGCAAGAGTAGAGTTTCTGACTCTGACAGGATGTCGAGGTACAGGGGAGTCCTCACCGTTCATTGAACGCGGAGCAGATAATTGCATCTGTTCCTCGTAGTCGCGGGGTTCCATCCCAGGTGAATTTGTCAGCCTGTGGTCGGAGTAATTCAATGCTGATCAACTGCACAAATTAAGATTATGACAAGGATATTTCGGTCCTCCTCGCAAGCCCTCGTTCCGTCACCAAGCCAAGCTACTCCCTCCTCTCCTTTCACATATCATCCCTTCTCTTCGGCCTCAACGCTTGTGAGCTTCTACCAGTTCATTGATTCATGTATACTAATCCTTCCATGTTTCAAGTCATTTTCAGGTCCTTTGAATGTTTTGCTTTTCGGGGAGACTGGAGTTGGGAAAAGCTCCGTCATCAACTTGATCATGGGAGGAGATGCTGCACAGACGTCGCCAGATGGAGCAACCTGCACACTCACGCATACCTCCCACGAAATCAATCTTGGATCCTACACTTTCAAACTTTGGGAAGTTTCGTCGATCGAACCGATGGGTTTCTTCAAGACCCTTTTCAAAAAATGGAGCTTGAAAAAGCAATACAAACGACTGTACAAAGATGATGGAGTCTACCTTCTCTTGTATTGTATGAGAGGATCTAGGGCTCAGAGAGCACTGCTCAAGGACTATAATTTTTTCACTGACGTCGTGGGCTCTACTGCCGGGCCAGGCCGCGTACCAGTCGCCGCTGTGGTCACCTCCTTGGAAGATTATCCCAGGAACATGGATAATTGGTGGACGAATAATAAGGACAATCTGGAACACCTCGGAATGCGGTTCTCCGCACACGCTTGTATCACTTCTCTCCCCGACGATCCAAAATCCTCACACACGATGCGCGAACGTCGACGGCAATCAGAACAAGCCATCCGCCGTCTTATTTATGAGTCCTACCAAACAGGTACCGAAACACCTCACAGTACCAGTCCACTGTTGAATCGATGAATAAAATCGAGCTTAGTTGTGTATTACTGCCTTCGGAGATTTGCCCCCCCCCCCCCGACGAGTCGCTGTGCGTACGTCACTGTTACAAAATCGATTCACTTTATCCTGTCAATGACCGTTCTGCATTACCCTCTATGTGATCGGTATATATCCTTTATATCGCACTGTATTAGACTTTAGCAGTACTGATCATTTACAAGGACTCTCCTTCGGCTGGCTCTACGACAATATGATATTGTGTTTACAGTAGCAACTCAGGAAATACTGTATTAGCATCATCTCTGCAAATAGACAATGTCTCTTTGCGTTCTCACTCTCGACAACGCCGTGCACAATCGCCCCAAGCGAACGTATCAGTCCGGAGGTTGAGCACAGTTTGCGCTAGCGTCAAACCTTAACATCCATTAAATATACTTAGTTGCATATGGGGGTCGCAGAGGAAACTGGCTTCGATTAACTGTCTATGACGAACAGTGGAATGCGGGGGATGCAGTGACTTTCAAATATATTGAGAAGTTGGACTTTGAGGAAGCGACAATGCAGCGCGACGACGCGTTTCTGACCAATCCCATTTCTACCGAGAGGTTACATACAGGTTAGCATTGCAAAATAATCGAGTGTGTTAAATGGAATCTGCCCAGGCTGTTTGAACTGAAATAAGATTCTACATGGCTTCGTCAGTGATTGATAAAGTTAGTTGCGATACTTACGAAAATCGCCCAGCAAATTTGTCTACATAGACATTGAGAGGGGAAAGGAAAGCACGATGAAGACAGTTTCAGCATCTTCGTGGTCCAACAACACCGTGAAATGAAGCAGAGGTCGCCATAATAGAGCCGTAAAAAGGAGACACAACAGCACGGCATAGTCGACGCGGTGAACGGAAAAACCCGTGAAAAAGGAGACAGAACGCAACAACACAGCATGACGTGTAACAACATGCCGGCGGTTATTCATGCTTATAAGAGTCAAGACTGCGAAACTTTGATCTGAATTTCAGATGCCATGCCTGTAGGCCTGACTAACTACTACACATATACACCTCCAAGCTCAGATCAACTGGGCATATGTGCTAGTAACACTTGTGAAGACATCCTGCACCGGACACTTCGTTTATACGTAATCTAGCTAATAGTTGTCACTTTGCCAAACAAGGGTCAATTCTCTTTCTCGTTGTTCGGCCTGAATAACTTGTACAACATCTTATAGGTTATAATTCCTCTGCGTATATCCTAAACGGTCAGTACTCCAGTGTTCACTTAATCGACATTGTTCGCGACCACTGCTCTTGCCATTTGACGCCAAATATGCCTGGGCTATCACTAGCGCTACGCGCATATATCAGATAAAGTTTGCCGTGACTCATGGCCAGTGACTTTCTAGAAGAGTTGCAATATTATAGGCGCTACTGGTGAAGCCAATAATATCGTTGGGCAATGGGCACAGGGCAATGGGCATGCAGGCTGACCCCACGCTACAGCTTGGAGCTTAAACTAAGCTTTAAGTACATCATACTACCTTGACATAAGTTAGCGCCCTTTTGACTCTCATGATTTAGACTCACCACTCGACGGACAACGCTCTCAATGTCCAACCCACATCAGCCACCGCATTCCGACAATGGCATGCACTGGACATCCAAGGTCATGCGGAGTGGAAGGCGTCAGCGCACTTTGTCAACCATTGTCAACACTGTCACACTCTCAGGCTCACAAAGAGGATCCACCTTGGGGAGAACGGTGACTACGGCAGCGCATTCCGACGCTGTCTGTGATGGCACCTCCAGTCAACATGACGCAGGGCAGCTCGCGGGGAACACAAAGGTCTCGGAGTGCATCACCCAGTCTAGGGATGACCGTGACGATTCACAGGTTTGACAGTCCACTGGTATCCCAATCAGTAGCGGATTCTGATGTATTTTACTTAGGCATCCACCTCGGAACCTCCACCTCTGTAGGGTGCTCATACTGAGACAAGTCTTCATTGATTCAGTTCCCTCATTTTTAGTCCCGAAATACAACTGGCACTAGCAGAAGATCTGACTGGTCAGGTCTTCGGTTCGATAAATGACTACGTCGCCAGTGGTGCATTCGGAACGTTTACAGATGTGAATGGAGACGGCCGTCGGGCCCTGTCAAGGTCTGGCCAGTGGGCAGTGCCGATGTAACTTGCTGATCGACCTGCTCGTTACCGCACTGCAGGTCGCAGTAAAAAACCTTCAGGCATGACATGAATCGCGGCCTCAGAGCAGGACTTAAGAGTAGGAGTCTATGTTTTCTGTTCTGAACACTATTTTATATGGGTCTGTTAGAGGTTTCGACGAGAAACTGCAATATGGGCACACCTTATCCACGACAATATCGTCACACTTTATGGAACGACAGAGGGATTCGGGCCAACCACAGCCCTTGTCTCCCAATGGTTTCCGGAAGGCACGCTGCTCCGTCTGATCACAGAACAGGGTGCTGCATTAACCATTAAGTCCAAATTGAAGCTGGTGACTTAAACCTGTTTAGCTGCAATGGACCTAAACTAAATCATCCTTATTCACTAGCTTCACGGCATAGCATCTGGACTCTACTATCGTTTGTATTCTGTTCACGGCCGTCTTGTTTTAATTGATAAATTTCCGTTAGTTCACTCTTTTCCCATTGTTCACGGTGACATTACGAGCGTGAGCGCATCCTCCTCACATTCAATTGCACTTACTGAACAATCCAGTCCAACGTTTTGGTAGATCTCAAGGACGGAGAATACAGAGCTTACCTAACGGACTTCGGTTTGTCAAATGTCCTCTGCGGATGTTTAAAAGACTACCCAATTGAAGGATCATCTGTTCGGCCTGGTGCAATCAGGTGGACTGCACCTGAGTTGCTCAGGTCACATGATCCCCCTTCCGATATCAAACCGACCACGCAGAATGACATGTATTCCTATGGTCGTGTCATGTTCCATGTAGGTGTAGGTGTTTCAGGTCCACAAAATCTATATTTACAATCATTCATGCCAGTTGTTAACTCTGATTGTTCCTTGGCATGACATTGACTCGGAGTTCAAAGTCATTCAAAAAAATTCAAAAAGGAGAGGATATCCCGCGTCCTGAGATATCCGAGGTGACGTCAGAGGTCGCAGACGCCCACTGGAATCATATCAAGTGGTGCTGGTCAATTGATCCATCTGCTCGTCCATGTGCCCTCACGGCTATGAACTTCATAACGGAGGAACTAGAAGCTTTGAAACAAAATGTAAGCTCAAGACCTGTCTCGTCACGTAGGATTAGAGTTTCTGACTCCGTCAGGATGTCCTTGTTGGCGGGTTACAAGAAAGCCATCAAAGTGCGTGCTTGGTCGCGGAGCAGGTATGGACTCGCCAGCTTGTGGTTGAAGTAATTCGGCTTAAATGTTTACCAACCAGGCTGGGACTTCGACTGCACCGTCCTCGCGAACCCTTGTTCCGTCACGCAAAACCGTTCCTTCTAATCCTCTATCACACCATTCCTTTTCTACGGCCTCGTCGCTGGTGAGTCTTCTGGTGCATTGTTTTTATGTGCACTGATCTTTCCACGCGGTTAAGTCACTTGCAGGTCCTTTGAATGTATTACTTTTCGGGGAGACTGGAGTCGGGAAAAGCGCCATCATCAACTTGATTATGGGACGCGACGTTGCACAGACGTCGCCAGATGGAGCAACCTGCACACTGCAGCATACCTCTCACGAAGTCAGTTTTGGAGATCGCCGATTCAAACTTTGGGAAGTTTCCTCACTCGGATCGATGGGTTTTTTCCGGACCCTTTTTACAAAATGGCGCCTGAAAAAATCATACAAGAAGCTGTATAGAGATGACGGAGTCTACCTTCTTTTATATTGCATGAGGGGATCGAGGGCTCAGAGAGCACTGATCAGGGATTATAAATTCTTCACTGACATTGTTGGCTCCACATCCACTGCGGCAGGCGGCGTACCAGTCGCTGCTGTTGTCACCTCCTTGGAAGATTATCCTACGGACATGGATAAGTGGTGGGTGAAGAACAAGGATAACCTGGAAAGCCTCGGGATGCGGTTTTCCACACATGCTTGTATCACTTCGCTCCCCGATGACCCATATGCATCACCCGCTATGCGCGCACGCCGACAGCGATCAGAACAAGTCATCCGCTGTATTATTTATGAGTCCTACCAAGCAGGCCAAACACCTCGCAGTTCCAGTCCAGCTTTGACTTTATGAAGAACTCGAACTTACTAGTTAAGTATTATTGCCTTCGGAAATTTGGGTTCCCCCGGCGGGTCGCCATGCGTATGTCACTGTTACAAAATCGATTCAAGGCTTCATCATGACCCGATACATATCCTTTATATCGCACTGTACTAATGTGTGTACTTATCGTGTATGTGTAGAGTTCGATACTCACTATATTGTCATCGTTGTTCTTGCAAACCCTGTGACTCGGGTTCACCATCATCGATGCATCATTGGTATTGATAACCCCGATGTGTAACCATAGATCTTACGATCTATCAATCTTACTGTAATAATGTTACATGCCAGCCTCGCTGAGTAAGCCAGCGTTTGGTCTCACTAGGTACCTACGCCTCCAAGCAGTAGATCAACTGGGCATAACACTTGTGAAGACATTCTGCACGACATTTAATTTCCACGTAAGCTTGAAACACATTACTATCCTCACATAGGCCTGGGCGGTTTGTACACCTAGAGCGTCTTTCGAGCGCCAGTCGAGTTCTTTCCCGGCGACTGCAGATCATGTCATCATTCGCGAAGTCCAAGTTGAAGGCAGCGAGAGATGCTATTGGCAGAAAACAGTACGAACAAGCGCGTCAAGCTGCGGCACAGGTTCTTGAGTACGAGCCTGATAACTATACCGCGTGCGTTCCCAATTTAAAAGAATGTGTTGCGTGTCTCATATCGACTGTCTTGCGCCGGGCAGCCATGTGTTTCTTGGTCTTGCTCTCTTGGAACTTGGCCAGCACGAGAAAAGCGAGCAAGTAAACCTGACCATAGGCTCGTTTGTAGGGTGCATATAATAAGCTGATTTTCTTTATTAGTTTTATCGAAAGGCCATAGAGCTCAAGGATGATCAAGTACTTGCATGGCAGGTACAGTATGTTACCGACCTCAAATAAGCGATTCTAACCTGATGCGATGCATAGGGTATCGCAAAGCTTTACGAACAAACTCACAGGTGGGACGATTTGGCGGATACTCTGGAACACATAATGCAGATATTCGCGAAAAAGTGATTGTGTTCTCATTGTGATGTATACTTGATGAAGCTAAGAATTGAAAATCGTACAGTGACGACGCCACGAAGTGTGCAGAGACCCTTCAAAAGTTCATGGATATTCGCCGGCAACATGGGACACGCCGTGAAGTATGTATTTTCCCATTTTGAAGCCGTCTTGCTCAACGTATTCAGGTCATTCGAGCATTGTTCCTTTACCTACCAGACTCTTCTTTGTACCCGGTTCTTTCATCGCTTCCTCCACCCGATGCTACGAATCCCACCTCGACCACAATTTTTCCTACTCAATCGGCAATCTACAACTCAACTCACTGTCTATGAGGAGCTTATATCGCTGACAGAAAGAGAAGAAGAGATGTTCATCAAGTCTGAGTTTGACAAGCGGCGCACTCGCCTTGGAGGTCCTAAGCCTGAGCAACTCAAGAAAGATATTGGCATCGAGGTTTGGCACTCATCTAAGGTAAATTAAACTGCGAATACTCCGGTTGTCAAGTTAATCTTCGCCTTGCAGCTTCCAGCCTTATACAATGATATTCTTAATCACCCCAGTACCTCGGACGAAACTGCGGCGCGCCACAGAATCGAAACTCATTCGATATAAGCAACAATTGTTCCTGGCACTCCCCTCTACTGACCCAGAGAAACGTCAGCTTGGCATGCAGCTGGATGAGATGGTTCACGGTATTGTGACGATTGGCATTCCGGATGAGTTTGCTTGGTGCATGTGGTTTGAAGGAAGAGATTCTGATACAGTTGGTACTGGGCACGCCCATGAATTTGACTATGATTACTGAATTGGGCATTCTAGAGGGTCTTGGTCTTGCGTATCTCAAGCAGTTCATAGAACTCTTCCCGACAAGTACATTAGCGCGGATGTTGACAGGATACTTTGCATACTGCAAGGCTACCTATGGCGACGAAGGATCTACAGAAGAACTGACCTTTACGGTGGATAGCGATCCTTATGGCATTATTCTTGCAAGTTTACGAATCACGCCCCCGAAGATATTATTGACATCTCTCTTCAGGATGCCTTCTCAGTACTCTCGGACTCATTGCTAGCGAACATGATCACAGCTCGAGTCCATTTACAGGAACTCGAATACCCAGATGCCATCAAAGTCGCTGAAAGTGGACTAGAATTGATACGCAGGTATGAGTCAAACACAGCCCGTGAACTCCGAGAGTAGGTGGAAATTGTTAGAACCTTGAAACTGTAATGATAACTTATCGTCCATTTAGAGTGCGTAAAGCCTTTTACATTATTCTGGCCACATCCTTCGTCCATCTATTTCCCCCCAAGCACCACCCTCGCGCTCTTTATTTCTTAAATGATGTCCTGAAGCAAGATCCCACCAATGTGGACGGATTGATGGGGAAGGGGTATATTTTTCAATACGCTGAAAAATGGGAGGAGGCGGAGGTGCTATTTGCGCAAGCGGCAAATCAGCTTCCTGATGATATGGACAAAGGCGTGGAAGCAAAAGAGGAAAGTGCGTGGTGCCTTAGTCGGATGCATGCGGATGCTGGCGTAGATGCTTTGAAAGCGGTCTTTGAGACCTTGAACGATATCGAGGATCGTGACATTGATAAAGCTCGATGCCTATGGCGGATTGGGAGATGCTACTGGGATCTGGGAGGTATAATGACCCAAGCCTTTCGCCTCATCTTACTGATCCCTATTGCAGGAGAGTCCCGCGAGGAAGCATTCAAATACTTCATCACATCGCTCAAACACAATCGCGAGTATGCACCGGCATACACTTCGCTAGGTGTATATTACTCAGAACACGCGTCACCGCCAGACCCTACGCGAGCTTCGAAGTGTTTCCAGAAAGCATTTGAACTTGACGCCCGTGAAGCAGAGGCGCAAGGCGCCTTGCGGAAGGCTTTGCTGACGAGCGTGAATGGGATCTGGTCGAGGTGGTGGCTCGGCGTACTATAGACGGTGAGGGCGGGATGGGCGCGGGTATGGAAGAAGGAGATGGCGCAGCTTCGGGAAAGTATCTTCCGACAAACACGTGGGCATGGAAGGCTCTTGGTGTTGTGGAACTGGTAAAGGATCGTACTTATAACGTTATTTCCAACCTAACTTTATTTGGCCCAGACAAAGAGGAACTACGCAGAATCCATCAAGGCTTTTCAAGTGGCACTCCGAGCGGACGTCAATGACCAACTCTCATGGCTGAGACTTGGTGAAGCCTACAGTAAAGCTGGTCGTCATGTCGCTGCCCTTAGGGCACTTGGTCGAGCTCACGAGCTTCGACCGGACGATTGGATGTGTACATACTTTATAGGGGAAGTTCAACGACAAACGGGAAGGCTTGCAGAGGCTCTTACCTCTTTCCAGTCTATACTGGACGTTCGTCCCGCTGAAGCCGGTGTCCTCTTATCTGTTGCGCAGACCCATCTCGACTTAGCCCGACATGAGCGGCTTACCGGCTTCGTTGCTCGAGCTGAGCAGTCTTTTATCTCTTGTGTCGACGTTATGTTAGTCGCCATCCGGGAAAGCCCGGGATACCGTGGAGTCGCCTGGAAAATCGCCGCTGATGCCCTGTTTGAGTTGTCGGTAATCAGTGTCTTCGCGGATGAAAATAACGTCCGTGCAGCCGTGACTATGGTCTCCGAACTCATACAGGACCAAAGTAGTGCTCGGCTGGCTGGCCTATTCAAATTCACAGCTCTCTCTCCAGACAACCCCGTTACCGGGCTCAACGCACTCGAAGCTGCTGTCGCTGCCTACGATTATCGCATCACAGTGGGCTCTTCTGACGAAGCCGCTCTCCCAAGCTCGTTGTACGACCTTGCTGTAGCCCTGCACGAGTGGATTTTGAAACAGCCTTCTGGTACCACACGGCAAGTATCGGAGGCAGCAAACTCATTTTTGATTCAAGCCCTGCAAAAGGAGCCTGGAAATGTCAGGTTCTGGGTCGCATTAGGTGATCTCCACTTTGCCCAGAAGCCAAAGCTGTCGCAGCATGCATATATCAAGGCGATCGAAGTTGACAACAAGGTTGGTAGGATACATACCTGTTACAATCTCAACTCAATCTCTCTAGAACGTGGTGGCGTGGACCAAGATTGGTCTCCTATACTTATATCATAACGACATCGACTTGGCTACCCAAGCATTTACGAAGGCACAAACTCTTGATCCGGATCATACCCTGGCTTGGATCGGCCAAGCATTAATTGCAACAGCAAACGGCCACGAAGCAGATGCTCGTACATTACTCGAGCATGCAGTGAGCATGACAGCAGACGTGGTAAATACATGTCCGCCCTATATTTGTATAAGCAACTGACACATGATTCAAGCCTATGGCAGACCTGCAATTTGCCTTGCGCGTTCTTGCTGCAGTAAATGATTCGAATTCAGTCGGTGCACCCACTACAGATCGTCTTTTACCTGCCTTCTTCGTCCTCGGACGATATTTCCAGCGCTGCCCGGCTGATGCCTGCGGCCTCCATGTCTTCGGCCTGATTTGCGAACACCTTGGAAAACTTGAACAGGGTGTGGAATACATAAATCGTGCAATTACTCTCCTAGAAGCAGCATACGAGGAGAAAGAGGATCCCATAGTCGAACGGCAGTTTGTCATCGCACACACCAACATCGCACGGCTCCGTTTTGGATTGCAGGACTATGAAGGATCGTTGGAATCTTTCGAGAACGCTCTAGGTCTACTTCCCGAAGATGCAGAGCGGGAGTCACAGATTCTACGTGTGCAAGCTCAATACGGGTCTGGGTTAGCGTCTTTCAAGATGGGTGATCTCCAAGCTGCCATGGCGGCATTCCGAGCTGCTTTGGAAAGCGCCGCTGACGATCGCGTTCTTCGAGGCCAGGTTACTGTTCTGCTGGCACAGACAATGTGGGCGATCAGGACGCCCGAGTTCCGTGAGTCTGCGACAGGCTTGTTACTTGATTGGTCAGAATGCAACGTCAATGATTTCCAGTCAACTGATCTATCATTTTAGCATCACCTCCGATCCAGAAAATTTGATGGCGATCAACACTCTAGCTGGAATGGGGATACTCACTGAAGACGATGGGCTAGTTGATGCTGCACTTTCCGAAATTCTGTCACTCCCTGTCGAACAGAGACATGAGCTCGATCCTCGAAGAGACGTGACGTATCTCCTCGTGCAACATTATCTTGGGCTGGTACGAATTCAACTCTTAAATTGTTGAGTGTATGATCCTGAGATTTTTTCGGAAGGGTGACTACGACAGAGCAACTAAATTTGCCCAAAAAGCTCTCCATGTCGAGCCTTCGAATTTGCAGATGAGGCGAGAAGTCGCATCTTTATTGCTCAAGCAGGGAGAAAGAGAGGCTGCATCGGCCATCCTAGCATCGGTAGCGCAGAATCAAAACATTTCAGAAGAAAAGACCACCCTCGCATTATCAGCTCTCGCGCAACCCATACAGTCTCAAAGAAGTGCACAAAAAGCCATTATGCTGGAACCCGGTCAATTGCGAAATTGGCAGACTTTGGCTTATGTTCGAGCGCAAGAAGCGCTGTGATATCAGGTAGGATAATGTACACATATGTTCAATACCCGATCATCCAATAATGTACCTGATGTACGAGTTTCCTGTTGAATGATAGCTGCGCCTCCAATAGGCCAGGGATATTGTACATCCATCACCGTTTTCCTTGAGCAGCGACCTCTGTAGCATCACCGGTAAGTATTGCAAGGATTCATTGCATGAAAACTTCGTACCTCGGCGTGTCGCGTCCTCCAGCAACTGAGTATCGACGTGTTCTGCAGGGAGCTGCACATACCTCACAACGGAACCGCGGATAAAGCAATTTTTCACCGCCATCTAGAAACGGAGATGAATGTCTAGACCGGATAGAAAAGTGTACATTAAGCACCATGTGTGGGTGTCTCGCCTCGTCCAGTACATTGATTGAGTCTAGACGGATGTTGAGAAATCTGGGCGAAGAATGGGAGTGCATGCATCAGTGATATTTGATCTGTGCTGAGATGGTAACTACGATACTGACTGGTCTACCGACTTCAAGACTCCTGTAATCGAGAGATCGTTCTTCAGCTCGACGGTTACTCGTTGATCTGTCAGTGTCTTGAAGACGGAAAAGATAAGCTTTTGGTTGTCCAAATTAACAATCAGTCGGGTTCACAGAAAGACACTATGAAAGCTGACCATGGCTAGAAGCACGGCTTAGATGCTGATGCAGTGGTGAATGATTATGGCCGGTGACATCGTCGATTGGCTTCACTGACAGTTATTTGGAGTAGTGGCTGTGCTCAACCTTATGAATGACTTCCTGATATTACAGAAAAAACTAGCGATACAATATTGTAATAACATCTACTCAAAGTCCGCCATATCGAAGTTGTACATAAAGTGCTAGCAGTGATCGAGATCAGCATTCGCCAGAGATGGTGGAAATCTGCCTCTACCTTGTACAAACTCATGACCTTCACTACCCAAGCCTCTAGGTGATAAATTTTTTTGTTGCCAAGCCGCATCCGGGTCTCCTGCACACATATGAGAAACTCAAAGGTTCAGCCCAACACCCACTTACATAGAATGCAGCCCAATGCATGACATCGGCTTTTATAGCCTCATCCACTCTCTCCACCACCCGCTCTGCAACAGTCTGGATACTATCAGTGACCTTATTCAGTATGCCGTACGGAACGGTTCACCTTCAATATGATCGTTGGGGGAATGCAGTGGGTAAGAAGCTCATAGAGTTTCGCACGGACTTCCAAAACGCGTGCTGGTGACTGTTCTTGGACGATGAGATCAGCGACCTTATGGCAGTACGTTTCCCAGTCTGGTTTGGCTATTTTCAATGAACCTGAAAGATCTGGCCTGCACGTGATGAGTCGCGGTGATAGCGATACCAAGTTGAACTTACGATTGCATTTTCAAGGCTTCGAAGACGAGCAATGCTTTCCGCATGTTGCCACCAGAGTCTTCAGCGATCTGTTGTGATGCCTCTTCAGGTAAGTCGAACTTCAACTTCTTTGCTACATGTTCCAAGACGATTTGCATCTGGAGGCGTTCACCATCAAGTTTAGATAAAATTGCTTGATATCTACTCACCTCTTCTGGATTCGGTGCAGCGACTCGCATAAGTAGACAACGACTTTTTATGGGTGCTATTAGTTTGCTGGTGCTATTGGCACAGAGTATTATTCGCATGTTTGACATGTATTTCTCCATCGTTCGACGCAACGCTGCTTGTGCATCACGGGAAAGAGAGTCCGCCTCGTTAATCACAACGACTAACAAAAAGGTCAGGTTGACATCTAGTTATTACGCAACGTTGGATGGTACCTTTGAATCTATGCTTCGCATTCAAGTCTACCTGCTGTGTCTGCGCAATTTCCTTTAACAAATCCTGAATGACAACTCTGTCATAATTTCCAGCCTCACTTCAAAGTGCTTTAGACGAAACAGAAGAGTATAAAATGCCGAATAGCGAACCTGGGAGTGATCTCGATGTGAAAATTGCTTTGAACAATGTTTATTTCTAGCTTGCGTTTCGAAGGTGAAATAAACACTCGTTGGTCAATTTTGAGCTGTCGATTCGTGTTCATCAGCATCATCCAAAACAAATCATAGAGTCCTCTTACCTTCTCAACACCACTCCCAAATAACTGCCTTAAAGTACAGCTGATCCGTGTCTTCTTTCCGGCTCCAGAAGGACCGTAGAAGAGCATATGTGGGAAGTCGGCTGACGCAGCCTGTATGTATGACACCATATTAGATATGATCCTAGAACATCCAAGATTGACGTACCAGAGATTTCAATCGAATGGACAAACTCTGGTGGTAGTGAAGGTCGTCCAAAGTCTTTGGTCTAAACTACGCGAATATGAGAATGGGCAGCCACTTAAAGAAACAAGCTTCTCACTTTGTCTACCCAGAGAGACATCGTTGGAAGGAGTTGAGAGTCAAATTGAAAGCGCAGGAACGTCGAGTTGAAAGCGTGAACAGTGAAACTGCCAAATTGCATCCCAGCAGTCGCGTGACGTCACGCGTTAATTGTCACGCATGGGGACGGGCTTATGGAAGACACTGCTAGTTCATTTCCTCTTTCTCTTGATCCAGTTCAAATATATACATAGCATCAATCCATATGCTGACATATTGATGACAAGGGCAAAGGAAATTTTCATAATCGGATGAGCATAAAGTCGTCGAAAGGGTAAAGTCAAGTAGCTTCTGCGTCGTGCCTGATCATATCAGCCAACCGTTTTGCGACTTCTCGAGAAATTCCGCAACGCTTAGTGAGATGAGTGACAAGATCCTTCCTTCTCAGACGCGAATTCCCCTGAAGTAACTCCTTCAGCTTACGTGTCAACGACACGAACAGATTATCCCCTCCTAACCAAGCTTGCTTCTGCTCGTTTGCAGTAAATTTTTCAACCAGGTTACGGATCGTGATGCGCGATTCTTCATAGAGGTCTTTGTGTCTGCCGTCCAATCTATTAGCGGCGGTGATGCACGCATGACCAGCGACCTTTATCTGATAGTTGTCGAAGGTGCCCTTGTTCCTCTCCCACCAATCCTCCATCCTCTTCTCTCTTTCAAGATTCGTGATCGCAAGGACAATGGGAATCTTCTTCTCGCAGAGGAATTCGTGAAAGAGCCTGTAATTGCTCTGTAGCGTAGCGGTAACTCTGCCGGCTCGAACGCAGAATAAAAGCAGATCAACGCCGCCTTGTTTATCCAATTGTTTGATGAGCCGATAGGCATTCTCGACAAACTCGAGGTATTCTTTGATTCCCAGTTGCAGTGCCTCGAGTCCAACGGTATCAAAGACTTTGTAAGATGTATCGCCGAAGCCGATGTTATACTCTTGCCAGTGCATTGTACAGCGTTGCATGTCAGGAGATGTACGCGCCACCTCCTTTCCCGCTATGAGGTTGATGAGTGAGCTTTTTCCTGCCCCCGTATCCCCAAAGAGCACGATATTTCGGTGCTTGGGACCTCCTAATCAAATTAGACAACTATGGTACGAGGAGTGTCTGAAGACTGTGCACCTTGCACCCATTTCAGGAGGGATAGGGTATTCTTTAATTCTCAGACGCGGGGTCTCAGGGCGTAAGAACACCTCAGAAGTCTTGACATCCAAGTTGATGGTTTCTGAACATTGCAGTATACGGCGTCGCATGTCAGGTGCTGTGGGTGTTACCTCCTCTCTCGACATGAAGTTGACAAGTGAGCTTTTGCCTGCTCCCGACTGCTGCAACAATACGAGATATATATGCTTGATCATGCTAGTCAAATTATACAACTATGGTACGAAGAACATGTGAAGAGTACGCACCTTGCAACCATTTTGAGAGGGATAGGGTATCCTCTGATTCTCAGATGCGGGTCCTCAAGGCGTAAGAACGCCCTAGAAATCCTGCCGTCCATTTCTGAACTTCGCAACATACGGTGTCGCATGCCAGGGCCTGTAAGGGCTGCCTCCTTTCTCGTCATCAGGTTGACGAGTGACTTTTTGCCTGTTCCCGTCTGCCACAAGAACGCGATAATTTTGTTCTCGTTCCTGGTCAAATTAGACAACTACGATACGGAGAGCATCTGAAGACTACGCACCTTGCACCAATGTTTGGAGGGATATGGTATCCGGGAAAGACACGGAACGCTGTGATTCCCATGTGCAGCTCCTCGAGTCGACGAAAGAACACAATGCTTGGGTTCTTGTTCCTGCCAATCAAATTAGACGAATGTGGTACGAAAAGAATCTAAAGACTATGCACCTTGTACCTATTTGGGGAGGGATAATGGTGTATCCTCTAATTCTCAAACACGGGTCCACAAGGCGTAGGAATGCCTTGGAAGTCTTATCATCCAAGTGGACGGTCTCCGACCTTTGCAGCACATGGCGTCGCACATCAGGAGCTGTGCGTGCTACCACATCTCCCTCCATGAGGTTGACGAAAGAACCATTGCTTGCCGCTGTCTTCCTAGCGAGTACGATACCATCGTTCCGACTCGTCAATGTCGGTTCTCTGATTCCCGGATGCGGGTCCTCGAATGGAATGGTTTCGAACGCCTCGGAAGTCACGCCATCTGAGTTGACAATCTCTGAACATTGCAGCATACGACAACCTATGTCAGCTACCCCGCCTCCCGCTACTTGGTTGAGGCGTGAACCATCGCTTGCTGGTGTCTCCCCCGCGAGTACGACATCGTTGTTCCTACTCATCAATATCAGCAAAGCATGGCACAAGGAACATCTGAAGACTGCGCACCCATCATCGATGCCACGAGTGATAGGGTACTCTTTCATTCCAATATGCGGGTCCTCAAGTCGAATGGTTTCGATCGCCTCGAATGTCTCGTCATCAGAGTCGACAGCCTCTGAACATTGCAGCATGCGGCGTTGCATGTCGGGAGTTGTGGGTGCTGCCTCATCTCCCGCCATGAGGTCGACGTGTGAACCAACGCTTGTGGCCGTCTCCCCAGTGAGTATGATACTTTGATTATTGTTCCTACTTATCAATGTTGGCAAAATACAGCACAAGGAGCACCTGATGACTACGCACCTTGGACACATTTTGGGAGGGATCGAGTGCTCGTTGATTTCCAGATGTGGGTCTTCAAGTCGAATGGTTTCGAACGCCTTCCGAATTTCGTCATACAGGTCGACAGTCTCTAAATACTGCAGTGTACAGAGTCGCAAGTCAGGAGCTGTGGGTGTTACCTCCTCTGCCACCATGAGGTTAGCGAGTGAACCAGCGCTTGCCGCCGTCTCCTCAGCAAGTACGATATCTTTATGTTTTTTCCTGTTCATCATGTTGGCAAGATATGTGCACGAGTATCACAAAACTACGTACCTTGTAGTCATCGTTGATACCTGCTGAATAGTGACATGTAGCCAACGACCGACATCTAACTGTGGAGTTTGAACCCTTTCCGATAGGCGACATTGTTCGATAAGTCGACAGACGGCATGGTATGACTGTTTGTGGCGCCGCTTGAGTTTATCTTCTGCATATTTATCGATATTGACCGTGGTGACACATGCGTGACCAGCAAAGGTCATCCCGAAGTTCGAGATGGATCGCTCGTTATCCCTCCACCATTCCTCCATTTCTGGTCCTTTGTCTTCTAAACTTGTGGCGACAAGAACGACTGGAACTCTCTCCTTCACTTCGGAGCGGATTAAATCATAGTTGCGCCAGAGCGCCTTCGTCGCTCTCACACCCCGCACGCAGTACATGAGGAGGTGAATACCAGTGTGCTTCATAAGATCCCGAAGGAGCTTCTTAAGAATTCTTCGAGCGTCCTTATCGGGGACTTTTCCTTCAGGGCCCTCACCAAGACCTTTAATCCAGTTCAGTAACAAACATCAAAGAGCGGCGAACTGCACTGACCGACTGTATCGAAAAGCTTTACCTTCAAGGTCTCGTTCTGAATCAAAACATCGTACCCATTGGTTTCAGTTGTGCATCCCGTAGCGTCGCAGGATATCAGCGCCTTTGACGTCCCAGCAACCAAATTGATCAAGGAGCTTTTACCAGCACCCGTTTCCCCAAAAATGACAACATTGCATGTTTCTGTGTGATGCGAAGTTGCGCTCTGACTTTGGGTGTGTAGCTGACTTCGGGTTAACTTTATGCTGAGAAAGGGCAAAACACCACTCACAGTAGGTAGTCCTCTGCCAGGAAACGACGACATTGCGAAGATGATGACTCGACTGCGGATGAGATTCAGTAACGGAAAGAGGGTCTTGACTTGCGTGTTCGGCGTTTTTCATGTACTAGTAATATCCCCCAGTTCGTCAGAACAGATGTCGATACGGTCCAAGCGCCAAATATGAAAATCCCCACAACGCGGCATGGATGCAACGTGTTCCATGCGATATTGTGTGGCGTAACAACCATGCTGCATATAATTCACCAGGCCGCTTCGTGCACGCTCATGTTAGCTGATCCTCCTGCAGCAGTGAGGATTGAATCGGCTCTTACGATACTCCAGGATATGATCGATGGCAAAGTTATTGGCTATAGGGAGTATATGAGGCAATTCATTATATAGAATCTAGATAAGACGAGCGCTGCATACCGGCGTGACGAAGCGCTAGCTGACAACAAAGCGGCACTTCAAATTGGTGAGCCAGACTAACCTATATGATAAGTGACTCCACCTTGAATAGGCATCGCCGCATTGCATTGATCCATCAACTTGAACGTGCTGAACAGGTTGGCACTGCCTATAATTGTCGGTGGGCAAGCACTGGCGCTTCGAGTGCTATCCCCGCTCTTTATTGCAATCTGACAATGACAATGATGATGATCGTTAACGTTGTTCTACCGAGAGAGAACGCGGCAGTTACCGCATCTACTACGTTTGTTGTATGATCGGTTTAAGTTAGAACCGAATCTAAGAACCCGATGCATTCTCGAGCCACCGGGACTCACCAGAAACTGCTATCCGTTCCCGTCCTACGTAGCTAATGATTCAGAAGGAACAGCTATGATCATCGTCTTCATTCTACAAAGAAGATTAGTTCCCCGCCATTATTACTTGAATATTAATTATTCATTATAATGATTGTCATCCGTCAATTTATTCCAGATCAGTCTCGTTGAAATAGTATAGATAATTCATAAAATTTTAGCCTGTTCATAAGCCAATCATAAGAATACGAGGGAGTAAGTACATGAATACTGAGACGCGAACTGGTAAATATTAACGATGAGAGAAAACAAGTAAAAAAGATGGTCAGGAACAAATAGCAATAGACAAGGAATGCATATCGTTTAATAAACCAAAATGTTTCTTACACATATACAGGAGGTGCCATACTACCCTGGAACATTATTTGCGGCTTTACCACCTCCATCTGAACTGGCATCTTTGCTGCTGAGGTCTCCGCTGCGGGTGATACGCTCAGTGTCCTTGGGCCCGCTGGATGGCGAAGTGTCGATGTCCAGAGCATCTTCACCGATATCTTTGAGAAGTGCAACACTGCCCGCGACAATTGAGGCCGATACTGAAGTGACAGTTGCCTCGCTTCCAGAAGAATCCCTACGAGGGAGACCACGTGACTTGGCGGTCCGGCGTTCGGGCCGTTTTTCTTCTGGAGGATCATCAGGTGCAGGGGAAAGAGCAGAATTATCAACGGAGTAGGGAGGAGAAGGCTCTCCGGCGGTAGGAGTGCGTGTCGTGGCATTGGCAGCGGAGCTCCTTGGGTTGCGGGAGCGCTTGGCAGGATAGGTCGCGTCACCGTCATCAACTTCTCTGCGCTTTCTTTTGTTTCCGCTTCCAGCAGGGCGCCTCCTGCGGGAACTAGGTTTTTCCCTGAGTTCTGGCTCAGGGGCAGGGGTGACATCGATGAAGGGGGCAGGGGAGGGAGCTGGCTCATTTGCATCGCGTACTTTGGGTGCGGGGCGACGCGCGCGATTCGAAGATCGGCGCGTGGGATCATCCATTATTACTGCCGGCGCGGGGAGCCCGAACGCAGTTGGATCCAAATCGGGGAGAGACAGGGCTAGACGACCAAGAGGATGATAAAGTGGCAGTGAAGGGCCCATCATCCATTTCTTGTGTCTCTTGGAATGACTGGACTGGTGGATTGTCCAATGCTGAAGCGATTGAGGGGAGGGAGAATGGCTTGACGAAGATGCATGAGAGCCAACTGGTGGCACCTCTAGATGGAGAGAGGTTGTCCCTGCGGTGGGGGAGCGATACGTGATTTGTGGCTTCCAGCGGATCGAAGTCATGGATGGTGTCAATTCGTGACGGGATGGTTTGCGACAGCTTCAAGTTAATAGCTGGCAAATAATCGGAATCTCAGAATCTGCAGAAAACGATGGGAGAGAAGAAGGCTCACGAAAGTAAAACACTGTTATGGTCGCATGCTACGATGAGCATGTGTTGAATGTTCTGATGATGTGCGTGAGCGCCAAATTGCACAATGATCTGGGGCGTATAAGTAGTGATATCGTTGGTGAGCTATCTGATTATTGATAACGGAGCCGACTGAAGTGGAACGCGGAAATAAGTCACTGGATGCGTTACTCTGAGTTACGCGGAGAGTTATCAAAACCAGTAGTGAGCACGACTAACGTCCGGAGTCGATGCTGTCACAGTACATTAGCAGCTGACCGGCACAATTTATTTACCGGCTTATGTAATGATGACCGGACCAGGTTATCAAAATCGTTTATCGTTTATGATGCATCACGACTTAGTACTTAGTGAGTGTACTTAGGCTCAACTGCCATGCCCGACTCATCGGAGCTTCACGAATCCAGTCGACGCGTATATCTCAGAGACCCTCCTTGTTATCACAAGCTGTGGGCAGCAATGCCCCGATATGAGCAAAGAATCAGACTTCTTCGTTCGCGAGTATGAAATGTAACAACGATAATAGTACAATATACAGCAGTGACAACACAACCAATCGCCGACAGGAGGTAAAGGATATCTATATTGACACAACAGCTCAGCAAACGAACAAACGTTATGACGCCTTACAATGATCAAATACCATTGCTGAAGGTCATGAGTCTCCGGCGAATGTTTAATAAGCGTTCTTTTCTTGTCGAGAGCATTAGGCGTTTCTGAGCGATAGAAGCATCTTCGCTGACCAACTCCTTCATACGCTCAGAGAAGCTGGGCCCAGATGCAGCATCAGTCAGCAAGCTCGTGAGAAGGCTCTGAGAAAGTTGTTTTGCCAGGGCATGATGGAGAGCATGCTCGATCGTGAAAGGAATATGGTCAATGATGCGCTGCTCGAGGTGATAAGCGCGAAGAAATGGAGATGATGAACGAGACTCACCTTGTAGGCAACGTGATAATAGGCTCGAACGTCAGCCATCACAACCAGCTCTTCCTCAAATGAGTCGGGAGGTAACAACCTTGCAAGATCTGAAACTCGAAGACTTGCATACCCCGCTTCTGCAAGAGCCCTCAAAGCTTTGGACTCGGGCGTCTCCAAGTTGACACCAGTGGGCTTAACAGGACTCTTGGCAGAATTAGACTTTTGCCCATTGAATACAAATTCCTTGGGCGGAGGTGGGGGATCATCGATATCAGGACTTGGGCAAGTTAAAGGATTGAGGATATTGGGCACGGCCTCCCCAATATGGCGGATGGGAGCCCTGTACATAGAAGGTCTACTCCGAACTGTCTTATAATAAGCCAGCCATTTTTCGCGGAGCGTTTGAAGATAGTGCGTGTTCTGAGTATAGTGCGGAGTAGTAGTTTCCAATTCCAAGGCTGTCTTGACAGCGGCTTGGGCACGCGCCTTGCAGATGTCAACCTGAATTCGAATCAAATTGCTAATTTCAAAGACAACTTGAGCCCAGATAATACTCGTGAAGAGTCAACGCTTACCCAAAATATTCCTCAAGAACTTTGAAGCGTCCAAAATGGGTGCTTATGAGGGTGTCAATGACTTGATCAAGTACTTTATTGACACCAACGAAACAGCGCTCAGACGGAGCAACCCAAAGTTTGGTGAATTGAGCAATGAGGTTTGATTTCGCCTGATATGGCACGTTGTTCGGAAGCTCCCATCCAATTGCCCTTAATGAATGGTTGAGTTGCCGCCCAACTGCGAATAAAATACGAAAACAAACTCATGGATGACCTTGCGGATATCGTATATGCCCATCACCTTCACGCCTGGGTCTCGCTCAGTAAGAGTCATATTCTCTTCAGTATCGTCCAGTGGAACATAGTCTTCCGGTTCATTGAAAGGCCTGAAATCAGGAGCAGTGCCGCGTATATCCCTCTTGAAAATAGCATAGAGAGCACGATTCCGCTGCGCAAGGCGTTTGTCTTCGTGACTACCATTCGCAAAGCTCTTGAAGTCATCGCAGAACGTATTCACTCGTCCTAAAACCTCAATTTGTGGGTCATTTTCAAGTGGTGGGGGCAGTTCATCGATGTCCTTGGCACATTTGGCTAGGAGCGCGTCGACATCTTCTCTGAGACGCGGTAAACTATAAACAATGTAAGTGCTTTATAGCGAGTCAGCTAGAACAAGGCCCACGCACGCTTTCTCGATCATTCGAATAAGCAGTTGGCTTATATCGGAGACAAAGCCTGGAATTCCGAACCGATGGCGGTGGATTACGTCCTTCCAGGGCGATGTCGTGTCGAAATATTCAGCAGCACGCCTTTGCGATTCAGCACGAGACAGGCGTTGTGCACGTTCCGCATCATCGGGAAGACGCACGCAGTAAAAACCATGTGTCAGTGTGTGCTCCTCCGAACAACCTTCAATGATTTCTACCCATTTGCGGCGCTGGTTGATAGCTCCAGTACCAAGTGTGTCAGGCTTCGTAAGTACGCCTGAAGAACTTTAAGTCATTTAATCATCCTGCAGTATGGGTGACTTACCGATTGTTCGCTCTCCATTGGGGTCTGCGGCCCTGGCAAGACTCATGGATTGTTGATTTTCCATATCATCTGGCAGCACGCCCATCAATTCAGTAGATTTTTTTTTGCAAATCATACACGTACCACTCATGGGAATCGTAGTCAATATGATAGTGTTTTTTTTCTCGATGTAATGTTCTGCCAAACATTTCACCAAGGTGACCATTTCGGCTTCTTCGTTTTGTATTAGGCCTTCGCTGCCCGTCAGTTACGTCGCCTCAATCCAGCTGAGCATGTACTTACCAGGTAGATCATAGAATGACAGGTCAGTCGCATCGGGGTCTTCAATTGAGACGCATACCACGTTGCGGGAGAACTTCAATGTATTCTTTATGTTCCTAAGTTCCTCGATGGTCTTTGCATGGAAAGTCGAAGAAGGAACGTTTGGGTTCAAAATGGCTGCTTGAGCACGACGCAGCCAAACTTCGAATTCACTTCTGTCAGTGATCTTTGGGCCAAATCGCACATTAGTAGGCTTTTGAAGATCTAGGCCGTTACTATCGAAACCGATACGTAGGGTGATAGTGCAGGACCACGATGTGGCATGACTAGACATGTTACATTCCATAGGGCATCTGCAAATAGTAGTATGAGCATACCCGCAATAGCTATTTGTTATTAGGGTCACCTTGTACACGTTCCGCTATCTCTTGGGACGTTGATCTTTATGATAAAGAAAAAAATGAATAAAGGGATAAAAGTACAAACTGTCTGCCAACGTACCCCACTGACGGCCTCGACGAGTGAACTTTTGCCCGCTGAAATTTCAGTTGAGTATAGCTGTGGATGCAAAGGGAGGTGACCACAAACCGGATTGGCCACCAATTACGACCACGCATGGTAAGGCGATCAACGCGTCGGCACTGCAAGAGATTGCGTGAGCGATCTGAGGCTACAATCAGATCCATGATAATTCACCCCATGGATCGGAGGTCAACCATCATCTCCATAAGCTCCCTGCGCCTGCGGGCATAGTCGCTAGATGATATGTCCACTTCCTCCCATGGCTCTGGAGGGCTCGCGGAACCAGAGAGGGAAGGGAGAGACGTTACATCAAGAGAGGGCTCGACCGAGGGCTCCGTTGACACTGCTTGTTTGCGTCTATTGCGAAGTAAATCCATGATAGATTGGATGCTAGAGGCGTATTGGACACAATATCAGAATGATCTCTGTTTTTATGCGCCGGCTTTCGGTTCAGAGGCTTATTGGACGCGTGTGTGAACGTACAGTGCATCACGACCGCAGCTTGAAGTCGTAATACACGGCATGATGAGGAGAGAAAATGCCTTCAGATGCCCGCACACACAACTGTTAGCGACACGTTGTTGCGTATCGCGGGCGATTCCTACACAAAGTAATATGTCACAACCAATCATAGAAGATCTGCGATGACCTTTTTGGCAAATCTTTTTGTTCTGGCATTATTGATTTTCATATCAGAGCCCGTCCACATGCGCAAGTACGTGTACAGAATCACCAGAAGATGGACACGTGCAGGAGATAAAGTCGTTATTACATACATGAGTCTTACATGACTCAATCATGATGGGCTTTTGGTACTTGTATCCATTGAGATACTCAGACAGTCGCGGTCGCCTCAGAAATTTACGTTTCTGGGAAACAGCTGTACTGTGAACAAGGAATAAGCGAATGCTGTGCCGCAGGAGGTTGACTTCGAGAGTGAACTAGCCTGAGAGAGTCGAGAAATTAGAATCGAGAGGGACTAGATGACGTTACACCGTCACACGTCCAACGTGACTGTCACACTGAGTCGGTATCGTAAAATGAAAGAATTTAAAGTTTGAAACGGGTCCATCACAATAAAATGTTTTTGTACTGAGGATTCAATGTGCACTGCGTCTACACTTGCTGGCATGGTGAAGAATCTCCTCCATTGGCGACTTCAACAGCATTAGCACTGGACAACGGCCACCAAATGATTCTGAGGTGTCACAGGTCACATCTGTCTGTGAAGTCAAGGTTCAGTTTCAAGTTGTCATACGCAGATTACGTCGAAGTAAGTGCATATCTCTACGTACAGTACCCACATGCATGATGCCCCTGATCTTCCCACAAAAAAGCCAATTTCTGAGTGAAATTGTGAGGAACTACGATATATCGTCATCTTGTTTATAGCTGCAGTGCCCTATGTTTTGTGAGGGACCTGCGAACAATAGTCCAGAATAAGTTTGCAAACGTCTTCATAAGACTGTGCACGACGTTGTCGTAAATCCTGGGATTCCGCGCGTCCACCAGGCAGAGTTGTGACACAAGCATATCCAGGGAAATGCATGCCATATTTCGCAAGCTGGTCCTTGTTCTGATTCCACCACTCTGTCATCACTGGACGCCAGTCTTCCAGGCAGGTCGCCACGATAACAATGGGCACTTTGCTGTCACCGATGGCGGATGAGAAGTTTTGGTAATTGGTTCGCAGAGCCTTTGTGGCTCGCGTTCCGCGCACGCAATACACAAGGAGATGGACACCGTCTCCCCTGTTCAGGCCACTGAGGAATAGAGCCAACTTCCTGGCAGCCGCAGCCGCAGGAACTTTGCCCTCGGAGCCCTCGTTTAACCCTAACGACATGGTTATCGATCTGCTCTGTCCCCATACCTCGGAGTGAAAGAATGCCTACCTGCCGTATCCCACAGCCTGAAACATTGCCCGCTGATCGTCACATCATATGCAGCATGTGTAATAGTACATGACAGGGCGTCAGGAGATGTTTCCGCTACGTCGCGGCCCATAATGAGGTTTATGAGTGAGCTTTTGCCCACTCCACTCTCCCCCCAGAGCACCACGTTACGCGGTCGACCTTCATGTCCCTATGGAGGCATCAGCCATCTGTTGAACAATTTCACAGTGCACGAACCTGTTGCGGGCCTGTATTTTTTACATCTGAAGGAACTGGTGGGTGACCGTGAATCTCAGTCATCGTTTGCGGTAGGCTTTCGCCTCTGATCTGCTGCGCCACCTGCTGAGCCACTTCTTTGGTCATCCCACATCGTTTTGTGAGAACTCCAATGACATCTGACTTCTTCGGACGTCCAGCGACATATTCCACAAGTTTAATGATGGATGAAGCAAGCCATCCTTGCCCGCCGGTCCACCCTTCCACAGAATCGTTGCAATGAGCCTCAATCACTTCATAGAGTATGCCGCGCGACTCCTCATACTTGTCTCTATGCCTCCCGTCGAGTAGATTCGCCGCAGTTATGCATGCATGTCCCAGGGATCTAATGCCGTATTTCTCCAAGTGGCCCACATTCCGCGTGTACCAATCTTCCATGTTTGCCTCTCTTTCGAGATTTGTGACGACTAGCGCGAGCGGGACTTTTTCCTCGCAGAGAAATTCAAAGAACAACCTATAGTTGCTCTGCATGGTTGCCGTCACTCTACCTCCGCGGACACAGAAGAGCAAGAGGTTAACACCGCCACGTTCTTTCAAAATGTTGATGAGGCTATATGCGTTTGAAATTGCAGTGAGGTAGTCTCCGGTTTGTAGACGGGGCTCCTCGAGACCGACTGTATCAAACACCTTGTATCGAGTCCCATTTTGGAAGGGTATTGTATACTCCGTCCAATGCAGGGTACAGCGGTGAGAGTCGAGCGATGTGTGCGCAATCTGTCGCCTAGCCATCAGGTTGATGACGGAGCTTTTGCCCGCTCCTGTTTCTCCAAAGATCACGATATTCGCCATACTATGGGGACGTTTCTATGGTCAGTGATATTCAACCCTTGGACATAGCGCTATCCACACCTGAGTGCTATGTCGATTCCACGCTGGGCGATGGGCGAGATATTTTACAAACGGATATATATATATGCGACACATGGTGGGGTTGGTGATGATCCATCTTTGCACTACACCTGAGATCTAGACTGCGGCGAACTCCGAGGTCTAGACGGATATGTACGAGTGTCAATGCTCACCACGTTTTGATATCGAGGGCTCAGGCTGTGTTTGCTAGATCTTGTAATCTAATGCCCTGGCCCTAGTCGTGACAAAGGGTTGCAGCACCTTGATCCCGACTGAAAGTGCGAGTCAATTATTTAAACATTCGGAGGCCGTATACACCAATTCAAAACAGTTCCTCTAGTTCATAGCTACCTTGGCTCGCATGAAGTGCATCACGTCACCCACAACGACCACCCGAGTTGACAAGGTTAGCGCACTATGAACTTTGCGGCAGCAGACGGTCCAGATACTGAATAAAAGGTGAACGAAGAAAGAGAAAACGTCTTCAAGGGTGCACGACCAGCTACTTTGGGAGGAAATCACGCGAAGTCAGTAAAAAGAGGATTGGAGACTTCCTTGGTTTAGGCAGATTCTTACTTACCTCAACCCAACACATCTGATAGCTTCTCTTGAACCTTTTCAATTCTGGTCATTTGCTTTGAGGATCGCGCAATCTCGGCGTCAGACACGCTTCTCTGATGAATGCGAAGGGTAATGTTATTGTAGAGTCTCCAACATTGCATGAAAGAATTATATGCATACTAAATAACATCCTACAAAGCTGTGAGGATAAGACCTGCATTTTAATCTTGCCTCGGGACGAATCGCTGTCCGAATATAGGACAGCGGGGTGAGACAGCGGACTCGATCAGGCACAACATCTGCGTCGATTCTGCGAGTGGGAGTGAAACATGGGTCTCCGTCGTCATAGAATTTCCCGTTGTACTACGCAAGAGGGATAGCTTCGAAGGCTGGGCGAAAATTGATGATCCCAACAATGTGGTCTCCTTTTATATACCGTGACCTGATAACACGGATGATAGTCAATCCGTTCTCGAAGTATGTGCGCAGCGGAAATGAAAGATGCGTATCACGTGGATCAGTACATGTGGCCCAAGTGCATCGACCTAGATCCTAAGGTACTGGAAAGACGGAACGTGTGATCCCGAGGAAGCAACATATGTATTATTATTAGTGTCTGCGAACATCGAGAAAAGCGGACGGACCGTCATGGGATAACAGATTTGTGAAGATCATAAATGAGCCGGGTGTTGTGGCCAACTCTGAACAAGCCCGCGAATAGTAGCCAGGAATACCACTGCAGAGGCTGTAGGCTCTTCAAGTTCATGAGGTTTGGAAGAATTTTCCCTGAAGTTCGAGACCAAAATCTTAATGATCAGTGTGCTGGCAAATATCGCACTGCTTACCTCAAGCTACTACCGCGACATACATACTTGCCTCCTCTTCCACTTCGTGATAAAATCTGTTCAATCGATATTGACCCTGGTCCCTGCTTGTTCCGGCGGTTTCAGGCGGTGTCCCGTCGTACGTATCGCCCGCCGGAGTGAACCGGAGCATTGAATTGGGGGCGTACTCCAAGGAGGTTAGATGATTGGTGCTGAACAGGTTTCCAAGCGGGAAATGATGTTTATCACTAGAAACCAGACCAAACGAGGCACAAAAGAGGTAGAAAATCAAGGACCGAAAGGGGCTCTAAGTAGAGGCCCAACAGTGCTATAGTCGCCATCGGGAGATTATGGGATGTTCCGGCAATGGCTCGTCGTTGGTATAAAACCCTCCAAAAACTCGGGTTTTGGATACCGTTTCAACCGCCATCTTCCTGTTCGCGATCATTATTGTCATTCACATCGTAGAGTAAGTGTTCATCACTGTTGCCGTTAATGTCAGCTGCATAAGTCATCGCATGCGGGGTACCCGAACAGGCGGGCTCCGGGCCTCGCCAGCACGGATCTTGCACGGATCATCATCATCATCATCAATATTTATTGTCTCGACTTCCTCTTGAAATCCTTGTTGACCAACTAGTTCAGCAGACTCCATATTCATTCACCACAATGGTTCATCCCCACCAAACACCCTACGTTACACCTCACATCTTGCACAAAAATTACGCTCAGGCTTTTGATAATGAATTCCATAGTAACCGTCAGTGCACCCAATTTCTATACCTCCTATCTACTAAACGTTTCAAACAGTCATCGGCCGTGACCTCGAGTATTTCTCGCAGGCAGGGTTTGACATGGACAGGATCCAGCTAAAGCGCAATGCACCTGTCGCCCAGCTTTACGAAGATGCTATCCGCAATGAAGGCGCAATCATCTCCTCCTCTGGCGCACTCATCAACTTCTCTGGTAAGAAGACTGGTAGAAGTCCTAAAGACAAGCGAATCGTCTATGAGGAGACGAGCAAGGATGATATATGGTGGGGCTCCGTAAATATCAAGATGGATGAACGTGAGTTTACTGTGTTGCACGCCGGTCCCTTGTCTCAGCAGTTGTTTCTTAGACACGTTTGAGATCAACCGCGAGCGTGCCATCGACTATTTGAATACGCGTGACAATGTCTACGTCTTCGATGGTTTTGCTGGTGTAAGTCCTGTGTTCCAACTACATGGGTTTGCACTACTCACTGTTTGCAGTGGGATCCCAAATACCGTATTAAGGTCCGGGTCATTTGTGCCCGTGCATATCATGCTCTCTTCATGGTATGTAACCACATTTACATGTGTTTCCTTTTCTGACAACCGGAAAGAACAACATGTTGATCCGCCCGACCGAGGAAGAGCTCGCAAGTTTTGGCGAGCCCGACTTCATCATCTACAATGCTGGTCAATTCCCTGCGAACCGCTTCACCAAGGGCATGTCCTCTACCACGTCGGTGGAAATCAACTTCAAGCGCATGGAAATGGTTATCCTCGGCACTGAGTACGCCGGCGAGATGAAGAAAGGCGTCTTTTCCGTCATGCACTATCTGCAACCTGTGAAGTTTGGTCAGCTCTCCCTCCACTCGTCTGCCAATGTCGGGATGGAGAAGGGCGATGTTACCCTGTTCTTCGGTCTTTCTGGAACCGGGAAGACCACTCTCTCCGCTGATCCAAACCGCCTTCTCATTGGTGATGATGAACACGTGTGGTCAGACACTGGGGTATTCAACATCGAGGGAGGATGCTATGCCAAGTGCATCAACTTGTCGAGCGAGAAAGAGCCGGAGATCTTCAACGCGATTCGTTTTGGCTCTATTCTGGAGAACGTCGTATACAGCCCTTTATCGCGCATGCCGGATTATGACGATGTTAGCATCACGGAGAACACACGCTGTGCATACCCAATCGAATACATTCCAAACGCCAAGATTCCATGCATGGTGGACAGACAACCGAGCAACATTATCATGTTGACGTGCGACGCGTTCGGTGTCCTTCCCCCTGTAAGTAAACTTTCCCCGGATCAAGCAAGCTACCATTTCCTTGCTGGTTACACCTCGTGAGTGCATTTTTACTTCTTTCGGCGTCACTCGCTAAGTCACGCTCGAAGGAAAACGCCTGGCACGGAGGATGGTGTCCTCGAGCCTATCCCAACATTCTCGACCTGCTATAGCGCACCTTTCATCGTGTTACATGTGGGTTTTCATCTCCTCTTACGAAATACTGAGCTAAGCCTTGCTGGATCAGCCTGGACGCTACGCGGAGATGCTTGCCGAGCGCATGTCCAAACACAACGTGTCCTGCTGGTTAATCAACACGGGCTGGACAGGTGGCAAGTTCGGCACGGGCAAGCGTTGCCCACTTAAGTACACCCGCCGCATCGTCGATGCCGTACACTCCGGAGAGCTTCTCGATAGCGAGTATGAGACCTTCGGCGGCTTTGGGCTTCAGATTCCTACCGCGGTAGAGGGTGTTCCACGCGAAGTGCTCAACCCGCGTCTGGCCTGGGCAGACAAGGAGGCTTTTGAACGTGAGGTTCGCAAGCTCGCAGGCATGTTCCAAAAGGCGTTCAAGTTGTACGAAAGCGATGTGCAAGAAAGCGTCAGGTTGGCAGGTCCACGGGTGGATTAGAGACGCTTTTCCCTCCTTATTTATCATAAATACTGTTATAAAAGCGGGTGTAGAGTGCAGTTATTGCTATTTGAACTGTACTCTACTGTACTTCATGTTCCTAAACATACAAGGAAGTCGAACGAATTCATGTGCCAGAGTTACATAACATCTAATCATCACTCATAAGTCTCAATCGCTCGGTGTCTGAACTGATCATCATCTACAATCATAGGAACCTTTGGAAAATTACGCTAGCTGACTCTTGTTAGATACCCCCACACGCGATTGAGAAGGTCTCGGACCACTGAACTACGAGGTTCTCCAGGGCGAGACAGCTCCCAAATCAACTTTTGGAGTGCGTCTTGAGCACTCTCAGAATGTTCCGACGCATCTCGAGGTAAATGTGTGAAAGCAATGGATGGCGCTGACAAGTCCATACCAGTGTCATTTGACCCTTCCCACCATCCTTTCGCATCTTCATCACTGTCGCAGCCACAGACCACAACAACTAAGCTGACCTTGGATTTCGCGTAGACCTTGCGAAACTTCTGCACCTCCATTCTCTGCGTGTTGACAGACACGCCCTTGTTTGCGTAAAAAATCAACAGGCAAGGTTCGAAACCAACGCCCCCCTTTGACCGTTTTGCGGGTGGATAGGGTGCAGTTACGCGCTGGAACATGTAGTAATGCCCGCGTATGACTACCGTGGATCTGACCCACGCGCCACTAATGACGCCCGCGATGTTGCAAACATTCATAGGGGCTGCGACAGCAGAGTCGCAGACAATTACGCTCCGCGGGTGGTCCCTTTCATGGTCATCGCATGCCCATTCGACATCGCGAACGCCTTTCTCATTGGGCAAGCGACACTGCTCGATAAGTTCGCAGAGGGTATGATATGACTGTTCGCGACGCTGTTTGAGCCTGTCACTGTCATTTTCGTCGATGGTCACTGTGGTGACACATGCATGGCCAGCGAGGGTCATATTGAGGTTTGAGATGGATGGCTCGTTTTTCCTCCACCATTGCTCCATGTCTGGGTCTTGGTTTTCCAAACGTGTAACGACAATGACGATCGGAACTTTCTCTTTAACTTTGGAATACAACGACATGTAGTTCCGGTGGAGCGCCCTGCTCTCTCTCGTGCCCTGCACGCAGTACACGAGGAGATGAATGCCATCATGCTCCATAAGAGTTTGAAGGAGCTTCTTCAAACCTTTTTGAGCTTCCTTATTGGGGACTGTTCCCTCAGAGCCCTCATCAAGACCTGCAATGAAGTCAGTAACGCCCACCAAGAGCGGCTAACTGTGCTTACCGGCCGTATCAAAAAGCTTTACCTTCAAGGTCTTGTTCTGAATCACGACGTCATGCTCGTAAACGTTCGTTTGAGTGGTACATCCCATGGCGTCAGAGGACGTCGGCGCCGATTGTGTCCCAGTGATTAAATTGACCAAGGAGCTTTTACCAGCTCCCGTTTCTCCAAAAATGACAATATTGCATGTTTCCGTACGATGTAAAGCTTCTCCGGCTCGAATATCGTCGGTACCATCAAGACTCTGATCAACATTCAAGTCAATTGTGTGCTGAGGAAGAGCCAAACACCACTTACAGTAGACGGTCGTCTCTCAGTAGATGAAGACATGGTCAAAAAGACTCAACTCGGAACAAGGAATAGCGAGAGGCAGTCTCGACTTGCCAGCGTGTTCGGTTTTTTGAGAGTCGCTAGTCTGATGCCTTCATGTAGAATATCCAAGTTCGTCAGAACGTCAGTGTTTCGGGGCGCCAGATTTGAATATCGATCACGACGCATGTGTTCAGCATGTCGAATGTTCCATGCCGTTCCATGGATGTGAGAAAGCTAACATCAAGCGGCATATTAGAATGCAACGCGTTGGTTATGCACGGGCTTCTTACATGCGCTTTGGAGCTGGAGCTGGCTTGCCGAGTTGGGAAGACTGGCATGCAGGTAAATTCAAAACGATGGCGGATCCGGTGCCCTGGTCTGTAGTACTCTGAACCCTCCCGGGTCAGTGCTTAAGCTTGCTGACACTGTTAAAGCGAAGTTTGTGAGGATTATGTCGGCAAATTCAAGTTGTATTCAACATTTTGGCAGTACTTTCTCGCGTGCCAGGGAAGTTGTTTGGAATGGATGGTGCGGATCAACGCATTATAGATCATGATGATCCTGTACATGTGCGAGTTGTATGGAAATAAGCAGGGCTCACTGCGTGTGGAAGGAAATGTGTTTGACTTACATAACTGATTCCGAATTTCTGAATCGCATGATCGGTATTGATTTTCGGGGCTGTGGCCGCCGACGTTGACGTTGAGCCATAAGTGGGTGTTTTACCCCGGGCCCCACTAGCACTAGTACTATCCAACGTCTCGGGCGACATTGCACCATTAGGCAATGTGGGTGCCTCATCCCCACAGCCTGCTAGTACGACGATGGAACCTCGTGCAATTCATTGGATCTACTACCCATAATAAAGTAAGCAACATTAAATTATCGAAGAGGGAAAGTCAAGTAGCTGTTACTACGCCGTGCTTTATCATATCGGCCAACTGTTTTGCAACTTCCCGAGACATACCACAACGCTTCGTGAGATGAGGGACAAGATCCTTCGTTTTCATATGCAAACTCCCTACAAGTAACTCCTTCAGCTTACGCATCAACGACACGAACAGGTTGTGCCCTCCAATCCATGCTTCCCTCTGCCCGTCGGCAGTGAATTCTTCAACAAGGTTGCGGATCGTGATGCGCGATTCTTCATAAAGGACTCTGTGTCTGGCGTCCAATCTACTGGCGGCGGTGATGCACGCATGACCGGCGACCTGGATCTGATATTTTTTGAAGGTGCCCTCGTTTCTCACCCACCAGTCTTCCATCCTCTGTTCTCTTTCGAGGTTCGTGATGGCGAGAATAATGGGAACCTTCTTCTCGCAGAGGAATTCATGAAAGAGCCGGTAGTTGCCCTGAAGCGTAGCAGTAACTCTGCCAGCGCGAACGCAGAATAAAAGCAGATCAATGCCGCCTTGTCTATCCAGTTCCTTGATGAGCCGATATGCGTTCTCAACAGACTCGAGGTACTCTTTGATTCCCAGCTGCGGGTCATCGAGTCCGCTGGTATCGAAGACCTTGTAAAGCTCGCCGCCGAAGCTGATGGCGTACTCTTTCCACTGCATCGTACAACGTTTCGTGTCAGGAGATGTGTTCGCTACTTCTTTGTCCGCCATGAGGTTGATGAGCGAGCTTTTGCCTGCTCCAGTATCCCCAAAGACTACGATAATTCTAGGCCTATTCTCGCTTATCAATACAGTAAAAAGAACATTTGAAGACTACGTACCTTTTAGTGGTATTGAGCACCTTAAGATCGTCGATGGTATCCTTCCGCCGCAGGGAACGGCGTCGGTGGTCAGGGGACGTGGCTGCTACCTCCCTGACGTTGGCGGGTGAGCCATTGCTGGCCATTATCTCCTCAGTGAATACGATATTTTTCCTACTAATCAAAGTTGGCAAGATGCAGCACGAGGAGCAACTGAAAAATGAGTACCTGGCAGCCATTTTGGGAGGTACCTGCTGGATAGTGCCATGTTGCCTTTCACCGGCGACTAACAGCGGACGTTGAACCCCTTTCAAGCGACACTGCTCGATCAGTTGACAGACAACGTTGTATGACTGGTCATGGCGCCGCTTGAGCCTATTTCCCGCATCTTCCTGGATAGTCATCGTAGTGACACATGCATGGCCATCAAAGGTCATCCCAAAGTCTGAAAGGATTCGTTCATTATTCTTCCACCAGTCTTCCATGTCTGGTTCTTGCTCTTCCAAACAAGTGACAACAAGGACGATTGGAACTCTCCCCTTCACTTCGGAGCGGATGAGGTTATAGTTGCGGTAGAGCGCCTTCCTCGCTCTCACACCCCGTACGCAGTACATGAGGAGATGAACGTCATCTCGAAGGCTTCGAAGGAGTTTCTTCAAAACTTGCTGGGCTTCTTTATCGGGAACTGCTCCTTCAGAGCCCTCATCAAGACCTAGAATCTAGTTCAGCAACAGTCACCAAGAGTAGCGAACTTGCACTGACCAGGAGTATCAAAAAGCTTCACCTTCAAAAGATTGCTCGGAATCGACTCTATGGAGAGGTCGTACCCATTAGTTTGAGTGGTACATCCCGTAGTGTCGTTGGATGTCGGCGCCGTATGCTTCTTAGTGACCAAATTGATCAAGGAGCTTTTGCCAGCGCCCGTTTCTCCAAAAATGACAACATTGCAAGTTTCTTCTGTGTGATGTGAAGCCTCACTCTGGTTTAGAATGTGAAAATGATTTCGCGTCAACTTTATGCTGAGGAAGAACCAGAGCCATCACTTACAGTAATACACGGTCCTCCACCAACAGAGGACGACATTGCGAAGATGGCTCAACTTGACAAGAAAAGCGAAGGGCACTGGACTGCGGTCTTGATTCACGCGTTTGGTGTTTTGAGGTAGTATCCCCCGATGAGTTGAATCATTTGTTCGGTACGTCGGACGTCCAGGTGCCAGATCAGTGAAAATAAACCACGACGCAATGATACTGCATGTTTCAAACGCTGTTGGAACAACACAACAGCATGCTGCGTATGCGTTGGGCTTGCTCTGCGCGGTGGCTGTGTACTCCTACTGGTCCGGCCGGTCATGAGGTAATTAATTAAGACCGCGCAAGACGCATGTCAAACGCGAACTTAGCGCCTCTTTGAAAAGGCGATGCCAGAGACGTGATAGTAGCAGGCTGCCGCATCCGTGCTTGCAATCCCTGAGGCCCAAGATTTAGGTCTGAGCGAATAATCCCCCGAAGTGTTCCTCTACCAATCTTCCGTCTGATATTCGAGATACTGCTTGCAGCCGGCCGATGGATGTATAGATGTCAGAAAGGGAATATTCGTACTTGGCCCGCGGAAATAGTATGCATACGTCTTATGCAGGGACCAGAAATAATCAGCCCTATGACTTTGACGTAGTTGCAACTTCTGCGTTGTCTGTGATCACTGACGCGCGTCCGCCGATGAACGTGAGATTTGGTTTTCATTTTCAACTGAAACTATAACTTACTATCTCTTTCAATAGGTGGTTACTAATCAATCCTCGAGTCTAACACGAGTTTGCCTCGCGTTGTTTGAGAATCTGACGGGTGCTGTTTTCAATACTACAGGGTTTAACCTGAAGGATGGGCGCAATAAACGTGCACCTCCTGCAAGTCTGTGTCTGTCTTTATAAGAACTACATCACTAAGTGTCGGCCAAACGCTTCAATTGAGCACTATCAGGAGCATCCCTCTTAAATGGATCCAAGGTACGTAATCTTCAGATACTCTTCGTACCGTAGTTGTCTCATATTGATAAGTAGGACCAAGCATGGCACCACTTCAATGACCACTGGACTACTACCGGATGACTTTCGTAGCAGGCATGTAGTCTCTAGATGAAGTTCCGTTTTTTTTTTCAATATTAACAAGCAAGGACAGGCATAAAACTATCGTACTATTCGGGGAAACGGGAGCAGGCAAAAGCTCACTCATCAACCTCATGGCGGACAAAGAAGTAGCGAACACATCTCCTGACATGCAACGCTGTACAATGAAGTGGCAAGAGTATACTATCGGCTTCGGCGGCGACTCGTATACGGTTTTCGATACCATCGGGCTCGAGGAACCTCAGCTGGGAATCAAAGAATATCTCGAGTCTGTCGAGAATGCCTATCAGCTCATCAAAGCATTGGATAGACAAGGCGGCATTGATCTGCTTCTATTCTGCGTTCGCGCTGGCAGAGTCACTGCTACGCTTCAGAGCAATTACCGGCTCTTTAACGAATTCCTCTGCGAGAAGAAGGTTCCAATTGTTCTCGCCATCACGAACCTTGAAAGGGAGAAGAGAATGGAGGACTGGTGGGAGAGGAACCACAGCACCTTCGAAAAATATCAGATCCAGGTCGCCGGTCATGCGTGCATTACCGCCGCCAATAGGTTGGACGGCAGACACAAAGACCTTTATGAAGAATCGCGCATCACGATCCGCAAACTTGTTAAGGAATTTACTGCTGACGAGCAGAAGCGAGCATGGATGGGAGGGGACAGTCTGTTCGTGTCGTTGTTGCGTAAGCTGAGGGAGTTTCTTGCAGGGGGTCCGAATGTGAGAAAGAAGGACCTTGTCCCTTATCTCACGAAGCGTTGTGGTATATCTTCAGATGCCGCAAAACAGTTAGCTAAAATGATCAGGCAAGACGTAGTTTGACTTCTTCCATTGAATTTATGCCTCATCCGATTATAGACTGTTGTTGTCGATTGTACGGGTCTCTTACCCTCATGGATCGGTACATACTATATATTTGCAAACAGTTGTATCTTGTATTTTAGTGCGATGGTCTCTCAAGCCACACTATATAAATGTGCAGGCTGAGGATCTCCACGTAAGTAGATAAACGTGAATTTGATGAAAATTACTGGTTACTAAGTATAATGCACTAACACAAGGTATCTGCTGCCAGTCAATGTTGCACTCGTGTCGTCCGACGGATTATCTCCAAGCACATTCGGTCTACACGAGAGGTTGAATACTCGCAATTTTTTCAACACAGGTAAACAATATCCACAGTGGGGAAGCCTTACCGAAGGACTCTCGACTAGCGCGGGCACAACTTCCCGGTCAACCCGATCAGGGGGAAGAGCATTGGGGGTGCACTCGTACCTCTTACCAGCTCAGCGGAAGTCCACTATCCTCTCTTCTGTGAAGTAGTGGAATCACTCGTGGAGTATAGTATAACTGCTGACTCTTCCACGAGTTCTCCCGCCGACAGCAGGTTGCTGTTGCTCTCGTCACAACAAGTATTGGAGCTGCAACATCTTTGGAACTCCACAGGTTCGAGATATATGTTGCAAACCACACATGTATCACTGTGGCCCTTTTTTCGCATGATGTGTCAAGCGACACACGAGGTAACAGAGGATGGAGCTAGATGGTGTAAATGTTGATCGGTCGACGTAGAGCGACGCAGAAACCATTGTCAGGAGAAATGAAGGCGTAGGGACCGTAAGGTGCATATTCAGAAAGATCGACAGAGTTGCGTGGATGTGTGTGCATTAAATGTCGCTAGATGGTTATTACTACAAATGACAGTTATTATACAGAAGTCAAACTTCACGTTCGATCCCGTGAGCTTTCGATGCGATGATCAATATGAGAAGGGGGATTGTCACCTTACAGGTTTAGCATTAGGTGAGGTCGATCATCATCTCCACGTTGACCACGATTAGGTCACTCTGCTGGCGAGAAGGTTGGTGATAGCTCTGCCTCTTTGATGCGTGCGCACCAAGGGCGGGGGCACGCTTTGGAATAATGATCAAAGAGGGCAGGGGCCTTGGAAATTTCCCGATGGAGACGGATATTGGCCGGAAAATCTCTTCTTCCTCGGAATCGCTGAAGACTTCCAAGACATTGGGATCGAGGCAGGGCTCATCACGAGGACGCGAGACATTGCGACTCGGAGGGCTGATGAAGTGAGATTGAGTTGTAGTCGACTGTGCTTTCCTCTTCTTTGGAAGCTGGTGAATACGACCTTCTATTTTTTTATCAGCTCCGCTCGGAGCCAACAGTGAAATTGTCTCAGAATGATCAAAAGCGCGTTTGCAAGGAGGGCGAGCCTGTTCCTCGGGTCTGATCTTGTCGTCCAGCGAGTGCCTCTTATTAAATACCACGGCCTGGTTGAACGGCCGGTCAAACCAGCCCGAGGGCGTGCCATCAGCATCCTCCTCATCCTCTAACTCTGACTCTAAAGGATCGTCAGGGTTGGGTATGGAAAACAAGAATCCGCTGGGCGGATGGGCATCCGAAATAGAAGCAAATATAGAGGCAGGAGGGAGTGATAGAGTGTCATCCTCGAGACGATTTTGCGATCGCAGTTCGTCACCGGCACGACTTTCTTCACGATCCGGACCGAGCACGCGAATGGAAAGTCCTTGTTTCATTGATCCATCGTCCCCTTGATTCACTTGACAGTGCGTTCTCACTGCTCGGACCGGGGAAGCGAGAAGTTCAGCGTTGCTTCTCTCCTCAGTGCTTGGTTCAGCTCGTGTTTTATCCGTCCCTTGTCTCCGAGCTACATCACTTCCCGGGGTTTTGTGGATGCTCTTCTCTTGCTTGGCATCATAGTCAACGGTAAGACAAGGACAGACCTGTCGGACCATAGAAGCAGGAATCCAAACGCGCATATTGCTATGCGGATCGGATGACAACTTTTTGGTAGTTCTCTGCGTGGCTTGCGGGCTACTTCCAATAAGATTGACATCCAAAGCAGCGGCATGGCCTGTGGGCTCGGGTCGTTTGCCCTTGATACCTGACTGAGTAATTTCCACAAACTGTGAAGGACACACTTCAACACGGTACTCCAGAAGGCCATCAGTGGATACATGGTGGCGCGTTCCTAAAATCTTCGTGATCAATGGCCGGTTACGAGAGTTATGTCCTTCGAAGGAGAGGTTGAGGGGCAAACGCTGCACGACGGCGGTCTACGTCTGGCATGGCGAGATACTTTTTCACAAGGTAAGCTGGCGTTCCGACTGCCTCAGCGGGAGAAGGAGTCAGTGGCCCTTTTATGACAGAGCTTTCGCCGTGCTCAAGACGTTTTGTCCTCTCTTTCTCGTCAGCTTCGAGCGCAGCTCTCCTGAGAACCCTCATTATTGCCGCCTCCCACATCAGGCTTCGGAACCTCTTTATAATCGCAGTTCGGTAACCCCATTCTCCGAACTTCTCCTCGCAGAACGCTGCAGCACGGGCAAGATTCAGCTCTCCATTGTCGCGCATTTTACCACCACCCATGCTTCCTACCCGGGCGCTGCATATTGGGTCGATATAATTCTCGAGTATCTGCATATTTGGGAAGTCCAGTGGTAAGGAAAGTGCCGAGTACGAGTGCCGAAGCTGTTTCCGGGAGTTAGTGTGCAATTCCAAGTTGACACTGGAGCACCAGCGTGCAAGTGCTGGCCGAATGTCTTCGGTGGAACGGCGGTGAAACAATTCGAGAAGTTCGTCGCCAAATCCACAGCGAGCCAAGCCAAGCGCGATACCTTTGCCAACATCCCTTACGCCCTGAATCTGTTTAAACAGGCGAACTCAGTAGATGCAAGTTTCGCACATCACCGTAGTCTCCTTTCACAAGCATCGCAAAGAGAACAAACCCCCCTCGAGTGAGCCCTACCTCTGGGTGTCTCCTGATAGCTTCCGCTGTGTATATCATAGCATGGTGTTTGCTGGGTTTGCCCTCCGAGTCCAATGCAGGATTGGACTTGTTCCCGGAAAGCGTTAGACTTGAACTGCGGGCAAGAAAGTATGCGTAACTTAGTATTGCAGAGGCAGCGAGACTTACTTCTTGATAACCCGAAGAGCACCAAAAACGAGCGTGTCTGCATCATCCGTCAAGACCGCATCTATAACACCGTATCTATTGAGATGAGCCAGTTCGGCTTCTGCTTCACCGAGAGCCTGGAAAGCATCAGCAGTCGAGCGTGTTCAGATTACGTCCGCTTCACCGTTCTCCATTCCATGCCAAATACTTCCAACAGTTTCTTCATCCCAGACGTAAGACTATGGGATCCCGATTTCCCCAACTTGCTACCTCGCTTTATCTTGGGTCTTTCATTACCATCAAAAACAAAGAGTGGTAGAAAGGGTAGTCGCGCCAATGAGCATAAACGAAAGAACAACAGGCGGAGTTCTGGGTTCTCGCCGCCTTTGCTGTGTACACAGTGTTGATACCATATGCTGGCGTCGATGCCGATACGAAAGGCACGTTTCCCGGAATGATTCTTCTCAAATCCTTCCTTAACCGCGAGATTAGATAGTGACCGAGATTGTCCTGCTTTGTTCACGACCTGCGCAGTTAAATCAAAACAATCTTTCAGAGAAGAGCGAAACCGCGTTACCTCCCAAAGGCCTTGGACACCCATCGTTGAAGCTTTGAAACGTACTTAGTTATTGCAGGAGATAACGAAGTTCAAAATTAACCAGGCCATTAACACGAAACGTTACATCACGTGCTGTGTGACATTGTACACTTGCACAAGTTGGCGACACGACAAAATTCTATATAGTGGGGTATCAGTATATCAGTGTTATTATCATGATCTATACTGCTATTGACAGTGAGATTCAAACCCCTATGTGATCGGTTGAGTGCTAGCGCTCAACAATCTCACTTCCGCAAGCTCTCGCAAGTGATCATTTCTTTTGTATACGACTCAAGTCTAGTTCGTTTGAGTCTCCCGTAGGCAGACCAGTAGGAGGAAGACAGCCGTTATTTCTAGTTATAAACTCTGAGCTCGTTCGGACCGTTAGAAAATTGTCGTATGTAGAGTGCGCAATTTGGAAGTCGTAGGTATCAAGAAAAAGGTGTAAGTGTTATCAAACCTTTGAGCCCTCTTCCACGTCATTCTCTTCCAAGGTGGAGACAGACGTCTTCTCGAAAAGGAACGAAATGGTTCCGCCAGGGACATCACGAACAGATAATGGTTGTGTCGCTTCATCCATAGCCGTAATGTTGTCCAGGTCAACAGCAGACAAAAGTGATTCAAGCCTTGATTTCGGCTGCGCAAGGTCTTCTTTATCATCGCTCACACTTGGAAGCACCAGATGACGAAGAATGGCATCGTGGATATCGTCGCTCGTCAATCTCCGCAGGCAATTAATGTGTGTCCACTCTCCAAGTGATGCAAGCTCCGCCTGTTTTTTCTTCATGTACTACAGAATCATGGTCAGTATAATTCTGCGGATGATGAACAGAATTGAGATCCTTACTGCTCCATCCATCTTCTCGATGTGGTGAGGTTTAACTTGCGACGCATTGATAAAGCCGGTTTCAGCTAGATCTTCGTCGTCGTCATCCTCACCGACTTCTATATCGTTCCTGGAGAGACTTGTCATGTCATCGAAATGCTTTGAACCGGCATCACATCCGCAATCCAAAAGGTCATGGGTATTGCAGCCTGTCTCAGGATGGACTCGGAAAATGTCCCGAAGCTGTAAATGGAGGCATCAATCACCAGTCACCTCCTAGGCGAAAAGAGGTACATCTTTCCGTGAAAACGAGTCTGACTTTGAGCCGGATGATCCCTTGAATGTGATAGTATAAATCCCACCGGGTGAAAAAACAAAAAAATCAGCGTACCGAGCCCATAAGAGCTTGACACCCATAATTTAACGCCGGAATCCAACAGAACAGATAATTGACTCACAGTTGCTAAGTCCAATCTTGGTCACCTGCCTCTGATAGATTTTCTCTTCCAATGGGCGAAATAAGCGCGTTATACACCTTGTCAGTAGAGACGCTCACCATCAATTGTTCCTGCAGTAAGAAATCGATAGATGAAAACTGGCCGTTTCTGTCCATCACTATGATTATGTGATAAGGACAAGATACTTTCAAAGATTTGCCTATTCACCGATGAATGCGTGCCATGGACTGAAGGTCGTGACTTGAATGGGAGATCTTTTAGAGCCATCGTATCTTTACATACGCCACACACCTCGGGTTCCAGTCGGAATCTATCAGACACAATCTTGACGCGCCGATAAGGTTGAGCCCAACGCCGCCCGCCTTTGAACTCAGCAAGAATAGAACTTTCCCCAATAACGTCAGAATGGCGCTGATAAGTGGGAACTGAATAACCTACAATGGCTGTACTGCGATGATTTGTTAAAGGTGTTGACATACTCCTGTCTTTTCGCTGCTGGTGTCTGACTATGGCAGTATGATGTGAGACAAAAATCAAAAATACATCAACGTGGAATGAAAACAGTACCCGTCAAGTCGGAAGTACGTATAAGATTTCTTCTTGCAGAAGGCTTCGATCAAATTGAGGGTTGATGTATAATGTGAAACAATGATGCATTTTTCTTGGGTGCGCTAAATAGCGGTCAAATAAAGTTGTGCAATCAATCAAACAGACTTACCTCTTTGATGACTTTGAGGAGATGTGACAACGCTAGAAGCTTGCCTGATATGAAGATGCAATCAGCCAATGCACCTCATCAAAGAACACGGGGCCCACCGCTCATGGAGAAGTCTTCAATTCGGGGATCTTTAGGTAGTAAACTCAAGGCGTCATCGATACCTGGGCGGCGAATTGCATCCGTTTTCGTGGCTCTTGCCTTATCTGCTTGAGCCTTGAGCAACACGGGACTATTGCTGACTTTTGTGAGTACGTTGATTAAAGCAAGGGACTCTGCGGTTGGTCCATCAATCAGCCTATCTAGCTTATCGGGGTTAAGAATAGCCGAGAATATGGACAATTGCAGTTGCGTCGGAGTGATAAACACGACATATTCGTCTGTTCAGAATGTCAGATATTTGGACTGCGGTTAGAGAAAGAAGATACGTTTTGGCGGAAGATAATTCTTGAGAATGCTGGCTTCCCGTCGCAATACGAAACTTTTCGCGATCAAAGACAACTTTTGGTATCCTTCAGCAGCTGAACGAAACACAGTTGTTCCACGAACCTGAACTGACTGAGCCTCGCCAAGCTCAAGTTCCTTATCCGTGCAATCTGGTGCTCTACTTTTGAGGATAGGAACTTCGTAAACTCTACGGAATGTAGCGTAATCATCTGCGAATATTCCTTTATTTGATTATCCCTTGTGAAGAAGGCTCTGCAGCTCACCGAGCAGCCCTGGGTTACAAAAGCTCGCCTTTGATGAGTTAGCACCAGGAAGGTGATGAAAATAGATCCATCATGCGCACCATGGCATGGAATTCACTCAAATCATTCTGAATAGGAGTACCAGACAGAATGATTCTTCGGGCAGTACGTAATGATTTAAACATTGTCGAGGTCTTATTGTTTGATGACTTCAGTCTGTGTCCTGTCGAGGGGTCAATGGCATATATATTCTACCCGCATCAACTGACCTTCGTCACAAACAACCAGGCCAATCGGAGGACTATGCGGAGCATTAGGTTTGCATTTACTGCAGCGGTAGAAATAATACTACTCACTTGCAAAATGCCAAATCGTCTCTGACTAGCGTAAATAAATGTACAACAGTGAAAAATGTACCGCTCACATGACAGTCCGAAGCTTCTCATAGCCAATGACTAAAACCTGATGCCGTCTGATATCTCGGTGAGCGGAGAGCCCCAATCAACTGGTGCCAACACGTACGAGTTGAGAAATTGCTTGATGATGGATTTGTCCTTATCGCCTGTGAAAATACCGACACGATCTCTCCCCAACCTTAAAGTCCAAGTTGAAACAAATCTCGCATTAGCACGATTCTGTCCTACCACTTGTGAAATTCGGCGCGCCAATTCTGCTCGCAAGTCAGAAGATAGCGAGCATGACTGAAGAATAGAAACGAACATTGACCAGCGATACAGGGCATACGATCAAGGCCTTGCCGATTACTGGCCCAGCACCAACGTAGGGATTCTGCTCTGCGACCAGCTTGGAGATTGTAACACAGAAATGAGACAACGAACTCACTGAGGAGTGTCCATACAAGAGAAATTGTCTGTAAAAGGTGTCACCGAGCGGGAACAATGTCGAGTAAACAAACAAACCTGAAGGGTTTTCCCCAGGCCCCTGGAACCTTACTATCAGCAGTTGCACGAAAACGGACAGATTGAACACGTACATCTCGTCGGCGAGTATACACCCTTGGCCCTCGTGTCTTCGCAGGCCCATGACACATTCATACAGAAATTTGACGCCTGTAACATTTTGTGCCATCAAAGAAATACCATATCCAGATAGCATGAATACCTTCGATCTGATGTGGACGAAGATGTCTTGCAACGATGGGATCTAGGACAACTGCGACGGTGGGCAAGTTCCTGCAACGATATCTCAGCTTTGCTTCAATAGAAGCGTAACGTCAAAGCATACTTCTTGTTAAACCTCACAGCGTGCTCTGCGGTCGTTGCTTTCATGACGATTGCTCCCTCTGCTTCGGGATCATGCCTAGCCGGTTCTAAGACCCTCGTTAACAAGGAGGGGAAGAAACTTACAATGGTGCATTGGGCTTTTTAATTGGCTTCTGGCCATAGAACGACGCGGGGGGAACGAACGCTTTTGAAGCACCCGGAGATGCAGTTGTAATATCATTCTCTTTGCCAGGGAGAGCGCTCTTCGCCTGAAGCAGAAATGAAGGCTTGGGTGATGAAGATAGCACTACCGGCACGTCATCCTCCAGTCCCGGCAATGCATCTTCCACTCCAGTGATGGAAGGCATTCGCGATGCTAGTACTTGTGAATCTAACTCAATTTGTTTGCCACCGGCGCTAAAGCTGTACCCGTTGTGTAGAGCGAGTCCGTCCCACTCCTTACGGCCAAGTCTGTGATGACCATTCAGTGAGAGGTGGGCGACGAAGTAATTAAATCCTAGTTACATTTTCCCCTTTTCTGATATCACAGTGAGCTTGTCACCGACATGGCTAACAAATGCATCACCATCCCAAGTCTTGTGCTTCTTGCCCTGCGGCTTCCGCCTACGAGAGTCAGCATATATACAATGTCCTCGTTCCTTGCTCACCAGTTAGCAGTCCAATAAGTAGCTGGCGCATTTGCTTTCGAAGAGCCTGCGGAGGGGGGGTCCCGTGTGGATAGAAGATTGACAGGATGAAGATCAATAGCCCTTTTGTCTACGGCTTTTAATGGCGTCTTGTAAGGTACATTCATCTTCGTTGACGGCAAGGGAGTGACACGCAAAGAGGGTGTCGCGGAGCTATTACCAGTCATTGCAGAAGATGGTATGCTTCCTCGACCATAGCACTTTCTAGACATGTATTCTCCACGAGGAATTGGACGATCGATCCTGATCTCTTTCTCTCCAAATTTATACTCTCCATTTTCCTCAGCCTTGGGCGCATTTAAGGACCCAGCCCCCATTCTGTGGGCGCGACAACATAGGTTAACCTTGACCCTCAGTTCTCTCAGCCAGAAAATAAAACGTACATCTTTCCTTCTAAATCAAACATCGACCCTCTGATACCTGTGAGAACCAGAACGGCATCCCCATCCCAGGTTTTGTGTTTCTTGTACTGGGGGTATCTCCTAGTACCTTGGGATGAGCATGAAGGACACGAATTGGGACTTGCACATACCACTGAATCATCCAGTACTCCTCTCCTCCATGATTACTGCTTGCGCTATACGCCGAGGGACCTCCGAGTGTATTCTCGATCGCGACTTTCTTCCTGCTGGAGGTATCGAGTGGCAGCTTTCGTTTCTCGCCCGTAAGTGGCGACTGATACGCAGGCATAAAATTATGAAGTGAAAGTCTTAGACTTGATGATGTAGAAGAAAGGCGTTCTAGTTAATGCTGTCAGTAAACGGTAAATGTCCGACTCGAGATGTGTCGAGACGCGTCGGTGGCGCGTCGATATAATTGGTTTCGGTTATTTCCGTGACTAATCACGATGGTCTATTGCGCCAAGTACAGATTCAAAAGCAAAACAAAACATCGAAAGCAAAAGCAAAGCAAAAACATCGATAGCAAAAGCAAAGCAAGCATAGTGCTTTGGGGGTAAGCAAGGGAGCCCGCCCTGCGTATAGAACTCCAAGTCGACCACTTTGGTTACACCCTAGCACACCCCCATCCACCACCCTAAACCTGTCCAAAGGCAGGACGCCCATCAATCACCGTAGCCTGAACTTTGGTGCGTAAAATTTGATCGACAGGAACGGTCATGATGTCTTGGGACAGCACCACGTAGTCTGCCTGTTTTCCTGGAACGAGGGAACCAAGGCTGCCTTCGGTGAACGAAGCATATGCAGCATCGATCGTCATGCCTATTGATCGTTTTCCATATCAGTAACACTCATATCTGAGTACTCTCGTGAAGTACCTCTTAAGGCTTCCATGCGAGTTAGCCGTTGTTCTGGAAACCTGCAAAATATACATGAGTTCGATGGGGGGTTTTCGACTAGAAAGTTATACCATCCCGACGGGCCACTGGGTGATTGTCCTTCAGGAGACAGTCTCGTAATGGCTGCATAGAACCCAGCAAGCGGGTTCATGTCTTCCACCGGGAAGTCAGAGCCCAAGGCAAGTCGAGAACCGTGGTCAAGTAAAGAACGGAAGGCATATAAACCCTTTACTCGCTCAGCGCCCTAGAAAACGATGAACACCTGTAAACGCCAGAAGCTATGACTCCATGAACTCACAAGACGCTCTTCCGCAAACCACATATCACTGATGCTATTCCATCCATATGACACATGTCATTCGCAAACACATTCGGATGAATAATTTAACGTACGCATGTGTAGGTTGAACGCTGGAAATAACTAAATAACGACAATTCTACTTCCATTGACATCAAAGAAACTAAAATGCTCACCTCCAAGCTTTCCGACACGTTCCAGGTCGGTCATTGTTAAGATCTCAGCATGTTCTAGGCGAGGTCTGAGTGCCGTTACATTGACGTCCTCCGAGGCAGTCTCGAATGCGTCCAGAACCACACTGTTGGCATAATCCCCGATTGCATGGACATTCTTCCAGATAAAAGCAAATGAGGTGGATTTTTTTTGCGATCGCCAGCACTTACAACTTGCCACCCATCTCTTAGATATTGGAGTATAACGTCGGTCAAAACTTTGGGGTCCAAACGCATGAATCCTTTCGTGTGGGGGTTGTCAGAGTATGGCTCGTTCAGCTGAGAGACGTCAAAAATACGCAAACATGGCCAAGGAGCTTCTCACCGCTGCTCCACCAGAGCGTAAAGCACCTGAATAACTAGTCAGTCTGACACCTTAATACCATCACTACCGTTTTACCGTCAGCGAAGATCTTAACACTGCGAGCATTTAGCCTGCCATTTCCTGCATTGATGATTGGCTTTGAGAGGTTTCCCCAGTAAGGACCGCTTTCCTCGAAGTATCTCATCCCATAAATTCGAATCTATGGGCTATTGTGAACTACACAATGACGGCATCCTTGAGCGCTTACGGGAAGATTTCCTGCCGCCGCTTGCCTGCGTGAATAACGTCAAATGTGTTTTGACACAAGGATGTTTAGTAGACCTTTTAAAAAACTCAAGTGAAAAAGGTTTGAACCCCGCATCATGAACGGAGGTTAATCCATAGGACAAGGCATCATTGACTGTGGTATTGAAACGTCGCAGCAAGTCCTGTTCAGTTAGAGTTGGTCTCTTCACAAGGTCCTGGGCACTGTCAAGAAGAACGCCTGATCATTAATGTAAGCTATTTTTATGTCATATCTCCAGAAAGAAAGAACGGAACCGCTTGGAGTCCCAGATGAATCTTTCATAATGACACCACCTTCTACTTCCGATGGCCACGGAGAGCTCAATGCGAGAGCTTTCTTCGAGATCCACAATGCATGGCCATCCTTGCTAATTAGGACGATTGGCCGGCCGCGGACTATCGGATCCATCTCTAGAGCGTCCTGCAAAGCAACGAACTCTAGACTCGTGTAGCACATGATTTTATGAAGCTCACCGAGGTTGGCCATTCTTCCACTGGCCAAGAAGTGTGGTCCCATCCCGAACCTTCAATAATTTTTGAAGAGTCGTTGAGTATGTCATCGTTGTCCAAAATATATCGTCGGACGAGTGCAACTGTATCTGAATTGCAGTTACAATACTCAGATCGCTCCCAGGACAAGTCATTCTTATGCAAACCTTCGATCGTCTTGCCACTTTCAAGAGGAAGCTCCTTAGCTGCACCATATTCGAGAATGTGTGCATGCGAATCTGAGGTGTTGAAAAGTCGTTCTAGATAAATTGTTTCTTTACTTGCAGCTTACCACTAAACCCCGGAACCACGATCGAAGATTCGTCCAAATAACGAATTTGAAGAGAAGAACGAAGGCGACCTTTGGCAACCCAACGTGCCATGACATCCTCTAGTGACATGAAACCATGGATAAGTCTGATTCGACTGCTTGTGTTGGGCTTGTGTCTATTTTGACATACCTAAGGAACCAGTGTCCACTATTAAAGAGCCATCCACAACAAGGCACTGAACGTTCGGCACAACATGATCCATAGTGTAAACACGAGCACCCGATGAGGAGCAAACGGCGTAAGAATGTGAGAGTGACGAAGTTTCCTCGGAGGATAGGAACCAAGCCGCAAAGACAGCAAGAAATATCAGGATTACAAGACGAGAACAGCCAAATCCAGGCAGTACAGAAGCACTTCTGTGGGGTGGAACATTTTGAGGGTCCGTATCAGCAGATTTGCCAGGACCCTGGCGTTTACGCAGTTCAGACATAGCTGGCACAATGCCCTCAGTAGTAAATATGCAAAATATTCAAGGACCACTCCACCTGTAAGTTTCAGTCGTGCAAGGTGGGGGGGGGCAATTTCAAGATGTTTGGGGTGATGGGGATGGAAGCCAATGTCTGTTGACATCCTATCCAGGCTATACTATATAACAAAACTACTCGGTTACGTGAAAACTGGAATGACATTCTCAAGCTCATTGGCTGGTCACTCGGTCACGTGCATCCGAGAGTCAAATTTACGTTCCCATTGGCTGCCAAATCGCCAAGAGACAAACTGAAAAGACATTCTCATCGGCTGATCACTCAGTCACGTGTATCCGATAATTAAAATTACGTTCCCATTGGCTGCCAAATCCCTCAGTGTCAGCTGCGCCCCTGGTTGTCTCACTCTTACTAGAAGTTTAACAAACATTTCGACTTGCTTGTTATTTTCAGCGGCTAATCCACAGGTATCTGAGCTAGTACTGCTAGAGACGGTCGGACATTGAGCATGCCCGACGCGGTGGTAGCCAAATCAGGAAACGTTAACGTTGATATAGGATCCGCGTAAGTAATTTACGAGAGGATGGCCAAGTGACAAGTCGACAACATTTTAATTGACCAGTCCTCAATTGAGCTTGAAGTAGTAGGTCCATCCGGCTTAAAAGACTTTCCTCACATATTACTATCAGTAACGGTCAAATCGAATTCGTGATGTTAGACGGCTATTTCACGAGTCCAGGGATTTTTGTTACCATTTAAATTTGTAACAAGCCAAGTGGGTCACGAAATGGAAGTCCATCACGAATAGACCGTAACCGATCTAGCACACAGCTGTCACCTCCACCTCTTCCCCGCTACGGCCCACTAGTACGTACACTATGTTCGGATAGCTAACAATACTCCTCCGCTGCCGTCGCCTCAAGTTGTAAGTCCTTTTTCTTCTTTTGTAATATTGATTGATAGTAGTGCCATGTACAGTACTTGCCACTCAGAGACTCTACCTTGAATATTGCGCTGCCTATCACGCCCGACTGTGACAGCCTACACCCTGCAGCTGCCGCCTCTTGCATTCTGCCATCTATCACTGCACCTAGATCTCGCACCCTCTTGCGTCATTTGAGTGAGTTTTCTGTCTTCTTCTACCCACATTTACCTACTATAGCATCTCCTGAGGACCTGCACTCAGCTCCATGGTAAGTTTTTTATTCACTCCCTTCGTGCACCTGCTGCTACCCAATTGTGCATGTGAATCTTTTCGTCTGCTGACTTCTAGTAGCCTTCTGTACCTGCATCATCTGAAACCTTCCTCCGCCCCTTTGCACAATCTCGCACTTTCCCTGGATGCTTTCACGCCTTCTAATATCGTCTAGCGGTGTCTCGCATTGTCACCGTCTCAGTACGGTATAGTGTGGCTTTCACTATCATTTTTTCTCTACCGGTTCACAATCATCGCTTTCATATTCAGTACTTGCCCCTCGCATATTTTCATCTCTACTTACTTTACTTCTGTGTTCATTAGCTATAGCTGGGTGTACTCCAGCTACTGCAGTGCAATTTGATGTGCCCATTACTATGATTCTGTGATCAAACGGAGCCTACAACTGCCGCACAACAGGGTAACAAGACTTGACTTGTAGTATAAGTTCATTACCGCGGAAGGGACCACTAGGAAGCACTTACTAATAGTAAACCAGGGTTATTGATACAATACAACAACTTCGGAAGACTGGTACTAGATTAGGGCTGAGTATGTACAAAACCTTGCTGTATGTCCGTGCATTATAACTCGCAAGCCCGACGCGATTTTGTAATGTGTTTGTGGGGATGATAGGCTCAACAATTGCACACCTTGTACTGGCTCTTACTGAGTATGTACGGTTTTTTTTTGGTTTGATGGCATAGCAATTAGCCAGGTTCCTCCGAGCAGTCCGAGTCAGAATGATGAACAGACCGCTGGTGACGTGACCGTGAGAAGACGTCGGGTTCATGACACGCAATGCATTCAGCACTTCACTCCCATCTGAGTCGACGGTCGAACAATATTCTGTCGAGCTTCACTGTCCTCTCTTCCAGCATTTCCGGGAATGCCCCTCAATGGTCTTCTGCGGCAGACAGCTCACCCAATCTGGCTTCATTCAATCATCACAAAGTTCTGCTCTATGGTCTAGTGTCTACAATTGCAGTTTCGGCAACCATCACAAATGCACTCCGATGTCACAGTAATTTCTATTCTGTGGCAATTTATCTTTCAAAGAGTAATAGAAGTGTATTGGTGCGCGATGTATCAATTGTGATTCACGGCGTACTAAAACAGCTTTCAGATACTTGCAAATTTCGGTCTTCTTATTGCATTGCTGTGTGGGCAGCTCGTGCAACAGATATTCTTCGGTGCCCTTCGTCCTCAGGAGGTGGAGGTAGCTCTCATTGAGTTGATAGTCGACTCTGTGCTTAATTATCACTAGCGGCTATATGACCGTCTATGGTTTTTCGTCACAGAATCTTTGCTGGCATTCACAATCTTCCGGGATGACTTTGACATTCCGTTTGCCTTGATGTTCGGCTTTTTGCTGTTTGTCAGGTCATTCCACTGGCTTGCTTCGGACCGAATTGAGTGGGTATGTATCTTGCTTCGCCTGGTGCTGCAATGCACTTAGTCATAATCTAGATGGACCAACGCCCATATCCCGGGCCACCCACACTCTTTCATGTTCGAATGACCACACTCTTTGTCATACTTTGGTGCACAGACCTATTGATGTTTGCGGTTGCGGTTGAAAGTACACTGAAAAACGGTATAGGGGGCATGATGATGTTTGCAAGCGAGGTGCGTGCTCTACATATCCCTTTAAATTATATTTAACACTCCTTTCAGTACGCTATCTTGATGGCGAGCGCCATGAACACTACGGCAAAGTATGGGGTTTGCGTCATCGATTTGAGGCGCGCAAGGCAAAGGGGTGGCGAGAATGCGCCTCCATGGCAGAATAAAAGCATGTGGGTATTCTACATCGAATTGGTTACCGGTACGCAATATCCATATCGATTCCGAACCTTCATAAACGTTTCTTTTACAGATTTCTTAAAACTCACTACGTACCTTCTATTCTTCCTCCTTATCGTGGCGTTCTATGGGTTGCCGCTGAACATCATCCGAGATGTTTATCTCACTGGGCGATCATTTGTGACACGATTGCGCGCGCTTGTTCGATACAGAGCTGCCACCCGCAACATGGATGAGCGCTACCCTGACGCGAGCGAAGAAGAAATGTCGGCCATGACAGATCGAACGTGCATTATCTGCCGCGAGGAGATGTTCATCCATGACGTGTCTGGGAATCAGGGAGAGAATTCAGGCTCGAACCCTGCACAACAGAATTCTGATGGTCCCAACACCACCCCAAAGAAGTTGCCCTGCGGCCATATTTTCCATTTTTATTGTCTTCGATCCTGGCTTGAACGCCAGCAAAGCTGCCCTACTTGGTACGTTAATTTACGTTGCGGAATCTCGAGATCGCTCATGGTATATTCTCTTCGCAGTCGACGTAGTGTGCTTGAGAATCCCGCGCAAGAACAGCAGCGTGCTGCGGGTGCCCAGGTAGGAGCAATACCTGGACAACCAATTAATTTTGGCAACCCGGTGGCCCCAGGAAACCAACCCCAAGCACCTCGCAACGTTAATAACCAGCCCCCGCCAAATGCAGCTGCTCAGGGGTGGTTGCCCGGGCAAGCACCAGGCGTTGTTATTCAATACAACATCCAGTACCAGGGTCCGCCACCTTCACGGGATGCATCTCAAGCTTCGGCCACGGCTACAGCTACTCCTCAGCCTGTGCCTCGCTTTCCTGGGTTCGCTGGCCTCGATGGACAATGGCGTCAGTGGGGTATGGATCCCCGATGGTTTGGTGACGAGCCTTCGGGCGCCTCGGATCAGTCCTCGGACATTACAGGCGACTTACGGCAGAATCCCCGAGATGCCGCCGCCGCCGCTGCATCGCAGCGATTTGAACACAAGAATATCCGGAGATCTAATAAGGTGGCTCCTGCTGTCAAGCCTGCATCCGGTGAGGCGTCGAACGTATCACCTTCTGATGCCGGTGTTTCTTCTGCTATGCCAGATTCAGAATTGGCAATCCCTTCTTTCATCCCATTACACGCACATGAAATTCCCTCCCGAATAGGGACACCACAAGGCGTTGACCCGTCCCACACTCACTTGTGGCAGCCACTCCCACAATCCTTAAATGGTGGTGTACCTACGCCAAATCTCAGTGCTTCTGTCCCCGTGGGCGCCGTTCAGACACCATTACGGGGGCTGCCACCCAATCTGACAGATGAGCAGTTAATGCTCATGGATCAGATTACACGAGAAGCCATTGACGAGAGACTCAGGATACTCGAAGGAGTTTCGGTTGCAGTTAGTCGTTGTGTCGAGGATCTCACGCGAGTACGAAGCGCCTTGCCAGTTTCCAGCAGCACACCGTCAGCCTCAACTGTTGCCCAATCATATGATACTCCACCCTCTGCTACTGAAGAGTTTAACACGTAACATACTTGTACTGTTGTTACCGGCAAATAACATTCTGACCCAGCTCCATGGAAAGTTGTATACTTGGTTTATTTAATTGGTACTTATTCAAACGTTCAACAGGAGCGCTTCAGCCTTACGTTTTACAGTGTTGGCGTCCACATTTGATTTATCTACTTTAGAGTAAAAGGTCTTGTATACTTGCCCAAGGATTTTGCGGGAATCGCCACCGAGTGTTGTTTCAGCGATCACCTCGTTGAGAACACGGTCGATATCCGCTTCCGACGTCAAAGGGGGTAAGAAAGCCGCAAGAACGTCTGCTTCGCGATGTTCTTTTTGTGCCAAGTCCGGTCTGGAAGCATTGATGAACTGAATGGCAGAATCATGCTGTGTAACAAAACAAATCAGGTGATGAGCAATATCAACGAAATAAAATTTGGACTAACACGTCGTAAAGTGGCCTTTCGTAGGATCGCGGTTATAGCGGAGGATGACACGGGTGAACCAGCTGACTTGTCAGCAGCATAGACTTCCGAGAGAATGGACTGCGTCATTAAGCACCTCAGAAGTTAGAACCTTCAACTTCATTTGTGAAAGATAAAAGCTCACGCGTATCGTTGTGGAAGTCATTGAATCCTTGGTCTATTTAAGCGCTTTATTGGCAGGTGAATAGTATTGATTCAACAGGACAGTCACCTTCATAGCAGTCTTGACTCCGGACAATAGTTGTTGGCGGACATCTGCATGACTTTTTGAACATGACGGCGCACTTGCCAGTGTGGTTAAATGTTTACTGACCTATGGCTATCCCTGATGTGGAAGACAAAGCGCGCGACATCATTAGCATTTTGCCATGCGTTTGTCTTAAGCTTGAACGAAGTGGAAGTGCTACGATCATCATGGTGATCGTCGAAAACAGTCCAATTTCAAACTCCGTACTCGAGCATTTCTGAACTGGCCGATTCCCGAACCGTTAGCGACAAAGTCTAGACCCAAGTGGAAGTTGCCGTGTGCGTTACTGTTTCTCGCGCCTGCATCAATATGTCATTATAGACTGCGTTAATCTAACAACAGTCAAAGTTGAGCTACGCTTGTTCTCCCTCGGCAGGCCTCTCTTATATTTGACACTCAGTTACTTTTTAGTGATCAGATTTTTCTGCTCGTCATATGAAAATCGACTGCGGAACAGTATTGAATCGGACTGCGACCTGAACTGCAACTGGATTTGATTTTTCAGTCTTATCATCATACGGCGGTCATCTTGCACTTTTACAGTACTTGCATCAATAGCATCGCAGTTTGCGGCCCATGGAACCCGATTTCCCCTTATCTGGGACGTTCGTCTCATCCATCAAAGAGTCTTGCCGGATCGTGACAGTGGCCGCAAATATCAAGGTGAGCTTTTGACTGGTACATAATTCTCTTCCGCATTCAGCTTTGTCTTTGTGTTTCGCTTCGATCCACCATGTATGTCTGTTGTTGTCCTTGCAACATATCCCATGGATTTGTTGTCGATCTGCCATGAATTTCTTTGTTCGAACAGCCTTTGACTGGTTGATCCATTAGGTCGAAGATGCCGCTATCAGGCGCTTCCTGGAATCTCCGTCCTTTCGATCCTCGTTTCATCGTGTCTCAGGCTCTCATGGGCTTGCATTCCCTCTCAAGTTCCCCTCACTCTTATCTGAACTAAACCTTTTATCTGTTCTTTCTCTCCTCAACTTCGCTTCCGGCTATCGAGTGCCACTTCACGAACAGACAGGACGAGGTGCATGGGATAATATACGGGCGTTCACATTCTCTCTATATCTGTCCTCTGCGACAGGACAGGGAGATTTACTTTCCGCGAAAGGCATGAAGACGATGAGTGAGCAGCAAGTTGCCCAACACATGGGTGTCACGATCCACGTCGAGCGACCTCATGAAAAGATTCCCGGTGTCACAGTCGGGGAACTCGGTGGACCAATATATGAGCTGGTGAAACTGATCAACTCAACCCTAACCGAGACGGGTCAGATCCTGGACGCTGCAGGATATTCGGAATTAGGGGGCTTTGTTTTGGAGAGCTTGAAGGAAGGAGCAAAGGCAGACCCTAGCGCAAGTCTTGGAATTGTGCTAGAGAGGGTGGGCCGCAATTTTTGCAGCTACCAACAACCGAATAATCAACTCTTTGAATTAGCTGGTCAGAGCTATTCCAGCTTTCCGCGACATGGCAGTTGTTAACGGGAAACGTGAGTGGACGGCGGATCATAGCTAAAATTATCCTTGCGCTCATCAAATTTTTGAAGCGGTGTACTGCTTCAAAAAGGCACTTTTTCTTATCCATGCAGTGAAGATTCGTTTTGGTTCTTCGCCACCATTTCCCATCCCCAGCACAGCTCAGGCACCCGTGTTCACCGATAATGTTCTGCCGTCCCTTTTGGTCCATTTGGGAGTTTTAGGACCTGACTGGTGCAACATCTCACGGACTTCATGAATTGTTTCCTGGTGCCGAGAGCGAAGATAAGATTGACGCTCTCTTGGCTTTACCTCCTGAGGCTTCACAGGCTGTTGCGCAGGATACCAAGAAAACACCCCCAAAGGATGGTACCTGTACTCACGACGGAGCAGGCCTATGTTTTGCGTGCGGCTGCCGTATACGCTTGCGAGAAAATTGTTGAATATGCAAGGGGTGATGGAAAAAATAGTGAAGAGCAGACATGGCTGAAAGATATCACATTGCCCGAACTAGACATCTGGCTCTGGGCAGTAGCCAAAGACCGACCAGATTATAGAGAGCTGGAGAGATTTGTTCTGCGGGGTACGGTGTTCTTTTAGAGTCTTTTAGTCGCGATTTAGCAGCATGAACGACCGACTCGGTTACTATGGCACTGTTACACATACTATCCAGGCGTCAAAATCACCAATGAAGGACTTGTGTGTCCATGTGCGTTGACGAGCATGATTATTTTGATAAGCCAATTGCAATCCTTCACCCAGAATCTTGAGACTCAGAGGCCGCAACATCCAGAGGTATAATCGTAACTTTGCCATGGCAATATGGCCATCTGGAAATCGTGGGTGAGCGTTGCTGAGTTGTTCGGGGAAGTCGATTGGGTGTTATAGTAATCCGGCCAGGCCCCCTTATGCATTGTTTGTGTGTGCTACGGAGCGCCTAGGCTATGATTACGCACTTCCTGCGTCAGCAGGTTGGTGAGGCGTTATGCCTACGCAATCACGATTAGACTGCAATTTCGGCATGAGTGATTGATGATCAAACAGGAAAATAGCGATGACAAGAGATGATCAAACGGACAGCCCCGGAGTCCCTGGACACCTCTGAACACCAAGTAAGGACGCTTGCGCAGATGGAAGTGTTCCTCGCAGAATGTTAAGATGGGAAAAGATGCCTCGTCTAATCTGTAGTACCACATTTAGGTGTGAAGGGTCCCAGAGGTCAGGACGGTTGTGAGAAGAATATGCAAACACGTTTGTCATATGAATGATATCCTATGTCACACCCCAATAGCGATGCTGGAAACGAAGATCCTGGTATAGACAGTGCCGTTGAAAGACGTATCAGCCATCAAGGTGGCTGCGACGATATCTGAGTTGTCTGGGAGACTTCCATCCAGACGGCCAACTTGAAAGCGGCCAAAGCCTGAAGCGGATAAATATAAAGTGTAAAGACATTTGGGAATCATAAGAGATACTAACTTCCCAGCTGTGCTGCCCAATAATCACCGAAGAACAACCACAGTATATCTGGCGGCCTAAAAAATGTCTGAGGAGGTTGAGACGTATTCCACTCCACCAACCTCGCCAGCAGACGGACGAGCGTACGGTATGGCCACAGAAAACGTGATTCGACCCTCGTTATCGAGAAAAAATAGTCGGCCATCGCTGTTATCGTCGTTGTCGTCGCTGCATACGAATATCACATGGCATCATAACGTTTTCGGTAGAGCAACAGTCGCCTTCAGGAGCAAAGGCAGTGGCACAACGGATAAGTCCAGGTGATAATCCCACAACACTAGTCCGCCGCGACTTCTTTGTGCCACCACCATCTATCGAATCGCCCAGATCAATTTCAAGCTCGAGCTTAAGCTGCAGTCCCAGTTCATTGTTACCAATGCCCATGTCTGCAAAGTCACCTTGCTTCGTGCATTCACACCTAGATAAAGGAGCATCGCTACAGGACTGGCTTGAGGTCCATTCAAAGGATAACGAGGTACTTGGTTCAGACGTTGGAGTAGCCAAGGCTCTTCAGCAACATCATCGGCCTCCACACCATGTCGAGTTGCCTTGCCCTGATGGAGGCAGCCATGCATTCTCAGAAAATGACGACAGCGATACGTATGGCGGCAACTTGACGAGACAGTTGGCAGAGACAGCAGTCGGGGTTCGTGAAATGAGTAAGCAACTCGGTGAGTGCTGTTCTTGGACTTAGACTTTCCATCTACTCAACAACCATGCTCCTTCAGGACGTGCTCGAATAAGATCCAATATCCAGAGTGTCCTTATCGTAACCAAGGCCAGGGATAACCGCCTTATCAAACTGACGCGTGAGCTTGCATTGTATCTGATGCTCAAACATCGTCAAGGGGATCGAGGCCTTATTGTGTGAGTCTTGAGCGTTATATCATTCGGGGTGTTTTACGAGGACTTCGCTAGCTATGTAGACCATCAACTGCGCAACTCGAGGAGGTTCGACGCCGAAGGCATACAGAGAGATCATCCAGAATTGTTTGAACCTCTCCCACGAAGACGGTCGTCCAGCAGCAATTCTCTTTCTTCTTTATCATCATCATCCACTCATCAAGATGATTTCAACACGCTCCAGGAGGGTCAGCTACGATACTGGACTAGTGATATGTGCAGCAATAGTCCTCATCTATTCGATTTTGTCATCACGGTAAGCGACCCAACTCACGCGTCTCGTTGAGTCCACTCATTTCGATGCTTAGCTTGGAGGAGATGGCACTGTTCTTTTCACCTCATGGCTCTTTCAGCGAATTGTTCCTCCCGTCCTCCCTTTCGCACTCGGCTCCCTTGGCTTTCTCACTAATTTCGACTTCGCTGACTATCAAGCGGTTGTAGACTCAGCCATCGACTCGGGTATTCGTGTCAACCTACGCATGCGATTTACATGCACGGTCTACCGTGCTGTGTTCGACAAGCAAAAGGGCCGCAAGGCCGTGAAAAAGGGCGAAAACAGGTGAAATCATGATGAAGGACGTAAATAAAGGAGGATGGGAGGCACTCGAAGGAGGCTGGTCTGGCGGATTTACCACATCGGAGGGTGGCAAGTGTTCGAGAGACAAGGAGATCATGTGCTTCACAACAAGACCAGTTGAGACGTTTGAGGTTCTCAATGATCTTGTGGTGGACCGGGGACCCAGTCCCTATGTCAGCTTGCTTGAATTATTTGGTACGTTACCTCTTTCGATATTTGAGCACATATGTTTATCATTCTGAAGGCGACGAACACCATATGACAACTGTGCAAGCCGATGGACTTTGTGTAGCCACGCCCACCGGTTCCACTGCTTACTCAGTAGGTTTCTCACCATCACTAGCGGTTACCGCTATTAACTCTTTTCTCGGTGTAGTTATCTGCCGGAGGGTCCTTGGTTCACCCCGAGATACCTGCAATCCTCATCAGTCCCATCTGCCCTCACACACTATCCTTCCGTCCCATGCTTCTTCCCGACAGTATGGAGCTGCGCATATGTGTCCCATATAATTCTCGTAGCACAGCTTGGGTGTCTTTCGACGGCCGAGGCCGTGTGGAACTGCAACGTTCGTCATCAGATGCCACTTTTCACTCAGTCTCTTACTTCTTTTTCAGAGGGTGATCATATCAAAATAACTGCTTCCAAATACCCCTTCCCGACTGTTTGCGTGGACAAACAGTCAACTGACTGGTTCCATGCCATCTCACGAACCCTAAAATGGAATGAACGCGAGCGTCAAAAATCGTTCGTCGTAGTCGAAGAGGGCCCATCACGAAAATCCAGCACGGGGAAAACGAGGAGTCCTGAACAAATGAAGCAAGATGACATGTTTGATGAAGTTTTGGAGGATGAAGAGGAGGATGAAACAACGTCTGACGGTGAAGATGACAAATTTGATATCGATGACTCTTCGCCCGAGGCTTCGACCAGCGGACGTACTGGTACTCACATTCCGAACGGGCTAAGTGCTAGAGATGCTGCAGTCGGTATTGCAAAAGCTCGCGAGGAAGCGGGTTCCCAGACAGATGACGATTTGCTCTCGACACCGCAGTTGGCTGCACTTGCGCTCACTCAAGGCCGTCGCATCAAATTCTCTCGTTCTGCCAAATCACGTTCGCGTTCAAGGTCGGGTTTGCGTTCTGGTGTTGATACTCCAGGACGGTTCGCTGGACCCGCACATCGTCCGCCTCATATCAGTCCCCACTACATTGACCATCGATTAAGGACGCCCTCTCCCGCACCTTCACATTCTTCAGATGACTCGTTGTCGAACATGGACGTTGCTCAGCGTGGTGCTCGGGATGATATACATTCTCGGGAGCAATATTCAAGTGGTCGTAGTCGCATTCCCAAGGACAGGGAATTTGACGACGACCTTCAGACTCCCACCGTGGCAGATACGCCGCCGGGTCGCAGAAACCATCACCGAGTAGATTCGAGGGATTACGACCAACATCATCCCCGCGCCTTTGCTGTATGGGGCAATGATGAGTCCGATAGTAATGCAAGTGACAGCGATGCTTAATCATTCGGAATATGTTAGGACTTCCTTACCGTTCCTCTGCTGCCCTCTTTTCCCTTTTGTAAATTAATCATTTTACCATACCCAGACATCTTAAGTATTATGCGTTGCTATTGCAGCTCTAGCTAGTGCCATTACTTGTACCATTATGTGGATTCTAGGGATTTTCGGTCACGTGGGGTTTACTTGTGCAATGTGCACGCGACTCCTACATTAATATTTTCTGCACCCCCAAACGACCAGCTGCGCAGTGTTCAATTGCAAAGAGACCTCATTTCATTGAAAGTTGTCATCTGCAGGCTGTGGTAGCTGCCAATGACAATTTGTCCAGCAACAGATGCCAGTGGTAGCCACCTCACCACGTCACGCATCAACCGGTTGCTGAGACCTTTGCGCAACAAATGCTTGAGTTTGAGCAGGTTGTTGTCCACCGCTCGACATAGTGCGTCTCGCAGCACGTACTTGTCACATAGTCAAGACTGGCCACTTGATTGCCGTCCACCACTTGCCCTTCTTCCCCAACCGTCCTCTGCCACTAGAGGCAAGTTGTATTTTGACAGAGCAGAAGACCTGGAGCTCTCTCGCTTGATATACGCAGTTTGTGATGCTTTTCGATATCTCCTCCAGGTCACGCACGGAACAGTGCCAGGGGACTCGATTCCCAGCCTGGCAGCCATGTGCTGCTTCGTAGTCGGAGAAAATGTTCCGCTCAGTGGCACCGGAACGCGTAATGGCCAAGAGGAAACGGTAGATGAAGACGAGCTGATGAAAACTGTGGAGGACATCTATGACACTATCCCAACCTACTATCGACGGTGAGCAGGCCTGGCTATTTATCTACGGAGTCTCATCGTCCCACCTGCAGACATTCCATCGCATCTCATGCACTTTTCCTTGTGCTAGCAATTTGTCCGCACCACCACACGCTTGTCAGCACTCTTCTGGATATCTGCTTGTCTTTTGGTCTAGTTCACGAATCCCGTCGTTTGCTCAGCATAATCCTTAAAATTGCTTTCCTGTCCACCACCTCTCCTCCTCCAATCACACACCCAGGGCATGTCTCCTACCTTGCCGATCTTCTCGCTCGATGGGTATCCGGGAACAGCGACACAATGACATCTAATGCCATCCCACTTTTCTCAGTCTCGACCTTCTCGCGAGCGGTTATAGATAATCTAGCTCAATCAAATATCTCTTTATGGACATGCAAAGCGGTCGCCAAGTTCTCTCGCAGTGTCGAGGTGACCGACATCGACTCTTTCGTTACGCTTCTGGATTCTCTGGCTGAAACCATACATGATCATCACCCGGTGCGGTCTGGAAAAGGGAAGGAGAAGGAAACCCTAGATATTGTGGCTATTCGCCACCGTCTGCATGATTGGATGAACAGGCTGTTTGCAGTCACTGCTAGTACCTCTGCAGCACTTGTAGATGAATACCGCCGCCCCGATATTGACTCTATCATTATGTTACTCAACCGATGTCGAAGCTACGGAATGCATACCCTGAGACTGAGTGCTTCACCTCAAGCTTCTCAAGACGAACTTCCTGACGCAATTACGATACTCGCCACGCACCTTCATATTACATGTTCGCTGGCGGATTATGATTCATGTCTCTTGGATCTGCTTCGTGAGGTTTCACCTATTCCCACAACGTTCACTCGCCTCGTTGAGGATATGTATCGAGGTTCCACACACGATTTTATGACATCGCTACAACAATCCTCGTCGACTTTGCAAACACGCAAGCTATTACAGCTGGACGCCTCCCTATGGGCCTGCGCCCTTCGTGTCTTCGAGAGCACCCCGAAAGGCACCTCACAGGAGATTCAGAGATTCAAGCTTCTCTTGATCGATGGTGTGGACGAGGCCGAGCGCCGGTTATTTGGAGCTGGTCCACCCGATAGCAGCCCAGCCGTTCGGCTACCAGGACAGAACAAGAGATCCCGCAGCACGCACCATCGTAGACCGAGCGGAGAATGGGAGTGGGAGGAAATGGTTGGCTGCTGGATCCGCAAGACGCCTGCTCATGTGAAGAAAAAGGGGAAGATTGCACACGTTGTTTTGCACGAGAGCCCGGTTTTCATTAAACGTTTGTTGCGCAGGGGCGCTCATCGATATGTGACCCAGGGCTCCTCTCGTGTCACTGTTCCACACAGATCCGCAAGGTCTGCAATGGGGCCTACTGTATCCAGGGCTTGCAACTATCTTTCTTCGCCGTCCTCGCGAGGAAGCGAAAACTTTGCGGAAGACTCAAACAATCATTCTTGGTGGGATGGAGAGAACGAGAAAGAAAATCTAATGCCAAGTTCGCCCATAGCGGAACGTCGACCAGTACACAGACCGCGCCACTCCAACTTCTCTTCAATTCTGATGGACGCCCAGAAGAACAGGGTTAATCTACATGATCCTAAACCTCCTACAACCAGCATCTTGTCCGGTTTCAAACAATCACGGCCTTCGTTATCTCGGAAACTATCTGTCTACCCGCCTGCGGCTATGTTGCCTTCTGATGACTCTATGGACTTGTTCGCGTACGCAACTTCTCCGCCTAGGACATAGTTTTGATTGCTTTATTCTGTATTACGATTTGATTCACATATTATGACATTGAATATTCAGACACTTCGAGCGTTTACTCACGTGCTCAGAAAGTCAAAACTTGCAACTGCATAACTTAGTAGCTGACTTAGACTCTGATCATGGCATCAAAAGGAACACCTCTTCCTCTTCACGACACTCTACGAGACCTTGCTCTTCTGCGTGCTTCTTCTATAGACCTCTCTGGTCTGATTGCTGACGATCCGACATCCTCACAGGCCCCGAGAGAGGTTGAAGGGGTCGAAGAGTCCGCAATACAATCATACGTGTTCGTGAGAGAAGTGCGGACAGCTTTGAGAATGCACAATTCAGGCGAAGCGCAAAAGCAAGCGACAAGGATTGAGAATGTGCAAGTGGAGCTAGTAGATGTGTTGAGAAGTTTGTCGGATTGAGGTGTGTAACAATTTATCAGCCTGAGCTTGGTCAATTCTCTTTACTGATTTTGTCTCGAAGCTTCAGGTGCCATTCCCAGATGTGTTGACCATATAGCTCATTCTTGTTATTTGGTATTCTCGATCTTCCCACTAGGTTGCATAATTCAATGAAGTCACGGTGCGCTACTAAGTACTGGCTTGTGAGCTCAAGTGATCGTTGTATGTCAATGTACTACCGTAATGCAACCATGATGCATGTGCGCACTGCGCACTACCTCTACTACGTGCTGGCAGGGAACGTTATACTGCAAGGTCGTTGTCACGGTAGTAGTGGTATAGTAGTGACAAGTCCGAGATTATTGTATCCTACGATTGAACTTCGTCTTTGATATGCAGCGCTACCTCCCGAGCCACCTCCTTGGTCATTCCACATCGTTTTGTGAGGATCCCGATGACATCCGTCTTTTTGGGACGTTTGACGACAAATTCCATGAGCTTGCCAATGAACGAACCAAGCCATCCTTGCCCGCCGGTCCACCCTTCCATGGATGCATTGCAATGAGCCTCAACCACTCTACAAAGTATTCCACGTGACTCCTCATACTTTTCTCTATGTCTCCCGTCGAGAAGATTTGCCGCGGTTATGCATGCGTGTCCCGCGGACCTGATGTTGTGCTTCTCCAAGTGGCCCGCATTCCGCGTGTACCAATCTTCCATGTTTATCTCTCTTTCGAGGTTTGTGATGACTAGCGCGAGCGGGACTTTTTCCTCGCAGAGAAATTCGAAGAACAACCTATAGTTGCTCTGCATGGTTCCCGTGACTCTACCTCCGCGTATACAGAAGAGCAAGAGGTCGATACCTCCACGTTCTTTCAAGGTGTTGATGAGGCCATATGCGTTTGAAATTGCAGTAAGGTAGTCTTGGGTTTGTATACGGGGCTCCTCGAGGCCGACCGTATCAAACACCTTGTATCGAGACCCATTTTCGAAGATTATTGGGTACTCCGTCCAATGCAGAGTGCAGCGGTGAGAGTCGGGCGATATGTGCGCAATCTGCTGGCCCGCCATCAAGTTGATGACGGAGCTTTTGCCCGCTCCTGTTTCTCCAAAGATAACGATGTTCCGAGTCAACCCTGGCGCCATCTTATATTAGACTTGCGGTCAGTGATATTCGACCCTTCAAGTTGCATATAGCGCTACTCGTACCTGTGCACTGTGATGATTCCGCGCTGTGCCGTTCAATGGCAGTTGCCCCAGAATGATCCTATGTGTAACTGGTGTATATGATGCGAAAGGTGGTGGAACCACGCCCCCTCGGTGCGTTTTCATAATTTTTACATCATCCTTTTATCTCAAATTTTAAACGCCCAACAAGGGAGCCGCCCGAATTCTGGTAGTCAGCTTCCTTGATCGATCTTTCGGCGAGCCGACGGCGACACTCGATATTTGCAATGAAACTGTAGCGAATGCCAGGGTCTAAATGGGCATGCACAAGCCATTCCTACCATACGATTCCGAAAAGGAATACAGCTATTCCAATGCTCGCCACGTTTTGATGTCGAAGTCCTCATGTATTCTTTCATCGGATGATTCCGCATTGCAGCCCTCATCGCCGTGGTACAGGGTGCAACACGTTGGTTCTAACCGAAAGTCTTTGCCACAGAACCAATTACTTAAACGCCTAGTAGCGGCCATCTCTCTAATAGACTTACTGATTCGCAAGTGAAGTAAGTTTGTGCTCATCTCTTTTCACAAGACTAATCGGGTCTACCAGAGAAGATGTCTGACGGCCATGGTTCCACAGACATGACAAGTGCAGTAGACACAAGGAGTACATATTCACATCAGGTTCGTGATACTATGCGAGATCGGTCAATGGATGCGATTGATGTTGATGTCTGTAGGAATATCAAGGTCGACCGCGTAACGTGGTACTCTATGGAGAGAGTGGTGTGGGCAAAAGCTCGCTCATAAACCTTATAATGGGCCGTGATGCAGCGAAAACATCTCCTGACGCCCTCGCGTGTACTACTACACATGTTCCGTATGATGTGACGATCAGCGGGCAATGCTTTAGGCTGTGGGATACAGCAGGTGTGCATTCTTTCACGCTTAAGGTTTTGGTCCAGAACGGCTTAATGATCATGTTATCAGGGTTAAATGAGGGCTCAGAGGGCACAGTGCCTGCGGTGATGGCTGAAAGGAACTTGACTGCGTTCCTCCGATATCTAAATCAGGAAGACGGTGTTCATCTTCTTATATACTGTGTGCGCGGAACGCGAGCAACGAAGGCTCTGCAGACCCACTACAAAATATTCTCGGCAGTCGTCCGTGATAGCAAAGTGCCCATTGTTGTTGTGGTGACGTGCCTGGAAGACTTTCGTCCGGTGATGGCAGAGTGGTGGAACAAGAACGAGGACGAGCTTGCGACATATGGAATGCATTTCTCTGGATATGCCTGTGTCACAACTTTGAAAGATGAACCCACGGAGTCCCCGGATATTCACCAACGTCATGCACAGTCGTACGAAGACGTCTGCAAATGCATCCTAGACCATTGTTCGCAGACCCCTCACAAGACGTGGGGCACTGATACCATCAAAGATCAACGAAGCTTCCTCGCAATTTTGCTGCAGAAATTAGCTCGTTTTGTTGGAGGAGCCCACCGTGAACAGGATGCCTCACAAGTATCTTTGCGGTAACTAATTTTTGTACAAACGATTTTTGTGGACCAAAAAAGACGCTGACTCCACAGTACCAGTGTGATATCGAACTTCTACCACTTAGTACCCAATTCTTTCGTACATACATCACGCAATGTTTGAATGACTCGATTATAGTATCTACTGCTAGATCGCCAACTGCAATAAGTATGCAGGATTCAAGCTCAAGTTTGTCACTGCCGCCGTGGACTCGTGGTGAAGTTTTGAGGTGTAAGTTACATTTACGTAAAGGGAGATCATTCCGGGCCATTCCGCCTTCAATAAACTCTGGTAAAGGTCTGGAGTCCGAGCGATCCGGAGATGAGCAGATCGCGCATTTGAAGCGGGCCTCCACATATTGAATTTCAGCCGCCGCTTGCTATCGAGAATCGAGGTTTTCAAGTTGCTGCCTCACCTCAAGCTACCGAGCATGATCATGAATCTGATTTATGGCGGCCCCGATGCTGCTAAAAACAGGGTCGACCTCTGACACCCGTCCGACTGCGTCACTACTGGCCAAATTACATTCATGCAGTCGTATATTGCGAGTTGCCACAAGCTTAATCTCCGTCCTTGATATTTCTTGACAGCCTGCCAGTGACCCAGCCTGAGCATATTGAAGATGGTGCTCGGCATCCGAGTCCGCCACAGTTTCTCGCCCTGAACCGTCATGTAGCCACCAGCGAAGGAAGTCGAGAGGCTTCCTCGGGTATTACTATCAGTGTTCTTTGAAATTCTTATCTCTAACGTTATTAATATCAGGCGCGGAGAGCCTTTATCAACCCGTCCGTCTTATCTCTTGTGAAGTTTCAGGCCTCGATATCATTGCCCTCATCCCACTCCATTCCCGAACGACATGCCGCATTGGACCAAACTTGTTGCAGAGAAGAAGCAGAGGCACCTCAAGTCTATTCCACAAGAGTGGATTGTGTCTCCTCCTCCAGACTCTACTCTGGACGTGACTGGTTTCCCGGAGACTTGCGGCCTTCTAACTGCACGAGAAATCGAGATTACCAATACTTCGGTGGACGTTTTGTTGGAGAAACTTGCGTGTGGCGAATGGACAGCTGTCGACGTTACCACTGCGTTCTACAAGAGAGCTATTGTCGCTCACCAGCTTGTGAGCCAATTACGCGGACATTTGCTTGACGAGTTTGTATTAACTGGCTGATGAGGTCAATTGTTTGACGGAAATCTTTGTTGATCGCGCATTAACCCGAGCGGCTGAACTCGATGATCACTTTAAACAGACAGGGAAGGTCGTTGGTCCCCTCCATGGCCTGCCAGTCTCTCTAAAGGATCAATTATGTATCAAGGGACTAGAAACTACCATGGGTAAGTAATAGTCGATGATTCCCTGGCCCCGACAAATTATCAGTCACTGGTGTTAGGTTATGTCTCGTGGATTGGGCGGTACGCAGAGAAAAACGCAGTACTGGTCGACGTTCTGATCGAGTGCGGAGCCGTGCCATTCGTCCGAACCAACCTTCCGCAGACAGTCATGGTGAGTACACCCTCAAAATGATTCATATTGCTGCTCGGGGGCTAATGGTATCTTCAGTGGCCAGAATCTTTCAATAATATATTCGGCCGGACGACTAACCCATACAACCGCTCCCTGACCCCTGGTGGGTCCTCAGGAGGAGAGGGTGCGTTGGTTGCCCTGAAAGGGAGCCCTTTGGGGATTGGTTCTGATATCGGGGGGTAGGAAGGGATTTGGAACTACGATTGGTAGCAACCTCCTGACGCCTTCTCCACAGTTCTATTCGTATTCCCTCCGCATTTTGCGGCTTATACAGCCTGCGACCGTCATACGGACGTGTACCGTATTGTGGCGCCCTCAACTCACTCGAGGGCCAAGATTCGGTTCACTCCGTGTTCGGTCCCATGACAAATAGTGTTGGCGGGGTCAAAGCCTTCCTGAAAGCTATTGTCAATGCCAAACCATGGCTCAAAGATCCTCTTGCGGTTAGGAAGAAATGGCAAGAAGACGAGTATAATCTCGCGGACCATGGATCCGGCAGGGATTTGTGCTTTGCGATCATGTGGGATGATGGCGTCGTCGTACCCCACCCGCCTATCACGAGGTCTCTAGAAATCACCAAAGCGGCTCTCGAGAAGGCGGGCCACAAAGGTTTTTATCGTGCGGCTCCTCTACTGAATTACACTCATTTGGCGGTAGTTGTTGACTGGAAGCCCACAAAGCATAGGTTGCTCGCAGATACCACGGCAAGGAGTTATGTTTTTGTAACTGTACTGCCTATTGACCTAGCAGCGCTGTGTAGCGGAACATTTGGAATGCCGCTTCCGCTGAAGACTACATGATCACGACCTCTGTTACAGGGGAACCAATAATTGCGACGATGGAACTAGATAACTCGAATGCTACAGCAGCACCCTTCCGTCCGAAGAAGATCGGTATCACCGCATATCAGCTCTGGCAAGTACAGAAACTGCGCAGAGATATCCGGAAAGAATATTTGGACCATTGGGAAGCAACGGTGTCAGAGACTGGCACCGGACGGCCTGTCGATGCTATCATCTGTCCAGCCTCATCGTATGCAGCAACTCCCCATGGAAAGAACAGGTCAGAGTCTGTGCTTTCTGGAGTGGGGGACTATCATTGAGAAACGATGTGCAGGTACACCAATTACACCACAGTTTGGAACGCGCTCGATTATCCTGCTGCGACTTTCCCTGTGACCACTGTTGACCCCACTCTGGATGCGAAGAAGCCTCGCCATGTTTTTTACGACGACTTTGATAAGGCTATTTACGACATGTGTGAGTACTCACCAGCACCCAGCGATTTCTGTATGGGCCGACGATTGATTCAGATGACCCGGAGACATTCAAGAACGCGCCGATTTGCCTGCAACTCGTGGGTCGCACTCTGGAGGAAGAGGCGGTCATAAAAATGACTGAAATTGTTGATGGGGCACTGGCAGCCACTGAATAAATTCAAGGTATACTTCTTGAGATAGAGCAATAATAAACAAAGAATTATTCAATTTATACCTTCTTCCAATACGAACACAGGGTGGTCTCTTTTTAAAAAAAAAATCAATTTTAATGTCCTATGCCTATGGAGGGTTGTACTCTAAGGAGGACAATACTTTCTAGTCTAAGAGAACCCGTCCCTAACGCACCTCAGGGTGCGCAAATGCCCTGGTGTGAGGCGTAAGGGTGGTCTCTTCTTGAGCCCTGCCTGGCTCCTGTTACCTGCCCCTCGTGTCATTCATCATAGATTCTCTCCCGTCGTCCTCGCATCATGTTCCCTCCCATCGACATTATAATTGTTGATCATAAGCTTTTGAAGACCCCTGCGACGACTCAGACTGGCGTTGACATTCCCCCCTGCGACTTGTTTTTGTATTATACAGTCGTGTGTCAAATGTGAATACGCATGCGATGAGATGATATTACAATGATGTATTACGAACAGTAATCTTGGTCTATGCCCTAGCTGAAGTGATATAAGCTGTGAGTACCATCGAGTAGCACACATAGGTTATATGGCCCAATCTGACAGATGGGCCAAAATTCAATAGCGATAAATGCGACCATCACTGCATGAAGTAAAACCTATGTTTCTACTTGCTTGACGCAAGAATAAGGTTGCGAATGACTTGCTCTGATCGCCGTCGATGTGCATGCATTGTGGATGATGCATGTGGCTCGTTAGGGAGTGAAGTGATGCAAGCATGCGAGGAGAACCGCATCCAGAGGCTGTCCAGATCATCCTTGTTCTTCGCCACCAATTATCCACGTCCTCGAGATAATCTTCCAGGTAAGTGGTCAAAGAGAAACCTTTCGATTCGATTGACGAAATTTTCCTAAGTTTGAAGCTTCGTGTTCCAAGATTGACTTCGTATGAGGTGTGCCTGAGCGTGCAAGCTTCTGCATTTGGCGAGGTCTGTGCAGCATGTCGTCTCATGATCAAGTCGATGACGGGAATTTTTCTATGTAATCAGTCTCATCATAGTTGATGAGCATTGTAGTCAAACTGTGAGCTAATAAAATCACCTGAGACTGCACCACATGGCAGAGAAGTCATCTGACCACTTTCCTGTAGCGCGCCAACAACGACATCCTGTCGGAGTCAAAAACTCAATTTCTGCGTGACGAGACAAGTCATGCGCTTACATCTTGTTTCAAAGCCAGATCTTTCGTTACGAAGTCTAGCCATAAAGGCAGATGGATGAGCAGCTGGATCAATTGACCAACACTGCTCGATCTGATTCCAGCGGACATCCGTGATATGAGATGTCGCATCGGATAAGGACACGGGACATCCTCTCCACTATAGATTTTTTGAACGACTTCGTGCTCGTCCATATCATGCAATGACCAGAGCCAACAGCTGGAACAAATGATAAATTGGATATGGCTTATGTGGACGTCCAGTACTGAGACGAGACTTACATGCAACATGACACCAAAGGAGTCATGTTGCTCTGCGTAGTCGCTTTGATACCACAGGGGCGATCATATCGCCCAGGCGCAGCCCACCTCATTGCACTAGGCCGAACAGTTGATTCTTCAACCACTCGGTCTTTGAAACGTCCACCGAGGACATTCAACAAACCGAAGTCCGTCAGGCAAGCCCTTTATTCCCCGTCGTTGATACTAGGACGTTGGATTAGATTCTTCAGTCAGTGTATTTCACGCTCGTGATGTCACCGTAAACAAGGGGGAAAGAGCGAACTCACGGGAAAACCCACGAGTCGAAGCAAGACAACCATGAAGAGAAGACAAACGATAGTGGAGCCAAGAGGCTATGCCGTGAAGCTAGCGAATACGGGAAATTCAGTTTAGGTAGATCACAGTTAAACAGGGTTGAGTTACCAGCTTTAATTTGGATGCAATGGCACTCTGTTCCGTGATGAGACAGAGTAGCCAGCCGTCCGGAAACCATGGGGAGACAAGGGCTGTGGTTGGCCCAAACCCCTCTGGCATTCCATTAAGTGTAATGATGTTGTCGTGGACAAGGTATGCCCAGATTGCAGTTTCTCCTCGAAATCTCTAGCCATCCACACGGAATAAGTAGTGTTCAGGGCAGAAAACCGTAGACCCTTACTATTCTCAAGTCCCACTCTGAGGTACGACTCATGTGATACCTGAAGGATTTCACTGCAACCTGTAGTACGATAATGAACAGATTGACTCGGATGCGTAAGTCACACCGACACTGCCCACCGCCCAGACCTTGACAGGGCCCGACGGCCGTCTCCATTCACATCTGTAAACGCTTCCGAATGTACCACTAGTAATGTAGTCGTTTCATACCGAAGATCTGACCTAAGCTTACTGGTTAGGCTTTCCACGCTCCCCCACCAGTCTGCCAGCCATGAAAGCAAATATAATGAATAGGAAAAGGCGTGCCCTCCACACGGCCGTGGAGTCTCCATAAGCATCCCCTTGGCCTAATCCTATCCTTGCCGATCAAGTTGATAATGAGCATACAAAGGAGCGAGCCGATGCTCGGCACCCACTCAACGAACTGCACATGCACAGGAGGTAGGATTTTGGATCCTCATAAGGCAGGTGGGTATGTGCAGACAAGATGGCAGCATCAAGGAAAGTCCAATTTGCAAGCGCGGACTGCGGAAGGACATACAGTTAGCATCAGGACGGTCGGTGTAGAAGAAACGCGCAGACCAAAGTGCCTGTGACGTAAATGCTAAACTCCGAACTTTCCAAAGGTCAACCGGTCAAATTCAAAGATCGTGGTGGCAGAGGATGCGCTGTCGCCGCGCAGTTGAAAAGTCTTCCCCTGTACAGGCTGTATCCAATTTGTACATGGGTATAAGCAAACCAAAATACCTTACATGTGCCTGCCGCATCATGAATCATGATGCATGATGGTGGAGTGATGTCGAGCCAGGACCGCCTCTGCCAGTGGATTATGATCATCATCTGGGTCTTGTTTATGCGATGAGAAAGAAGGATCCGCCGCACCCTCCTATCCCTGATGTCCACTGGTCCATGGATATGACGTGGACCTTGCTGTCAGAGGTCATGAAAGACGAGAGCAGGCTTGTTTTAGCACTTGGGAAGCGGGTCAAGAAGGAGGTAAGCACCATCCACCTTCAGGTCTGTGTTCATTTTCTAACCATGCTATAGAATACATCTGGTGATGGCAAGATTACTGTTTTTCAACGTATTGGATCTATCGTGCTGCGAGACAGCTACAAGCCTGAAGTTGAATATCAAGCATTTTCTAATTCAAGTAGCCCTTAGGAGAAGCGTGGATGCCATCAATTCTCGTGCTGATGCTGAGATGCGTCTCGAGAGCCGTGACCTCCCAGTGCTGGTACCTGAGAGAAGCCGACTTCGGAATTGGAGAACGATTCTGCTAATTCTCGACCTCGACCTCGGCCTCAGAAGCGAGTGCGCTACCCGCCCTTCAATAAACTCGTTTATCATATCACTCCATGTTTTATCACTCGCTTTTATGGTTGGTTTTAATGCAAGTTCACAGATATTTACTAGTTACGAAATGCTAGCAGTTCTTCAGCCAATTTCCGTCATTTTGCCTTGCCATCCTCATCATCATTATTCATAGGGGATCCGCAAAACTTCTTCGTGGCTAATTGACGACTGACACAAGCAGTAGCTGGTTGTAAGCATAAGCATATAGTTACACTGCAAAGGTAGTACTGGTATGCGCGATAGTAACAAGTCTGAGGTTATCATACTACGATTGAACTTCGTCTCTAATATGCAGCGCTACCTCCCGAGCCACCTCCTTGGTCATTCCACATCGTTTTGTGAGAATCCTAATGATATCCGTCTTTTTGGGACGTCCAACGACAGATTCCACAAGCTTGCCGAGCTTGCCAATGAACCAACCAAGCCATCCTTGTCCGCCAGTCCACCCTTCCATGGATGCATTGCAATGAGCCTCAACCACTCTACAAAGTATTCCACGTGACTCCTCATACTTGTCTCTATGTCTCCCGTCGAGAAGATTCGCCGCGGTTATGCATGCGTGTCCCGCGGACCTGATGTTGTGCTTCTCCAAGTGGCCCGCATTCCGCGTGTACCAATCTTCCATGTTTATCTCTCTTTCGAGGTTTGTGACGACTAGCACGAGCGGGACTTTTTCCTCGCAGAGAAATTCGAAGAACAACCTATAGTTGCTCTGCATGGTTCTTGTGACTCTACCTCCGCGTATACAGAAGAGCAAGAGGTCGATACCTCCACGTTCTTTCAAGGTGTTGATGAGGCCATATGCGTTTGAAATTGCAGTAAGGTAGTCTTGGGTTTGTATACGGGGCTCATCGAGGCCGACCGTATCAAACACCTTGTATCGAGACCCATTTTCGAAGTTTATCGGGTACTCCGTCCAATGCAGAGTGCAGCGATGAGAGTCGGGCGATATGTGCGCAATCTGTTGGCCCGCCAGCAAGTTGATGACGGCGCTCTTACCCGCTCCTGTTTCTCCAAAGATAACGATGTTCCGAGTCAACCCTGGCGCCATCTTACGTTAGACTTGCAGTCAGTGATATCTGACCCTTCAAGTTGCATATAGCGCTACTCGTACCTGTGTAATTCCGCGCTGTGCCGTGCAATGGCAATTGCCCCAGAATGATCCTATTTGTAACTGGTATATGATGTGAAAGGTAGCAGTTGCTCACATTTGGAGGTGATGGTGGTGGTGGTAGTGTTGATTGTCTACGTTCATGTCCCGAGATGCCGGTCGATCGAATTACTCCTGGCGATGAAACATATCTACCTCGACGCTTGTTGAATATGGATGTAACTCACGAGAACCGGTGTCTGACGTTCTTGCAGGATCAGTTCCGATACTCGGGAGCGGTGGCCAAGAACCAGCGTTAAGTGATGAACGAGAATCAGTGCTAAGACTCCGGGGTGATGAACAAGCAGTGTCGAACGCCGTTACCGGGAGTGACGAACAAGAACTGGAAAATGAATATTCAATTTTGTGAATCTGTGCGGATTTGGACTTACGAAGATCTCCGAGCTCGAGGGTCTATGATTGCATTCGTCAGCTCCTGATCAGGGTGGGGCGGTGAACTGTTGGATGGGTCTTCTGTTATGTCAGAATCGTCGGAATCATCGTGCGGGGAAGCTCCAGGGAAGCCATCCTGCGCATCACCGGGAGAATCATCAAATGGGCTGGAAGAATCTTGAAGCTCATGTAAGTGGATGGTCAACAAAGCACTACGAACGATACAGACTGACCTGATGAGGAACGCCTACGCATGACAAAGTCGAGTACTTCATCGGCTGAAGGTCGAAGTTCAAATCTGCATTGCAGACATTTTTGAATGATATCCCAATCTGAGTCCGTTATTGCAGGGTGGCCATCGGGGCGCTGCGGGCTACGACCTCGGGTTATTAAATTCCAAATACACCATTCTGCCTTCGGAGACTTGATCTCAGACCAAGGGTGCTGACCCGAGAGAATCTTGCTCCATGAGTCCTCAGGCGAACATTTTGAGACCAGACAACCAACTCACTTGAAGCATCACACAACCAAAAGAGTATATATCAGTTTTTTCCGAAGGTAGGTCACCGACCTCGTCTGATAGAAGTTCTGGTGCCGCATAACAAATTGCACCTGGGCGTATAGATGTCGCAGCCAAGTGTGACTGGCCCAGAAGGGGTCGCACAATGGTGGAAAGACCAAAATCGATTAGCCTTGCATGGCCTCCCTCGTCAATCAGTATATTCGCCTACAGGTTCATTAGTTTTCAAAAATGCTCAAGCAGCTCCGGGCTCACCCCTGTTATATCACCGTGCATGATAGACACTGAGTGCACTACACCATAGGTGGGTTACCACAACAACTCGAGAAAATAGATGAAACTGACAGTACTGCAGTCCAGCGCTGACATCTTCCAGCTTCCAACTTCGGGTGAGCCTTGAGAAACGAAAGGATCTGACGAGAATTCTGCTCACCATACGTGAACGGTCCAGCGCTGTTAGATCGTTGTGATTAGATGCCAGGTAGGCATTCAACGTGCCATTGGGAATCCACGGAGTTACTAAACTGCGCAACTCTGGCCTCCGTCCAAATCCTGTCGCTGTACCCAGCAGCGGTACGATGTTGTTATGGCGTAGAATCTTCAAAATGCCAATTTCTCGGCTGATTTTCCGGATGATCTAAATGACATAAGTAGTATGTGCCAATATGTATATGCGGACCTCATATCTCTTACCTTCTCTGAATCATAATCTTGCTCTGGATACCTGAAAGCCTTGACCGCAACCTTATGTACCAGTGACCAATTGGTCGGCGTAAGTTAGCGCATGGTAAACGAATCTAACACATGGACTGACAACTTGAACGGCTGAAATACCATCTGTATTGTAATTGCATTTCCAGACATCGCCAAATGCACCTCCGCTTATGTGGTCCTGAGTTGTTCGAGTAATAAAGGGTGTTAGATCGTCTGGCAAGTCCTCCACCCTATACAGTGAGATCAGTAAAGCAGATACTGGCAATGCGACCTTACCCCATATCGTAGTTCCTCGTGTTTACCCAACTAGCCTCGTGAGTGACAAACAGTCAAAGAATGTGGATGGGCACCATCGATGATGGGCGTCTATATTTAAATTCGGGTTTGTCGCAAATTTCTGAACTTCCTTCCCGGGATCCGAACTTCGAGTTCAATAGTACGGTAACTTCAACCGGGGCTGCTCAATTCTAATAAAAGTTCTCGTTCACTTGGGATCCGAGCAAGTTACGATACTGAATATTACTGATGGGCTTACAGCTCCTTATTTGGAACCGGACGCCGGCCGTTGGCTGGTATCAGTTCCGCATCGGTCAACCCCGTCGTCCAATGTTCAATGTTCAAACATTCAACAGTGATCAATATGCCCCGTGCACACGACAAAAGCAAGAATATAAGGATATTTTCACTTAACATTCTGTTCTGGTCACTACATTGGCTGTATCCAGGCACAAGCAAGGCCGTCTCGAGGAGCTTTAATGAGGAAGTCAATGAACGGCTCACCGGCTTTTTCCGTGTGACAGCCACCGGGACTTTCACCAACTCCAATCTCCCCAAAAAGCAACATATTCAAAGGATATCCTGACTGTACTTTGTCGCATGCAAGGATTGGTAGTATCGGTAAAGTGCGCCTGCATAGTTAGAGAGCATTATGAGCTGATAAAATTACCTGAGATTGCGCCGCACGGCTGGGAGGTCCGGATGTACTTTGACTACTTTCCTGCAGCCCGTCAATAAGGGCATCCTGTCAGGGTTCAAAACTCAACTTCTGCGTGACAGGACAAGTCATGCGCTTACATCTTGTTTTAAAGCTACCAGATCTTTCCTTACGATGTCCATAGCCATAAAGGCAGATGGATCAACTGATCAACACTGCTCGATCTGATGCAACCGTAATATGAGATGTTGTATCGGATATCTCAGGACACAGAATATCCTCTCCACTGTGAATTTTTTGAACGACTTCATGCTCGTCCATATCATGCCAAGGAATGATCAGAGGCAACAACTGGAACAGATGATAAATTGAATAAGGCTTATGTGGACGTCGAATACCCAGACGAGACTGTATACGTGAAACATGACACGACCAAAGGAATACATGTCGTTCTGCATGGTCGGTTTGATACCGCAAGGGCGATCATGTCGCCTGAGCAACTCAGGCGTAGCCCAGTGTCCACCTCATTGCACTAGGCCAGACAGTCGTTTCTTCAACCACTCAGTCTTCGAAACGTCCATCGAGGACATTCGATAAACCAGTCAGGCATCGGTCTCGTTATACGCAAAATTGACTGTCAGAAGGTATTTAGGATTGACATGGGCCGGCTTGCGAGGGATTAGGATTAGTTCGCGACAGACTAGCTTGTGATATTATGAAGAATTCACGTACGAACATAAGAGGAGCCGACTTGAGAAGATGTCACTTGTTGAAGTCCAATCCCTCGATCTTTCTGGGTGTCTGCATCGTGAAAACGATGAAGGGCTTCGACGATGAATGATGCGCCCCATGATGTGATTCTTGAAAAGATGTGTAAGTATGAGAATTTCTGATCAAGTCGTGGTCTGCCGCACCGAAGGAAAGTGGGCGGGAGGTAGCCTGGGGATGTCAAGTCGGCTGGGTTTTGACTATGGGTATATTGGAGGGGATTAATGTCTTAGCGCAGGCGCGTCTTCGTCATTTGTATTGATTTTGTAACGCTTCTTGAGTCTTGACACGACTGGCCAAGTACTCTTATGAACGACTGTACGCGGTGTCAGATCACATTACAAATAATATTATCTCGATCGGGCGCTTGCTTCCCATGTCGGTTTTGTTGGCGAAGCTTGCACGACTCACGCACCGCCGAAAATATTTTCTTTGCCTGCATCGGCGAGTTGAGGTAAATCACTCCGTTCACTTGTGATTGAGTGGGAGTCAGAGACAGTGTGCGCAGACAGTAACGGAAGGGTGCACTTACCGTTTGGATGTTCGCGAGGAGGCCGGTGGTGTGGCCAGAGCGATGATAGAGTGAGTTGGGTGAGAGTCAGCGTGCATCAGCTGAGGATCATAATAGTTAGAGCCGCATCGGCGACAGAGCAGCGAGTTGGGACTTACTTGGTATGCTACAAGTACTGCAGCTGGGAAACGAAGAAAGGTGATGAGGTACTTAGCACTGGTGATACCAGTGCTGATAAGCCAAAATTTGCCATCAGTCGACAAAATTGGAAGGCGTTGAAGGCCACTAGCAAAGCCGGTGATGTTTAACTGGCACCCCGCAGGTGTAAGTGTGGTGTTGGTAATCACCTGTCAGTCACCCGTCACTGTCTCATTACCTATTTAGTAGGTGAAACGGACATTTCACCTGTGGAAGGGGTGACAATAACCTCCTTCCGGTTTCAGCCCTATGATCGTCTCATAATCTCAAAACTCTGTCACTCAGTCACCTTTATAACACGACGTTCGCTCAAGCTACTCCAAATGCAATGCTACATATACATACAATAGACGATGAATTAACTACACACTTGATGTCCTACTCAACGAAGTATCTCTGGCATCTCAGCAAATCAATTTACTGGAATGAAACCATCATAATCAAGAGCTACAAGGATCGAATTGATTGACTGCGAGGAATGGAAAAAGGTTGGAGACTCACTCTTTGTAGCAGTGTTGCCAGCGTGTCCCATGTGCCATGCGACTCAAATCAAACTCAACGTGCCCTCTGGGAATGATTAACGCGGTCCGAGGATTATAGGAAAATGCCTCTCGTGAAGCGGGTGGTACCCAGAATAAGAGCCGCCGATTAGGTCCCATCACCCATCCATCTTCTCCCAGAAAAGCAAACGTCGACCTGCGGTCATCATGGGGGGTGCCTGCGAGTAGCTCAGCAGTGTCGCGCAGTGCATGAGTCGAGTTTGATGAGAAGGAAATGAAGTCATCGTTCGCAGTGTTGGAGGTGGGGGTGGCCGCTGTTGGATGTGAAATGCAACTGCCATGGGGGGAGGATGCTGAACAGTCTTCTTCGGCGTGGTCCTGCAATGACTTCCCAATTACTGCATACCAGACCCGGACAGTATCATCATCTGAACAAGAAATAATGCGAGTCCCATCCCGCGAGAAAGAGACTGACGTGACCGATTGAGTGTGCCCCAGTAAGGGCTGACCAATTGGTTGCCCCGTTGCTGCGTCCCACAGCCGGACAGTCATATCGTCCGAACCAGAAACGATGCGAGTCCCATCCAGCGAGAATGAGACTGACCTAACCCAACTACTGTGCCCCCGTAAGGGCTTACCAACCGGCTGTCCCGTTCCTGCATCCCACAACCGGACAGTCTCATCGTCCGAACAAGAAACGATGCGAGTCCCATCCGGAGAGAATGAGACCGACCAAACCCAATTAGTGTGCCCTAGCAAGGGCTCACCGACTGGTTGCCCTGTTCCAGCATCCCACAGCCGGACTGTCTCATCCGCAGAACCAGTTACGATGCGAGTTCCGTTCGGTGAGAAAGAGACTGATTTGACCCAATCAGTGTGCGCCTCCAAGGGCTCTCCAACTGGCTGCCCCGTTCCTACATCCCACAGCCTGACAGTCTTATCGTGCGAACCCGAGACGATGCGAGTCCCATCCGGCGAGAACGAGACTGAGCTAACCTGACCAGTGTGCCCGCGGAAAGGCTCACCCACTAACTGCCCCGTTCCTACATCCCACAGCCGGACAGTCTGATCCGCAGAACCAGTTGCGATGCGAGTCCCATCTGGAGAGAACGAGACTGAGAGAACATCCTCAGTGTGCCCCAAAAAGGGCTCACCAACAGGCTGCCCCGTCGCTGCATCCAACAGCCACACAGTCTTATCTGCCGAACCTGTCATGATGCGAGTTTCATCCGGCGATAGCGAGACTGACGTAATCGAACTAGTACACCTTGGCAAGGGCTCACTAATTGGCTGCCCTGCAGCTGCATCCCATAGTCGGACAGTGTTATCCATAGAACCTGTCGCGATGCGAGTCCCATCCGGAGAGAACGAGACTGAGAAGACATAACCAGTGTGCCCCAGCAAGGGCTCACCGACTAGCTGCCCTGTTGCTGCATCCCACAGTCGGACAACCTGATCGTCCGAACCTGTCACGATGCGACTTCCGTCTGGCGAGAACGAAACTGACCAAACCCAACCATTGTGCCCCTCCAAGGGCTCACAGACAGGCTTCCCCGTCGCCACATCCCACAGCCGGACAGTCCTATCGTCGGAACCAGATACGATGCGAGTCCCATCCGGAGAGAACGAAACTGACCTAACCCAATCAGTGTGCCCCAGCAAGGGCTCACCGGCTGACTGCCCCGTTGCTGTTTCCCACAGCCGAACAGTCTTATCTGCTGAACCTGTCACGATGCGAGTTTCGTCCGGCGAGAACGACACTGAATTGACCTGATCAGTGTGTCCCAGTAAGGGTTCACCAACTGGCTGCCGCGTTGCTGCATCCCACAACCGGATAGTGCTATCCGCCGAACCTGTCACGATGCGAGTTCCGTTCGGCGAGAAAGCGACTGAGTGAACCGATCCAGTATGCCCCAATAAGGGTTCACCAACGGGCTGCCACGTTACTACATTCCACAACCGGACAGTGTTATCGGCCGAGCCAGACACGATGCGTGTCCCGTCCAGTGAAAATGAAACTGAGGTTACCGAGTCAGTGTGCCCCAGCAAGGGCTCACCGATAGCTTGTCCCGTCGCTGCATCCCACAGCCGCACAGTACAATCATCCGATCCAGTCGCAATGCGAGTCCCATCCGGCGAGAATGACACTGAGTTAACTCTATCGGTGTGCCCGCTGATCACAGTCTGAACAGCCGTCCAGTTGATATCACGTCTAGATGCCAGACGAAGAGAGTTGGGAAACCGTGCAGAAAACGTTCTGGATAGTGCAGAGTTGCGGGGCGAGAATGGCAGTGCTGATAAATAGAGATGCGGCGTGCTGTGCAAGATGAGGCCACCGAAGACTTGGATAAATCTCTGCACGTCCACTACAGCGGACGAGGCATCTTCGTATCCGGCGTGACCCTGCAATTGCGCGTGCGTGAGCATGTTATCTGACACTTAATAACCATGTGCTCACCTTCAACCACTTGACAATAAGCGGAAGGGCGGGGACTGCGCCGCTGAGCGCATTGATAAGGCCAAGTACCTCGAGCCAGAAGAACAATCGTTCATGGTCGAAGAATGATTTCACTTCTTTGGCGAGTTCCGGATCGAAGTGAGTTGTCTGTACGTGGACAGGCCAAAATCGGCAGACATAGGACAGGTGTGGGGAGATGCATTTTTCAACTCGATCTCGCAGCCCGGGATCTTCGGAATTAGGGAGATAGGATGATTTTAAATCGCAGATGTTGAAGGAAAGTCCGTGTTGCATCACTCCAAGTGATGCAAATGCAAGGTTGCGTTGGACCCTCGACACGTCGATAAAAAATTCTCCACTGCATTCTGGGTCCATCAGAAACTCGCGGAAGGATGCGTGAAGCGGACGGATTGGGGAATGTTGCGTGGCGGTGCCGCTGAGGAGCGAGCCCATGCTTTTAACCACAACCTCCACCTCGCCACGTTCACTTGCGTCTGGAAAATGGTGTCGCATTGCATTCAGCGAAGCTAAAGGGAGAGGTTCTGTGGTGCCAAGTATTTGTTCCATCACAGAACGAAATCTGGCGAGTGCCTTCGTATGCAAGGATTGTTGGTTCCTGACATTTGTAGATGTGTCCGCACCAAGGATTTCTGTCAGCATGAGACGATACATGTCATACAATAAGTCGTGCCGCTCGCTTGGATCGCGGTTCACGATAGCATTGAACCGTTCGATTGGGTATAGCCCAGCAGACATTTGATTGATGTATCCGCAGGCAAGACGCGCCCACTCGAAAAGGCCATCAGCTTTGTTAGCCAAGCGTGCAATCTCATTGCTCCCAATGTCCGATAACTCTTCTAGCTCCTTCGATATGTACGTGCGAATGTCACGCTCCGCGAATTCTGTTGGAAAATCATCGATGGGCATGTGCCGAATATGCCGAGCACTACCAAGCTCTTTATCGATGTCGTGAAGCGGGCGGGAGGTCACGATAATCCGGAAGTTGGCTGGGAGTTCGGTGATTTTAGGAACGGCCAGTTTCCCAGCAAGAACGCGGAGAAGATGCCGCCGTGTTTCGACTCCACCACTCTCATCCAGTGCGTCGATTACGACTACGACGGGCTCTACAGTTGACGCTGAAGATTTTCCCAGTGGTTCCATCAGAAGCTTCTGCCACTGTTGGACAATATCCACGGTGTTCTTGAGCGCACTATCATTCTGAACCGCTTGTGCCAATACTCGTCTCATCTCCGGATCACGGTCAGCCAGGTCGCGCGCTATGGTAAAAAAAACCTTTTCCTGACGACGGTCTGCTTCTCGATGTCGGTCGAAGCAATAACATGAACCAAGCCCTCCCGCGTCGTGGAACCAGCTAGCAATCGTGTGGGCGATGGCTGATTTGCCTTTGCCTGCAGGGCCAGATAGCCAAAGCACGCGTGGAACGTCGTCTCCAGTGCTGTTAACCCAATCTGTGATCTGGGAGAGGATTTCCATGCGCGTCCCGGGTAGGCACTGTTTTCTAGTGTCTAGTCCCGCGCCCGCTGCATAAGGCATACCGCTGAGGTCGAGTTTGTTCGCCTGAAGAGGAATGAATAGATGTCAAGTCAGAAGCACGTACAACCTTCACCTGTACAGTGGACGTAGATAGCTACGTCCCGAGCAACTTGGTCCCTGAAGTTTTGCATAAGCGCATCCAACACATCACTGTACCGTTGTATTTCATTATTTGTTTCAGTGAGAATGTCTTTCCCGAGTCTCTTCCCTGTTATAACGGTAAAAGATTGAGTGTCTGGAAAGTGCAACAGCTTGAAGACTCACAGAAGCCCTTGGTTTCTGCATAATCTCTGATGAAGCGGGCGCATCCAAGGGTCTGTTGAGAGATCTGTCCAAGGATGCTGCGCATCGATGAAATCTGACCAAGTGTCTCATCCTGTATCATGAAGCCGTAAACTTGATTCAACTTGTCGACAAGACGGTATACTGCTTGGTCCCGGTCCGATTGGGCAATGACCATCTACACCGATGGCTGCTCAGCGGGAGATAGAACCGAGTGAGAGAAGAAGCATACTTTTGATGCACAAGACAGCACGCCCAGTGCAATCTTCGCATATGGATGTACCTACGGAACAGGATTAGTTCGACTCCAACTGAAAGGAATGGCTCGTACATCCGCGAGGGTCCCAATAACGCTGTTGAATATCCTAAGGGGTTGAAGATATGTATCCTGAAAATCATATGCATCGTCGAGATCTGCCGATGCATTTTGGGCGGTAGATGCTCCAGATGTCACATGTCCCGAAAGTGGCTCCATGAGTTTCACAGCCTCTTTGGCGGTCTGAAGTGCCGATTGGGGATTGGCGCCTTGTTCTGCACTAGAGGAAGCATCCTGAACCTGCGCGACCACCAGAATTTAAAGAGAGAAAGCAGAAACTAAAAGGTGAGCTACCTTGATATTCGAAATCAGTGAGGCACCTTCACAATCAACATTCGGAAGAACAGAGTCACGGCCGCGGGAATCCTTCGAGTGCTTTTGTACGATGACATGAGCCTTGCTACAGGAAACTCAGGATCCTTATCGACTCACAGAAATCTTTTTAGTCGCATTCTTAACCTTCCCTAGAAACCGACGAATTTTGCCATGGCGTCTGCCCTGCATGAAGGATAGCATCAAAGTTAATGTTAATGTTTCGAGTGAAATGAGTAGTGGTCCTCATCAGCAACATACCGAACTTTTACTAGCGGTTGCTTCACTGGATGCGCGGATTTCGGGAGGAGGATTTTGTCTTGAGTTCCTTGATTGATTGTGTTCACTCATTGTTTGAGATAGTTGATGTTGAGGATCAGTCTGAGAGAGAAGTAGGGTGCGATAAGTAGTTAGGAGGAATTCGGGGGGTGGCTTCGTTTAAGTATAGTAGTAACAGGTCGTACCCTTGACCGAAAATCTTGGGGTTGCAATAGTGCTGTGTATCAAGTTAACGTTACCGCCGAGGCAGCAATTCGACACAGCTCGGCACTTACGAATTGTGCCTCGTTTGACTCATGAATTGGTAATCTTCAAAAGCTTCTTCCCGTCGGATGAGTCCATGCCAGCATCTCAACGTAAGAGTCTTTGTCTCCGCCCGTCGCAAGTTTTGACGAGCCAGGCGAGTAACATCAGTGCATACATCAATCCATCAAGGACAGTTTTACCGCCGTTGACATCTCAAACTCTTACTGATCTGGTACTGGCTACTCTTTCCGAGTCACCATCTGCACTCCAGCACAATACCCACACAACTCTGGTGTGTCCTGTCCATTTGTCGATGACCTTCCTCGTCTCGCCGTCCCACAATTTCACTTTTCCGTCATTGCTTCCGCTTCCAACTATCTTGCTATTTGGAGACAATGCCATGGATCGTAATGCTCTGTTGTTCTCATCCCGCTAGTCCTTGCCTATCTGTGCGCCGCTTGCTAGGTCCCATACTTAAGTGAGCCGTCAAATGAACATGTGATGCATCGTCCGGGAGCGTATAATCTTTCAAACTATATATTTATGCACATGCATTGCTCATGACTCAGGGTTCCCGAGTTACCATTACTTTTTTATCGACTTTCTTACCTTTGCTGGCCTAGTTGTCTGGAAAAGTACGTTATATCACATCTAACGCCGGGCAAATCTATTGACTCAACCTCTCCAGACAGACTCGGAACTGACTGTAAAATTTCTTGTTAGTAGAATTGCAGGTCTTGCATGTGCGATAGTACTGAGACGAGTCCGCCATCGTATTTTCTCGAACGATACTCCGATGCAGACATTTCAAAGGTCAGCATCCCACAACCATCTACGTCACCGCATTCTCCATGCGCCACTGGACAGATGTTGCACGGAGGCATTTGGTTGCCTCCAAAGTTCTCTTTCATTGGGGCCTCGAGCGCGCTCTGGGGCAAGTATCCATAAATGACCAGTGCTATGGAGGCTGAGTTTTGCTCCTGTACATCGGCACCTCACGCTTCACTCTATAGCTAACTACATCTACAGATGAAACCAGCGAGTTTAAGAGCCTCTTCTTTCCAACGATGTGTACTAAGTTGGCACGCATCATTAGGAAGAAGAGATTCTGCGAGAAACTGGAGGAGATTCCTCTTCCTGCATGTACGTACAATCTTCTGCCCTCGCTTCGCATTGTTTTTATCTGCCCATACAGTACGCCGGTCTCCGGCAAGTTTTGTACGATGCTGCTATAGCAGTGGGCGCTGAGGTGCGGGCAGGCACGTGTGATGTTGACCACGGGGAACATACTGCTGGCTGACGTGATTGTTGGCGCTGATGACCAGTGCAAAAAGCAATCGTCGGTAAGGATGTTCTTGATGCAGCACTATATTCTACAAGTAAGCATTGTCCTGAACTTCGCTGATACAACTCGTTGCCTAACTGCCTTAGTACTGCTGTCCCGGGAGCACTTATGAGAGCCGATCCTCAGCCGGCACCCTACCTATATCAACGTCGAGACTCCAACCTACAGCATGCAGCTTGACGCTCACCAAAATCACAAACTCATCAAAACGCTGAACGAGAGGAAGACGATGCTACTTTTCTAGGAGGAACAAAGTAAATCGCCCCCGCCAAAACTCAAGTCCAGTATGGCTCGCATGAGAGAACCGCTCAGCATTCTAGTTACGACTGTCAATTCCGCCAGGTTCGTAGCTAGATCCGATCCCGTATTATATCAACCAAGAAACCAATCACGAGGGCAGCGTCCACTGGCAAGCGAACCTTCAAGCAATTCAAAATCTTATGATCGCATTGTAAGTCTCCTTTATTCAGTTGTGTATCACCTAGCTCTGACTCTTACTCCCCATCTCGTCCACCAGCTAACCCATACCTCGCTTGTTTTTGCTGCCAGTCCTGCCTCTAATCCTACACCGCCTGCCACTCTTTGTTTCAGGGCTATTTCCGTTTATATGGACGCGTCCATCCAATGCGAACGCAAATCCTACCACCGCTCAAACCTGCCATGAACGGAGGTATCATAAAAAGGAACATGCGTGCCGAACGAGGAGGATGACGGTGGGCCGGGAGCCCATCTCTCGTCCTCCCACAATTCACTTCCTGCATCTAGGCGTCCCAATGTCCACCCAGCGGCGGAGCTTCATTTTCAGGGAGGTGTTTTTGATATTTGTTATTGCTCAGGGTATGACATTGGGGATGGGTCCTGAAGTACGTTGTTTAATTTGAGGACTTGAACGCGGAGTAAAACACACCTGAGCCAATCCCACGCCGTGGACGGGGGCGAGGGCGTCAGCACCAGACTATGAGGTACTCACGTTCGCATGTAATGCACGTCTGTATGTCTCCTAAACTTGATGGGTAAAGAGGGTGCAACACGGTGATTTTGAATGAGAGTACGGTAAGTGATATCTACCTGACTATTCAACTCGGTGCATAGCTAATTCAATTCACTCCTTTCCGAAGACTCGTAGGCCTCCCACACCTCTCCACCAACCTCCCTAGAATATTCCTCAGTCCTATTATCTCTCGAGCACGCGTCCCAGTGCAAAACTGAGATCAAGTCATGCATATTAAACTCGTACCTCCCATGCGCATTTCCGATGGAGAGCGAGGGGACAGACGTCGTGCATTCCACATCACCCTCCCACGGCTCCATCATCCAATACACGTTATGGAAGCACACCACTTACGCCCTGCACGAATGGAAGCATTCTGGAGGTGCGCATCCGGAAATTCGATTCGGATGGTTCAGGTGCTGGGAGTAGAATAAAAGGAATAGAGAGATGGCTGAAGGTGATGGCTGAGATGTTGTTGCTATTGCTGGTCGTTGAAGTGCGGGTGGCGAGAACATTCATCAGGCGGGGTGTAATATTTTTGCTGGAGCTACAACAACAATAGACTATGTCCTGACGCATAAGGGCAATTCGAGAATGGACATATCTTTACATTCCAGTCATGCTCACACATCAAGCGTGTCCAGCTCGACGTAAGATTGCTATGACACCAGTGACCGGTAAACTATCATGCGGTGTAGATTCCAGAAGTTTTGACAACTTGACATCGGCTAATTTACGGAAAAGGTCTGGAAACCTTAAGACATAGAACGCGAATTTACATATGTTCATCAGTAAATCGCTTCGTTCTGTACACTGTGCCAGCCGGCCAGCTTGGTACCTATCAGCTAGCTCGCCACAGTACCAATTCTCTCTGTGCGATTTGTTCAGTCACTCTACAGACACCCCAGAGAATGGCTCTTGTACAATCAAATCATTGGGCCTCGACGCAGAACCAAATCCATAGCCTGATCCATACAACATTTGATACAGTGCCAAACCAGTGAACAACCTCAGCGGGCCATTCAATAAATCCACATTCGCCAAAATACTTGAGCTCAACTCCCAACATCGTCGACGGATACATTGTCCAGCATTAAGTTCTGGCTGAAGACAAACAAATCAGCTGAATAGCTACAATAACGAGAGTTGAAACCTACGCAGGCGATGCTGTAAAGTGATTTCGAGAATCATCTCGATGAACTTCCTCTTAGAGTTGTCAAAACCTAGCATCGCCTTCCAAGTAGGGGAATTTCCTTGATATGTGTGGACGGCAGTGCTCACAGCTTCCCTGACAGCAGCTACATGTGAAGACACCATGTATTGCTCTAGCGCAGTATGCAAAGGGTAGCGGGCAGACTCCCGCTGGAGTCGAAGATGGCGTCGATGATCAAAAAGATAGAAAGAGCTCTCGAAAATAATGATAGCAGCTAAGTGATTGATATAAGCAAGTTCATTGCAACGTGGCCTGAAGATTCACCACAACTGAGCTGAAGAAGTTCCTCCAATGGTGTTGCACTGGCAGAGACCTGTCATATTTTTAACATGGAATTGTGCGTACAGCCTGTGACCAATTGAACATACCCCAGAGAGTATTCTAGACCGCATCTCTGTACGTTCAGCACCATAAAGCTGAAATCATGATGGATCACTGAAAATCAACCACCTCTGCTGTTCAATGCACTTACACGCTGTCAATGAGCAACATCTTTGGTCAGCATGATGGCTCGAGGTTCACAGATGATGAAGAAACTCACGGCCTATGAATAGATCAACGCGATGTCATTGGTGAGCAAAACTCGAGGATTGAACACTCACCGTCTGTTACAGGATGCGCAATTTCAGTGGTGAGCAGATATCGAGCTCGACAGAGGACAACACACTGACTTCCTGTTGGACGAGTTATATCATCGGCGAGTAAGGCTTGAGCTCGAATGAGGATGAAGAGACTGACTGACTGTCAACAGATCAGTGATATTGTCAGTCAGCAAGGCTTGAGCTCGACGATGAATAAACACTCACAAGCTGTCAACAGCGATTGGCAAATTCGTCGGTCAGCCATGGTCGAGCTCAGAGGATCAATACTCTCACTTGCTGTAAACGGATAGGCGATGTCGTCAGTCAACATGGCTCGAGGTCAATGGTGGATAACACCACTCACAACCTATCAATGGACCAACAATGATTTCGGTGAGTATGGCACAAGGTCGACAGAGAGTGAACACACTCACACCCTGACAACAGATCAGTAATTGCTTTAGTGAGTAAGGCGGGTCGACAGAGGATGAACACTCACAACCTGCCAACGGATCAACAAGTTCTTCGTTCAGTATGGCTTAAGGTCAGTGGATGATGAATATACTCACGTCCTGCCGACGGATCAACAATTTCATTCAAGTTGGTCAGGGAGGCTCCAACTCGATGAACGATCCATGCACTAACTCTAATGTTCTGAGTCGGGGAGGGTGGGTCACCCTAGGGCGGCGCGCCATCAGGTGCGCACCTATAATCAGGTTAGGTGCGCGCATATAACTCCCATGTGAAGTTCTAGTTGATAGGTGCGCACCTGACAGCGCGCCGCCCTAGGGTGACCCACCCTCCCCGACTCAGAACATTAGAAAATAGTGCTATAATTTAAGTACAAGAATTACTGAAAATCCACTGGACTTTTCCTGGCGTTCAGAAAATTAGAACACGAAAAACGGCATTCAGACTGCAGTGGAAAAAAGGCGGTCAGTGAAGGACATGGGATGAAGTTTGGATGACTCACATCAACAAGAAAAGTGGTGTCTTCGCCACATATGGCATCTGTAAATGTCAGTTCTTCAGGGGAGCGAGGAGGAGGAAGTGTGTGCGTGGTAATAGAGTAATGAAGGCTTGTACGGATTGTCTTAACAGACACCTTATCCTTCACGACGCACATGTCCCTTTTCAACATCCAACGCCGCGGCTCGCTTTATCACAAGTTGGTTGAAATACCACGATGCAGTGGTGAGCTGGCTTTGTGCACTGTCCTCCATGCGAGCTACAGCCAATTCAATGGCATACTGGGTGGTAGTACTTTCGTGTATTACCGAGCGGAGAAATTTGCATACCTAACAGTATGAGGTGTAAGTATGTCTACATGTATTAAGCACGAGATACCGGCGGCTCGGGCGCTATGGTGTCCACCACGTCATGCCGTGTTGTTCTGCGCTCATGATTTTGTCTCCTTTTTACAGCTCTTTGTTCATTGCCATCATGGCGTGGTTGGACCAGCAATACCATTCGGAGGAATTACCTTCATAATTTTCGGCATGCAGGCCCCATTGTCAGTCAGTGGAGCAGTAGAGACAGCCACTCTGGCAGCGTCGGCAAAGTCATCAGCGCTATGGAATAGCATTCGCATCTTGACTCTCAACACTGTAATTCACAGCTTTCGTGGACGGGATTGGTGAAGACTGCTCCGGAAATCGACAGAATCTCGCACTCATAGCAGCGACCACAAACTTCGACGATACTATTAACTTCCTCTTCCCGCCACATGTGCTCGAAGACGCCGAGACGTGTCTTCAGCGCGCATTCCTCTCCCCTCTCAATATCTATGTCGACGAATTTAACGACAAAATTCTAGAGAAATTGCCTGGCGATTTTCGTAAGTAATCCAGACAGACATCATCCACACATTCTATTGACGGGACATAGAATCTTATTTCAGCTTGGACAGCCTGAAAGAAGCCGACCGCACACCATTTAATACACCAGAACACACGCCGGACTGTCTCGCAATGTTGACCCATCCTGGAATATCTCCTCATCTCCTGGATAGGGTTATGAGCCTCCTCAGGGTCCGTTCCACCCAGCTCCAAGTTTTGGAAGAGAACACTTGGGTGCACCTTGCTTGTCATGGCAAGCAGGACCCTACGCAGCCTCACAATTCTCATTTCGTCATGAAAGATGAACATCTGACGCTGCTCGACATCATGGTTATGAACCCTCCTAGGTTCGCGGCGATCTAAAATGGCAAGGGTTTGGCACGCGCGTGTTAGATGAGTTTGCGCTTATGTGCCGCAGGCTCTGACTCCACCCGTTACCGAACAAGATTTCACCACAAGGCATAAACACTCCCTCGGTATGTATATATAGTTAGGTTTGATCAGCGCTGTCTGTAGGCACACAGGAGACTGACATTGGAGTACTTCTAACATAGCCCTCATGAATCTCAGAAGTGGGTATATCATATTGTGCAGAAGATGAAATAAATGACATGCTTGGCAAACCGAAAATGAACCCTTAGATAGGAGCATACAATTACAACCTCGAGAAGCCATAGGATGCTGCGGACTCACTGCATAGCATGAGAATAAGGTGGCTCGACAGAACGACTAAGCTTCTTCCTGCTCATCGTCGTAAACTACTACTGCTGGAGTTCTGTGAATGCAATCAGAATTATGAAACGAAGATGTCAGGATGTGAAATTACTGTATTTCCTCTCCCTGGGACACGCAGGTTAAGCTGATAACGTCATCGGGAAACTGATGACTTACCCTGTCTTCACACCTGATCACAGCCTTCAATTCTGTCAACCCGAAGAGAAGAATGACTTTGATCTCCATCGCATAATACGTGGAACCTTCGGCGGCGCACTTGGGTGTGAGTTTCTCGGCAATTTTTGATGTGTCTGCGCGGACGGTGCATAACGTCGAGAATAAACCTGGTTACTCCGGTAAACATCAGTGTGATTGGCAACAATCTGTGTGACTACTTCGCTCTATATCCATCCAATCCGGTTTGGGGAGGAGGCCCCTGTACGACATGATGTCGACTTCGACTTGGTTACATGCGGCCTGACTATATCGTCGGATAGCGAATGTCTTACTGAACTCTTGCTGCTCAGAGACCTGTGTACCCTGCTGCGCATAAGCAACAGACCTTCCAAAGCATGTCAAAAGAGCTACCTTGGTCAGGATGGATGCAAATGCACGAGGCAGAGCAAGAATTCCCGAGACATTTCGGTAAATTTCTTTTTGCCTGGCGTGATGCTCCACATCGAATGGGTCGAATGGGACGCTGCACTCGGTGCCGTATGTGAAACGGGACACACGGGATGACACAAGATGATCAATGAAATACGACACAGCACCATCTGCAATAGCTTTATTGCTAAGCAGCGTCTATGAGCACAGCGCGAGGATTCTGTCAGTCGTTGGCGCTCACAGATGGTTGTCCGGTCGACTGAAGCCAATATCAAGCGACTGGAAGTACGCTTGCAATTTGGCGAACATCCAATCACTCGCAGCAAAGCCTCCGACGAAAAATACAAACTTCATGTGATATGCCAGTCAGCGCACTTTCCGATTGAGCGCAGTAATGTCAACTTACTGTGATCGGAGTACCTGCAGCCCTTCTTTGAGTTTCAAAAGCTTCGATGATGCTGCTGATGGAGGGTTCAAAGAGTTTGGCTACGTCTTGTCTTTTTATTAGCAACTTGTTAGATATAAAGGCTGCAAAAGACTAGACGACAAGGCTTACCCACTCAATTTAAGTTGACCGCAGCGAATACCATGCTGAAGATCTTTGTCGCGGATGGTACCGAACTTGATGTACACCGGGTCTTCCGGGTTGCGGAACCTAAGCTTAGTAGTGCTGTCGAAGATATCTGTGATTTGTTGGATCATATCCGGTGCGCCGTAACGACTGCCGGATAGTTTTTCTGTTAAGTCAAATGAACAAGGACGCAGCATGGCTAAAACGAACATGCTGGCAAACCTTGAAGAAGACCGCGAGCACGATGAGTCACGAATACAGAACCCTGAAGTCGACCTAAGGAGTAGAGAGTGAGGCATGGTTCCAACAATCGCATCTCACTTACATTCGGCTGCAGCAATCTCCTCGATCAGCGTCGGGGATAAAGTCATCGAGTAGGCACTAAGATCGATTGTCCCTCCTCCTGCATCGATGACAACAACGCCTTGGCCTGGCGAGCTGTCATCATGTTCGCCATCATCAGATGCAAGTATCGGTGTCTTCGACAGTGCATCTGAGGCCAGGGTATTATCGACACAGTAATGCAAACTCGCTTCTCCTTCGGTCAGAAAATGTACACGTGTCATGCTGTCTTCTGTGCTGGGAATGAGACCGCCAAGGACGGCAGCTAGCCTGATCTGTTTCTGCTGCGGGCCTTCCCAGCCGTTTGGATGTGTAAGGACAAATTCGATGCAGCTCTCGAGTGACCGCCAAAGATTAGATCCGCTCGGATGAGTCTCCTCAATATAGCTGCGTGCACAACGAAAGAGGTATTGCATGAAGTCGCCAAGCACCTCAGTGGCCTTTTTGCCTGGCGGAAGTGGTGGGATGTCGTCGTCATTGATATGGTTGGCGGCCAAAGTCCTGGGCCGAAGGTGCAATTTCCACCTAAATGTTTTGCGTGGTCAGTTAAGTAAATATAAATTCCAGTATTTGCGAAACAAACCATTCTAGCTTTATCCATCCTTCTTCCTCGGCCCTTTCGATGATATGCTCCTGCTGTGCTTCAGCGCCAATAGCACGGATAGTTCCATTTGAATCGTAGTAGAGTATAGAGGGTATCTTTAATTTCCTTCCGCTGTACTCTTGGGCTGGATATCTGATATTCGTAATGATCTGCAATAAGGCAGGTATGTTATATTATGAAAACTGACCTGGTGACAGACTTGATCTTTGGAACTTCTCCAGGCTCAAGTATACAGTAGGAAATTGCACTGTATGTAGTGCCCACGTCGAAGGCAAGGACCAATTTGCGGACTGATCCATGATATGGCTGACGGGGAAGCATTTCTTGCGTAACTGGATGAATATCGCACAAGTTGCTCACACCGTCTTATACCTCATGGCAGAGACCGCATGGATGTTTATCTGTTCACCATCTCACCTACAACGTTTGACGGACATTAATCTAATATAGGGGTAGCAGGGCATACTGTTCGTGTCAGCCTCGAGGTCTGGTGTGAGTGATCTGCAGATACCAGGGAGTGATTTGGCGTGGCTAATTAACCCTGATATGAGAAGTTCCCGAGTATTCTAGATAGAAATAGTGTCAGACCAAGAAATAAACGGATGGTGGATACCTCGAGGCCACCCCACAAACCTAAGCAGATAGGTGCTTCTAGTCAGTGATGCACAAACTACTTATGCTCCGCTCGGGAAAAGAATGTGGCGTCTTCTGTGTAGAATTCATAGTGCAAAATTCCATGAAATTGATGGGCTTACTGTGGTGATTGATGTCGCAGAATCGTATTCGTTCCAGCAAACCTGCGCCACTGGCAGTAGGAATATGTTCATGTATAAGTAGACAAGCGGCAAATCAAGATCTGACAAAGGACTGCCAAGTCCGAGTCACAAGACCATATCAGTGCTGGTGGTGTTGCCACGAGGTGAAGATTCTAACTTGCAAGTCCCTCAGTAATGACGTAAGTGCCTAGAAGACTCTAATCGATGGAAGTACTACGTACCCGCATGTAGAATGTGGACTAAATGAGAATCTTGCATTTAGTAATTGCCTCGTGTAGCTATGACATATGTCACGGACCCACGGCTCTGCTATGTACAACCGAAGTGAACCTGCAATATTCAAATGCTTCCCCACTGCCGCAACTGGCACCTCAGGCAGCAGTTTTCGGAGGCAAAAGGTAGGCTTTCAGGCCGGGTTTCTATGTTATGGGAAACTAGCCTGAAAGGGCCCATGATTCTCCAATGTAATTTACCTGGATACCTCGCGTTGCCCTTGAGCCCCAGTGAGAAACGGTCCTAGCCGTATCGACGGAAAACGACCGAAATATCACGACAATATTTGCATTGATTTGCGGAGACGGATGAGACTTATATGATATTTTCAGCGACTCACATCGAGCGAGATATTGCAGAATCGAGCGTGTTTGCGTAGCGTAGATTCTAGTATATTGTAGTAGCTCCCAATTGACCTTTTGCATATTCGCACATCAACCCAAATCGACCAAAAACAATTGTATTGCGAAAAAATTACAAATGCAATAAAAGTGTACTCTATATACCACTGGCACCCCCACCCATGCGTCAGGATGACGTAGCCCATCAGCTTCTGGTACATGGGAGTCCTTAACTGAAACAAATCATTGTTAGATGTGCTTGCCAGGCAAGCAGACAGTACTTACAATGACAACTGCCTCGTTCTCGTGTTTCTATGGCAATAGATATCAGTTGAAGTATATTGGGTAGCTTTTAATGGAACTTACCAATCGACTGTCTGTAACGGGTGTATCTGTTGAAGCCGCTGGACGTGTTGATAATCGGGACAATGGTAGTGAGCTAGCGATGATGTAAAACAGTCAGTGAATGAACCTGACAATGTCAGATAACTCACAATGTTTGAAATGTGTGCATATATGCGCCGTAAATAGCACTTACTTGGATGACTACGGTCGATTGGGTGGGATCAGCAGATGGATTGGGCCGTGAAAAGGTCTAGTACTTATCTTGTTAGTGCAGTGGCTAAGCGAGAAAATCATGCATCAGACGGTACCAGGATGGTTGAGGTCAACAGCGAGATTTTGCTGAGAGGAGGACGAGATGATGGAAGGGAAGAAGAAAGCTGAGGTGAACCGAGTATGGATGGAATGTCCCAATATATATCATAAGTGGTCCACTGCATATCGACGTCATCGCATGAAGTGATGGTGCGTGCGCAGCTGATGCGCAAGAATGTTCAAACATTCAAATATTGAGCAAAGTCAAGTCAAAGTTGAAAAAATTTCAGCATGTTCAACCAATGTTCAACGGATCTTTGCTCAATGGATCAACCGCACTTTTAATTTATCGATTTGCGTAGTTATCGCAATATTATTGGTATATAACTAATATTTTCGTTGTTTGCCGTAGATATGGCTAGGACCGTTTTTCCACTGGGTGTGAGCACCAAGGTCGAAATTCAAGCTCAAGCGGCAATCTGCGGATGAGGTCCTTCCCTGTCCTTGCCACAATGCTAGTACTAGTCACTGCGATCGAGCCGTTAACTGCTGCAAATATGATCGCATTTTTCTCGACTTCGAGCTTCAAAGCTTCAAGGCCACTCAAACTGGCGTGTCCGCGATCGGCATAGCGTTTTTTATAGTCGCTAGGCAGACGGTATAAAAATATGAAGATAATCGTTTCTTCAATTTGTATTTCCCGCAGTTCGGAGGCGCCCAGTCAATACAGCAGCAAATATTTATATGGTCAAAACTGAAATAGGTTTCAAACTTGTGAAACTATTTCTTTTTGTGGGCTGGTACATATCATGGAGGGTATGTCTAGGAATGATATGAGCCAAGAATTAGAGAAATCGGCGGTTGGGTTATGGAGATATGCTCAAAATACTGCCCTTTTGGCCCCACCACCATATGTCACCAATATCGACCTCCAGATGGTCCAGGACCATCACCAATCGATTCCTACACCTGAAAAACCCTAGGACAGTCCTTTACAGTATCGGTTTTGAGTTAAAATCAAGTACAGCAAAATATAGGGGGTAGGAGGGGGGAGGAGGACCTTGTATATCTCAAGAACGCGATTTTTTCTAGGAATTCTGGCTCGACCATCGTGTTCAGAGGGCTCAATGAGCCCCCAGGAAAATGCTTTTGGACCACTGGCAAGTCATGGGAATGCTGTAAAAATCGATCTTTGTGGGGGGTATGAGGCAAACTGACCTATTTTATTTCACACAGGCTAGAAATACTCTGAAACCATCTCCAATGGATTTCAGTGATCATAAAACACTAGGATCACCCTTTGATATATCGGTATTTACATGATATCCAGATATATGCGTTAGGAGGGGGGGAGGGGGGCCCTGCATATCTCCAGAACCTGATTTTTTCTGGGAAATCTGGCTCGACCATCGTGTTCAGAATGATCAATAGCCCTCGGGAGAAATGCTGTTGGAGCACCAGCAAGTCATGGGATGTCTGTAAAAATCGATCTTTGTGGGGGGGGCATGAGGCAAACTGACATATTTCAATTCAGACAAGCCGGGAATGCTCCAGGACCATCTCCAATCGATTTCTGTGATCATAAAACACTAGAAACATCTTTTGATATATCGGTATTTACATAATATCAAGATATATGAGTTAGGAGGGGGGAGGGGGGCCCTGCATATCTCAAGAACATGATTTTTTCTGGGAAATCTGGCTCGACCATCGTGTTTAGATGGATGAAGAACCCCCAGGAAGAATAGTTTGAAGTACTGGCAAGTCATGGGAAGCCTGAAAAAATCGATCTTTGTGGGGGGGGTATCAGGTCAACTGACACATCACAATTCACATGAGCCCAGATGACTCTGAGACCATCTCCAATCAATTAATATGATCCAAAAACACCAGAAACATCCTTTTATACATCAGTATCGACATGGAATCCTGCCTCTGGGCACAGTAGGTAGGGGGAGGGGGAGGGGGTAGCATCACTCTGAAATATGATTTTTTCGGACCAAACCAGTGTTCCCATCAGATTCAGATGGCCAAATAACCCCAGAAACAAGTTCTATCTATATGTTTCCCGAGACCGCACCCCTGCAGTCGCCTCCGTCCCCGTCCCTGCTGCCCTGCCAAGCCTGTTGCCGTCCCTGTTCCCACGCCCCCATATCAGGAAGCGTCCCTGCTTCTCCGTTCTCAGGCAGGGACTCCTCCGTCCCATATGAGGAAAGCGTCCCTGCTTCTCCGTACTCAGGCGGGGAAGCCCACAAACTCGTTCATCATATCTTCCCCCCCCCCCCCCTCCCTCATCGAGCCCACAAACTTGTCGGTCATATCTTCCCTACCCTTACCATACCACAGCACCAAGCAAAACAAACTAGTTCTTCATATCTTCCCCTTCCACCTCGTTGAGCCCACGAACTCCTTCGTGATATCTTCCCCCCCGCCTCATTGAGCCCCCGAACTCCTTCGTGATATCTTCCCCCCCGCCTCATTGAGCCCACGAACTCCTTCGTGATATCTTCCCCCCCCGCCTCATTGAACCTACGAACTCCTTCGTGATATCTTCCCCCCTGCCTCATTGAGCCCACGAACTCCTTCGTTATATCTTCCCCCCTGCCTCATTGACCCCACAAACTCATTGGTCATGTCTTCCCCCCGCCCGCCTCATTGAGCCCAACAAACTTGCTCGTCATATCTTCCCCACCATGGCACCAAGCCAAACAAACTCATTCGTCATATCTTTCCCCTCACGGCACCAAGCCAAACAAACTAGTTCGTCATATCCAAACTACCTCCCACCCCCTAAGCATCAGAGTCTCATATTTCACCCTTTTGGTCATCATTCGACGTTCTGATGGTCCCAACTAAGCATGCGCTGCAGAAAATGGCAGATTATGTCGACGATGGATGTGGCAAAACCTCCAGATCCGTGTGATTTTTGTCAGGTCCGTTGCCGCTGCGATATCAAACGATTGCATTTGCCAGTCGCAATATTCATTCCCATCTCATTTCACACAGATTCTCATGTGACTCGTTCGCTCTATGATCCTCGACCACCCAGCTCACCGACCACTGCTTGCGCTGCGAATCATTGGCCATGGCAACCAGCGGATCATATAGCAGTAGCACTACTGGTGAATCTCAGATGTAGTTACAAGCACTATAAGATGTCCGAGTAATGGTACAGGACAGCTCTCCTCCTCAAGATGTCCGCAAACCTTGCTAGACTCGATGCTGGCCTTGAAAGATGTAGACCAGTGCTTGCAATGCATCAATGCGTAGTGGGTCGGCTTGATTATGTTGAAGCAGGCGATGGCGCAGATACAAGATGGTGATGATGAAGGTAGGCAGGTAGATGACGGCAGGCAGCAATCTACCATGAATCTGAAGGCAGGGAAGGATGATCAACCGCCTGAGCATGCCAGAGTAAGACATCGAGAGTGCATACCTCATGCGGCGAAAAATGACTGAATGGAACCACACTGGAATGAAGGATCTAGTGTGTGAAAGCTTCAAAATTCTCAGCAACTTCGATGCGCACTTACCAGGTTACTTTGATGGGTGTCAGATGAAGGGGCAGACAAATGGCCCAAATATCCTGCCACAGGGAAAGACTTGATTCTAGTCTTC